GAACCTGGGGTGAGCGGTCAGCAGCCTGCCTCCCTCCTCCCCGCACAGCGGCTGCGGGACGTTTCCTTCCCCTCGTGGGCGCGCTAGGGGTTAAAACCCTGCGGTCCCTAGCTCCCCACCGTCAAAAGCCTGTTCTAGATACATGGCCCCTGATATCCAGCCGGACTGGAAATCTCTGGATACCTACGCAGACTTGCACGCTCCACGTGAAGTTAATAATGAAAACTGCGCTAGGGGTTAAAACCCTGCGGTCCCTAGCTCCCCACCGTCAAAAGCCTGTTCTAGATACATGGCCCCTGATATCCAGCCGGACTGGAAATCTCTGGATACCTACGCAGACTTGCACGCTCCACGTGAAGTTAATAATGAAAACTGCCCTCCTCCTTACCAATGCTGCGTAATAACACAGGATGTGGATGACTCTCTTGAGCTGAATTTTGGCTGAATTCTTTTTTTTTTTTTTTTAAACATTAACTGATGCACTTTTGGGAGAGAGGATGCGATTTAATCATATGTGTTCTTGCTGCAGCACAGGATGAGGTCTAGCTGCTTTCATTGTGTATCCTTAACCCGTAGAAGTGGAAGGGACCTCGAAAGGTCATCGAATCCAGTCTCCTGCACTCACATAATCAACCCATGTTGATGCTAGAAAATTTTTTTGGTGCGGTAATGTCGCTTAGGTGTGGATTGGAGTTTTTTAAAGCAACATTTTTATATGGACAAAAGTTCTAGTGTAGAAGCAGTTAATACTGGCAGAAAGTTCTTTTGAAGTGTAGCTTATTTCTTTTGGGAAGTTGTTATAGAAGTGATACCAGCAAAAGCATGCTTTTTGCCATAATAAGCTGCATCTACACCAGGAGGGTTTGCTGGAAATAACAAAACTGTTTATTTCTAGGGTAGAAAATACCTTACTCTCAAATTATACAGGATTTTTGACCCAGCAGACTAGCAGTTTGAAGGAGGGACATGCAGCATAATATAGAATCGTTCTTTTTAAAAATCTAATTCTGGTGTGAGAGAATTCTCTCCATGCTTTCTTATGAAACAACAACATTTTAAATTATTGTATTTGGACAAATAAACTATTTAAATAACAAAACAAAATTGTCTTTTTGCCCATACTGCTTCCCCTCCTCTATAGATCTTTGGTCCCCATCATTGGTGTCAGCATACTGTATGTGTAAAACGTCCTCCTTTGTCTCCCTCCCCCCCACGGAAAAGCTAGACTGTCCCAGAACTTCAGATGTAGAGAAAGGGGCCTGGCATTTGGCTCCTAGAAATAGTATTAATGACTAATAGGTCTGTATTAAAAATGGTAAAGTAGGGGAAACGAGGGAACTTCTTACTAATATGTGGTTGGCTTACATGCCGTATATAATATTACTAGGGAGGTGAAGGATTAGTCGACTATCCGATAAGCAAATGCTTATCAGATAGTCGACAGGATAGTCAACTAGTCACTTCCCCCTCTTGCTGCCTCTATTAAATAGAGGCAGCAAGGGTGGGGGGAGGAGGGGAGAGAAGAGGGAGGGGTACTTCAAAGTGGCAGTGCCTCTTGAAGCTTGGGGTCAGCGGGGAGTCCTAGGGCTGTTGCTACACTTCAAAGGCGGATGCGCCCTATTGACTAGTCAATTAGTCGATATTTAACATCTTTAAATATGATGGCACCTAACATTCAGCTGGTGAATTGCCATCTTGAAAGATGCAATGTGGAAGCTGTTTCATGTGATACTGTACAAGCACGTAGGACAGAAGTGAAGAAAACTGCAACTGAAACTAGATGGAAAACTTTTGGGAGGCAGAGTGTAACAACTAGATATTCATTTTAGTATTAATGTTAATGGTTATGCCCTTTCAAAATGGGATAGGATTTTTTGCCTGGCCATGTAATCAGGATTTCGGCATTACATTTTAAGCAGAAGATACATCTTTTAAACCATCTTTGAAGTCAGAGTGCCATTGACCCATATTGCCATCACTTCCTACAATATCCTTGGTTTTCCTTAAGTTCCTATGCTGGATACTGATCTAGCCTGACCTTGTTTAGTTCATGAGATCAGAAAAGCACACTGTCTAAGCTGGTTTCATTCAGGTCATCAAAGGGTTCAGCTATATATCCGCAGGATTTTAAAAAATGGAACCGTATTTGTGCCTGGTTTTAAAATCAGTGCCCAAATTCACCCTGATTCTACTGAGCCATGAAAAACACTACTGACCCCAAGAACTGTGTGTATCTGGAACACTTGTCTATTTCACCACCAGAAGTTGGCCCCATATAAGATATTTCCTCCTCCATCTTGTGTCTCTAAAAGGGCCAAGGCAGATAAGTTACAGTTGCAGTAAAATGCATCTTTCTGTGCTATGACTCAGATTTTTGCTCTGGTCAGAGGGGCTAGTAGTTTTATTTTTTAATTCCAAACAAAGCTTTTGGCAGAGAGAATGAGCAAATTGTTACTGCATTTAGGGCATGTAGTCTATCTGCTGCATGCTGCACATCCTTTCTTTATTAACCTGATGTATGTTGATTATATTCATTTGACTGAGCTAACTAAATCTTTTAATACAAAATAAAGCTGAAGTATAATCTAAAATAGATGAAGTAATCCATCTATTTAGAAAGATGAGTAAATCAGTGAAAAGCCTTTTTGCAGTGGTCTTTATGATAAAAACAACTAATGTGGCTTGCAAAGATACATTTAAAGGCCAGGAATTACAAAAGATGGTCCCAGGATATTACACAAGGTCAGTGAGGTAACGTCTTTTATTCCACCAACTTCTGTTTGTGAAAGAGTCGAGCTTTTGATCTTAAATAGAGCTCTTCTTCAGGTCTATGGTCTAACTAAAATTCCCAGACCAAAGAAGAGCTCTGTGTAGCTCCAAAAGCATGTCTCTCTCACCAACAGGACTTGGTCAGTAAAAGATATTACCTCATCCACTTTTCTATGGCGGGAGATTGGAGTATGGGACTGGGGTGCAGGAGAGAGTGTGGGTTCTGGCAGGGAGCTTGTGACCTATTGCAGTGGATTGGGGTGTAGGGTCCAAGAGGAGGTATAGGTACAGGAGAGATTCTGGCCTGGGGGAGGTGAGTAGAAGAGGGTGCAGGATCTGGGAGAGAGTTTTGATGGGGTGCTGGTACAGAGGGTTTGGGTGGTGACCTGGGGCAGGGAGTTGGAGTGGATGATGGGGTGGGGTGCTAGAATGCAGGCTGTGGTCAGGAGGCCCTTACATAGGTGTTTCCTGGCCAACAGCCCAGTGGATTGAGCAGAAGTGGATGAGCAGCAGAACTCAGAATAGAACTCTGGTCTCCTGTATCCTGGTCTGAGTTTTAGAAAAATACTGAATTTGCACATTAAAATATTTGTCCTCTTACTGCAAATGAAAATGGTATTTTCTTATCAGTATGGTGAATCCTTTACTTGAAACAATTGTGGACTTGCTGTTAAGGCATGTCATCTGAATAGATGGCTTGTTTTCGAGTTCCTGTAAACTGATCCTGAGCCATTGTGGCAGTAATGATGTATTTTTATTGCCTTGCTAGATATCCAGACTGAAGTGCATTGGGTATTGGAACTGAAGGGCTATGGAGCAGTATACAACAAACAGCAACAGTTCCACTGAACAGATTGTTGTGCAAGCAGGACAGATTCAACAACAGGTATGGAAAAATTGTTGTAGAGGTTGAGCGGGAGGTCCTGATATTTGGTTACAAGGCATGTCAGGCTCTCTACATTTGCACCAAGCCATTAAGATGCTGCGGGAGATTGTCTTATCCCTTGATCAGCAGTTTTGTTCTGTCTTTAGGGTGTGTTTGTCTATTAACATTTCTAATTTGTATTTCTTCCATAACAGATACAACTGATATAGTGGAAAGTTGTACTAGAAAGAGGGACTTTACCCTTAAATTCTGAAATGAACAAAAATAATAAACCTTTTCTGAAAAGTTAGGTACAATCTTAAGTGATACAAAACATACATTTGAGAACTGTTTGTCCGCAAACAGTTGTTTATCTCCAAGGGTTGAAACAGGATTAGTTCAAGAAAATCTGGAGAATTTTGCCAGCTTTCCTTTAACAATCAGGTTCATGTGAATCACAGGGTCTGCTCCATTGAAAGATCAGAGTAAATGCAATATCAAAGTAATTGCAACAAAAATCTTTTGCTTCAGTGATCAGTTGGACTGTTTCTGTCTGGATCATTTCTCCAAAAACTTTTAACTTCTGGCTCGTGTACCATAATGTCCAGGCATGTAGAGTTGCTTTTATGAAAGTGTTAGATATGCTTTTAAATTATTATTTTTTACCTAGCTTCATATTGTGATAATTTTTTAACTTGGTTGTGTGGATTAGTTGCGTTGTTGTGATTTAATTTTCATTCATGAAGCTGTATTTGCTTTTGTTTGGGACAGTGTGTTTGTTTCTGCTTTGCACATGAGTGAGACAATATGAATTACACTTTCAATTTAAAATAGCACTTTAATGCTGATATCAAGCAGTGCGAATACCAGACACTTCAGGCGAGACCCCACTTTCAATGTGAAAATTGACTTTTTCTTCAGTGGGAACAGGATGTGGCCCTTACAAAGACTGTTGCTAAGTTATAAAGAAAATGTGGCAAATTCAGATCCACATGAGCTGGTATTGATAGATGGTTGAAGTCTGACACTTGATATTTTGTAATTACAAATATTTGTCATCTTTTGCCCTGTAACTCTTTAAAGGGATTCCGCCAACGGTGGTAGGGGGTCAAACCTTGATTAAGTTTTAATTTCGTGTATTGGTTTTCAAAGTTAATGTAGCATTGTGTATGTGGTGGTGGTTTTCAAAAGGATTCTTTAATGCTGTTTTTAACAAAACATGAATGGTCCAGTCCTAATCTAATTCTCTGTGTCTGGATGTCCATGTCTTATAAACCACTACTGCAATTGACAAGGATTATTTTGCGGAATCTCCAAAGATTTTAGAGAGACTAAACTATTCTGTTCATATTGCCCCTCAAGCACGTTGGCTGGGTGTGTAAAACTCTTAGTTGCTGCCCATACTGTACTTCTTCCGTTGGATAAAGGGATTTGGAGCCAAGTTATTTGGGAGTTGAGGTCTGACAGATCTACCGCACCTCTGTAATAGCTAATATGTACAATTAAAGAGAAAACAGTTAAATAAACATGGGATAACTTAAAACAAACAATAAAGTAGAGATTTCAAATTCTGAAAAATATCTTGATGGTGTTGTCTGTTTGTGTTTTATTGTTGCTGACACTTGCCAGTGAGCATACCTTGGGTTTGCTGATTTCCCTTTTCTAAAATAATGTGAGCACGTTCAGCACTCCTGTGTTCCAAGAACAAGTGTTACGTGAACTTTACATTCTTCCTGTTCCCAGCAGCAGGGTGGTGTCACTGCTGTCCAGTTGCAGACAGAGGCCCAGGTGGCAACCGCCTCAGGCCAGCAAGTCCAGACCCTCCAGGTAGTGGTGATCTCTCTAATTGTGTCTATGTGAGCACTGCATGAACTCCCTCATCGCCTCATCTCTAATGCTGTGTTTCTCCCAGGGTTTGAAATAGGGACAGAATTAGTGGCAGTTGTGTTGGCCTGTAGCAGCTGGGACACATGTTAAATTGCATTTTCATTCAATAAAATGAATGAAGTGGTTGAATCTAAGATGCACAAAGCCTACCCTGATCCACTTGTGAAAACTCTCTGCTGGTGAACAGAAATGAAACAGGAAAAAATAACTTGAAGGCAAGAGAGAAACCCCAGTACCTAGCTCAGAGAGGTCAGACCTCTGATATCCAGTGCTGAGTAGGTGCATTTTTTCTTTGAAAAGAAGGCAAGGTCAGGGTTGAAGAGAGACTTCTTTTCCTGACTAGAAACACAAACTGAAGATTTTCTTGCCTACTGTGTGATTGAGAAAATTATCAATTGATTTTTCTACTGTGACACCACAAGCAGATCCATAAATTGCATCTTTCTTACTATCAAAACTCACTACCAGTTGGGAAAGGGATACAGGTTATTTCAAACCCTGATTTCTGTTCATGTGAAATGTTCCATATCCTACAAGCTTCATCTCATTAGTTTGTGTGGCAGCTTTTTAAAGGGATGAAAAATCCTTAGATGATCGATACACTTGAAGCTCTTTTTAATCCGGCAGCCCTAGAAAACAGGATATGCCGGATTATTGAATTTTCTAGGCCATAGAGGGTGGTGCGGAGTCTGGGCATGAAGGGGGAGAGGGGCACTTACCTGGTGCCCTGTTCCTGGAGGCATATGTGACTCTGTGCCCCCCCCACACACAACTCCCAGGCACCTCCCCACCACTGCTACAGAAGCTGTAGGGGAAAAGCCTCTGGAGGAGCAAATCGCTGTGCTGCTGTTTCCCCAGCTGGGATGGAGGTTGAGTGGCATTGCGCAGAGCCGCTTCCTCCTCCCTCTGATTCAGACCCTAGCAAAGATGTTTCCAGGTCAGGGAGCTTGTAGTGTATTACAGAATTGATACAGCCATTTCTACATATTTCTGAGGTCTTTGTGGGGTGGGGTCTTTCTCTGTTCTTTGGAGAAAAAAGTTCTGGACCATCCTGCTAGTAAAGAAGTATTTGCAGTGGTTTCCTGCTGCAAACTAAAATGTGAAGGAGGGGGAACTGGTTGAATTGGCTTGCTTGGAGCTCAATTTGTACATTATTACAGCCCCATTGCTGAAAAGTTTACTTTTCGTTTCTTGCTTGTGTTTAAAAATACATCAATAAAAATTCTGGAATTCTATTATCATTTTAGTTCATTTTAAGCGTATCTTGTTGCTTTGTGGCTGATATATGCATGTTTGCATCTCTTTCACTGTATTGTAATGCATATTGTTCACATCTCATTATTGCAAGTGGCTTTTATATGGAAAAGTGGGTGGAAGATACTGAGCAGTAGGACTATTAGATGACTTAATGATCCAAGTTATCCTATCTAGGAGCTTGACTGCTGATATATACCTCGGGTTGCTGGCATGTGTGTGTATAAGCTACTAATGCAGGGGTGGGAAACATAAGGGCCTGAATGCAGCCCCTGGCTTGCCTAGATCTGACCTCTGAGGCTCAGGGCTCCCCCCTCCCTTGCTGTCTTTCTGTGGGGCTGGAGCACATACAGTCTGCTAGCCTCCCCCCCATTCCCCCAGCTAGGGTGTGTGAGGGAAATGTGGGGAGTGTCTCTCCTCAGTCGGGGGCCACGTCAGTGAGGGTTTTTTTGTTTGTTTTTGTTTACGTCTTATTTGTGTGCAGCCACGGCTGATTTTTCTGTGGGCCAATGGCCCCTGATCCAAAAAAGGTTCCCCACTCCTGCACTAATGCATTTAATTATACAGCAAGTGGTCCTTTCCTTTAAGGGACCATATTATTTTAGATAGCTTAATAAACTCTGAAAGGTTTTTTTTTTTTTTTTTTTGTTTTGTTTTTTACTGATCATAACTCATTCATAAATTCGTCTCTTGCACTGCAATAAGTTGAAACATTGGGGATGAGTGTGTCATAAAAGGAGAGAGTTGGAGGTAGAAGTCAGAGATGATGGTCATTGGCTGTTTAAAGTCCTTGAAGTTTCCATTTTAACTGAAACTGCAGTTCAGTGATTGCTAAGGATATTAACTCTTGTTTATTTGTGCAAACATGTTACTGCAGAAGGCAGCTGGGGGTGGGGGAAGCTGGCTCCTTGGAGCTGGAATGCACAGGGAGATAGCTTAAAAGCTGCAGGGAGACAGCTTAAAAGCCACAAGGCGACAGCTTAAAAGCCATCTCCCCCGCACCTCGGAGCACTGGCTTCTGCCTCCCCTCCTCCCTGCTGCCTCTAATACAGAGGCAGCAAGAGGGGATTGGGTCAGTCAGTATGATTAACTGATAAGGCCAAGTTTATCAGTTAACCATGTAATCAACTACATGCTAACATCCCTCATGATTGCTCTGTTATGCTCGTTGTTCTCTTCTAAGAAATGTGTTGAATGCAGTGAACAAATAATCCTGTTGTCCATTGCTTCCTGCACAAAGTTTAAGATAGAAAGGTGTGGCTTTTATCGAGCACTTCTGGTATGTTATTTTTGGGGAGATGGCTTTTTCCTTGCTAGATAAGCATAGCTGAATGGAGTTTCCCCTTGCCTTCCTTTTTCCCCTCAGTCCTTTTCCCCAAGAACAGTAGTAAGGGCTCTCCTATATGATCTAGAAACCTTCACCATTCCAAGATTTGTTGGTCCGTGTTTTCATCCCCGCTTTCTTTCTCAGCCATACTTGGTGCTGTTACAAGCACAACTTCTCTATGATCGCAAGAAGATGCTCCAAGAACATTGCATGCCATATCCATCTGGAAATTAAGATGCTATGAAAGCGTAATTTTTGAACCCCAACTGCCAGAGTAGCTTTATATTGGAGCCTTACTCATCGACATTAGGCTTATTAATAAAATGCAAAAACTTACTGTGGATTGTAAGGTCTTTTATGAAAGGTTCTAGTTTTCAGGTTGTATATAGAAGTAATCCTTGTCTGATAGTGTATGGATAATTTAGCCATATATACTATATAAATATTGTGTATGATTTATTGTATCTGGACTTTGTGCTTTTGATTAAACAATAGCAGAAAAGGACATCTTACCAAATTCAGCAACATAAGATGAAGACACTTTTTAAAAATTCTGTTTAGTGGAAGTTATGAATAAAAACAAGACCACTGCTTAGTTTTCAAGGCCCTTTCACTGAAATAGATAAAAATTTAGCCTTTGATATTTTCCAGTTGCACTTGAGATTTTTTTTTATCATTTGACTTTGTTTCATTGTTTTGTTTGTTGTTTCTTCTATTCTCTAGGTCCAGGGTCAGCCATTAATGGTACAAGTAAGCGGAGGTCAGCTGATCACATCAACTGGCCAGCCGATTATGGTGCAAGCTGTGCCTGGGGGTCAGGGCCAGACCATCATGCAAGTCCCAGTTTCTGGATCACAAGGATTGCAGCAGGTTTGTTTACTCTAATTTTTTAAGGAATGAACGTATGGCTGTCATAGTGCAGATCATAACCTAGTGTAAATTGTCCTCATTTCTTTGAAGTCAAGGGAGCCATGACAACTTACATTAGCTGAGGATCTGCACCAGTGAACACTGTGACAATTCTTGAGGTGCACGGGACTCCATCCCCTCAGCCAGAAGAAGAATTGTTTGAGCTTAACTTGTGCCAGCTCCCTGATGCATCCAGTCTCTTAGCTTCTGTGTCAGCCATTGCTTTGCCTAGCAGACCAATCTTTGAGTCACTTTGAAATGTTTCTGATGTAGTGTGCAGCCCCTTATCCACTGAATACTGATAGTAATTCCAAGTATGCTGTCCCCTAAAGAAACAGTTTACACCTTGAATGATTTGACCCAGGGTCAGCTCTTTGTATAATCCCACAGCATGGAGTTGTATTTATAGTGACAACAGTCCATGAATTTATTCTCAAAGACTACATTTTAGAAGATAGCGAGTAAAGATTATGGATACGGGTTAAGTATAAAACCAATTTATCATCCACTCCCTCGAGAAGTAAATTTCATTTAATCCCAAATGTCTTCTGCAGCATTTCAACCACGCCTGGTTGAGATCCCACTTCCTTGAATGTAAATGCCATTTACTTCCTTAGATGCATATAAAAGGAGAGGGGGTCATCTTGTCTTCCCTTGTGTGCTCCAGAGTTCATTGTCTGCCCCCAGAGACTGGACAGCCCCCCGTGGTTCTGTTTCCAGAGTCTTGTGTCTCTGTTGACTTTCCATTACCTTGCTGAGGTCATATGTAAAAGGGTTTCCATTATATTGGCTTCATATTTGACTTTTACTTCCTGTCTCGAAGAAACCTGTTTTTTCTCTTTGATCAGACTTCAAAACATATTTTAATACGTAATCAGGACTCCTTAACTATCATTTATATGTATTCTATACAATGATTGAGGATCAGTATGACAGACTTTTATTAGAGACCTTACATGTCGTTCTTCATGAATAAATACTATGAAAGGAGGTGCTAGGTACAGTAAATTTATCAGGCCTGTAAGGAGTTGCCATTATAAGATAGTGAACTCTTTTTGCCAGCTGGCTCCAGTGATCCTCTCTGTCACACCATATATTAAAAGTGAAACTTCTGCTGTATTTCAAGTATATTTCCAAGGGATGCTGCAAATATACTCAGCACAGTCCCTTGAACTGCAGCCAGAGCTTTTTCTGGTTCTTGGCAGCTGTAACACACAACTGTTCCATGCTTACTCATGTGGTCATCCCATAAAAATATGGAATTCCTTGAAAATGCTTCAGGAATAACATGAAGTTCAGTTATTCCAATGTATGAATGCTGGAGAGTTTAAAACCTGTGACTTCATAGAGTAATAGTGCTGGGCAGGATAGGATTATGTTCCAGTAATATACACTTTAGATCTATCTATTTAAAAGACAGCATTTGGTTTTAGGTAAGGCCTTTATGAGTGTTCCTCGAAAACAAAGGGTGGAAATATTAAGCAGCTCATACAAAAGATGAGTAGTTATCCTTGTTGGGGTCTGGTGATTAGAGCATGGGGAGTGTGAATCTAGAGTAGCAAAATTTTTGTCTGCTGTGCCACTGTGCACTGTGCTGATGGGCTTATTTAGTGACCTGTGAAATATTTCATTAAACTTAGCTGAAAGGCACTATGTATCCAGAAAGCATTATTATGATTTCTCAATATAATATGCTCTATATAGCTTATATATTTGAAGAAAGTGTGAAATTGGAGTTTTCAGCAAAGAGGGTTGATAGTATTCCAATTTATCTTGAGGGGTGCACCAAGGGAGGTAGGAGGTCTTTCTTCTCTGCAAGTTTAGAGTTGTACACTTTTGTATATACCAGGCTACTTCTGTGTGCTTGAAAATTAGCACTTGTGTTATTCTACAGCTATCTTAGTTAACCCTTAAAGTCCCATTCCTTCTGTGTTCTAGGTAAGTAGTATCCCAAGTCTCATGCTCAAGACAGTGGTATCTCTCTCTCTCTCTGATTATGCTGTGTTTTGTAAATAGTGGAGGATTGCTGGGCAATGTTCCCTCTTAATCTTTCCATCCATGTGTGGAATAAATGTTGTAATGTGTATCCATGCTTGCACGGATATTCACCACCAGTAGAAACATGTAATGCCAGTTGTGGATGCTCTGCTAATCCACGGGGCAGCATTTGAATCTCTTGGGTGGATGCCCTAGTGCTCAGCTTCCAGGGAACACTGCTGCTGGGGCATGTTCATGAGCAAATATATTTGCTCCTTTCTGCATAGTCTTTTCCTCTGTTGCATCAGTGATTGCTAAGTCACAGGGCAGGGTTACATTAAAACAAATTGTGTACATTATTAAAGGAAAATTACAGGTTACACCTCCTTAAACCGGGACTCTCTCGTCCTACAATATCCATGGTCTTGAACGAGAGAGACCCGGGGCAGGAGGGTTAGCAGCTGAGCGCCCTGCGAAAGGCGAGGCTGATGGTAGCAGGGCCAAGGCCTCAGCAGACCAGCGGCGGTAGTGGGGCCATGGTAGCTGGGCAGCCCATGCTTGCCGGCCCCGCAGTGAGGTTGTGCTGCGGCAGCCTGAGCGGGGCTGGATGCCGGCCCGGCAGTGGAGACAGATCCGCGGCAGCCTGACTGGCGGTAAGGCCAGGTTGTGGCAGTCTACAGGGGAAGTCAGTCTGGGGCCACAGCAGGTTGGCAACTCGATCGGGGCCGCATGCCTGTTGGCAGTGGGACTGGTGCCGTGGCAGCAGGGACAGGGCTGTGTGTTGCCATGCTGACAGTGGGGCTGAAGCAGCCATGTTGTCCAGCCAGCAGCGGGACCAAAGGAGCTGGCGGTGAGGAGGGGCAGCAGGCTGAGGGGGCCAGTAATAGGGGACCTTCCTTGGTCTGGAAAATTCCTTTATCTGAGACTGCTCAGGTCCAACCTCTAGTAGTTTTTTATTTTGGCTGCAGTAAATCATGGTTGGAAGATGATTTGATAATGCTGAGACCAAAGGGAGAAATAACAGTTAATGTTCCTTTCTGACTCTTTCTTCCACAGATTCAGTTGGTCCAGCCAGGTCAGATTCAGATTCAAGGTGGGCAAGCTGTGCAGGTACAGGGTCAACAAGGCCAGACCCAGCAAATCATTATTCAGCAGCCCCAGACTGCAGTTACTGCTGGACAGACACAGGTAACTACACCAGCATGAAAGGGGTTTTCCTGAAAGAAATGTCTGCAAATGGGTTTCAAAATGTATTATGTATGAAGGGAGGAACGTTAGAAAGTTTCTATTTAGAAACAACTAATACTGAATAAAACAACTTTGTAACTCATCACCTTTTATGCATTTTTTGTTTTTTTGCAGATCCCTTTGCTGGGACTAATTTGTCACCTTGTTTCAGCACATGGTTCTTTTTAGTACATTATTGATTTGGGATTCCCTCAATGAAAATGTTTACAAGTAAAAATATGGTTGAATTCAACTTCACACACTTCCCAAAATTGTAAACGGTTGCATGTTTAGGAATAGATTTTTTTTTAAGTTGTTTGAGTATCCGTTTAACATAAAATATGAGACCTAGATCTTAAACAAAAACCATTCCCAGTATATTAAAAGTATTTGTATATATAGAACTGCCCTTGTAAATACGGACATAAACAAAGATGGAAATCTTTAACTTCTCAGCCGTTTGTAAATGTGTGATGTTCTTTGTTTCATTAGACCCAGCAGCAAATAGCAGTTCAGGGGCAGCAGGTGGCACAGACCGCAGAAGGCCAGACCATTGTTTATCAGCCTGTTAATGCTGATGGAACCATTCTTCAGCAAGGTATGAGCTTTGGCATATAAAGGGCAGCACATTCTTTTAAGTCAGAGTTGCAAGTTTCCAGACACAAACTTAGCATTTCATTTCTTCTGGCTCTTCAGAGTTGAGAAAACACCCCTGAGATTGGGAGACTAAACTTGTTTTCTAAATTCCTCTTCCTTCTGTTACCACCCCTCTGTAGATCAACACTGAAGCTGAACCAGCTCAGCTCTGGGAAGACTGTGCTATAAGGCTGATGGTAGCACTCGGAAATCCAACCCCCTCAAGGGACCAAACCCTCAAATAAATCCATTCTTACCTTGTGTTTTACACAGAAAAATCTCAAAGATATTCACTCCTTATCAGTGAAAGAGAGAGTTACACTTTGGTTGCTCCCCCCAGGTATCAGTTATTTACACTGGGCTTGATAATAAACACAGATTTTTTTTTAAAGTATAAAAAGTAGAATTTAAGTGATTGCAAGTGAAAACAGATCAAAGTAATTTACTGAGCCAAAAGATGCCAGCCAGTTCTAATACACTGAGGAGCTCGGTACATGCAACTTCTTACCCTAAACAGTTGTTCTTATCTCCGATAAAATGCTTCCTGTCAGAGTTGATCTTTACACTGTCCTGGATCTACGCCTTTTCAGAGTACTGTGGAGTTTTTTGGCAAGGCAGTTTCAAAGGCCAGCTGAAGACAAAGAACTAATAGCTTTCCATTCCTTAAATAGACTCTCCCCAGGACACGGAGTCTTTGTTTAAAGCACTTACTGTCCCCATGGGAAAGTACCTGATTCAAGATGAATTCTAGTACCAGGTGGCATGGTCACATGTCTTTCTAGTACCAATCATAGTTTGGGTTTACAGGAAAAATAAAACCATTCATGGGTTGTTGGTTTGAGTACGGATCCATTAAGTTCCTAAAGTATTACTATTGGTCCTCGTTAGCACATTTAGAATTAAAAATGGATTCAAACTTCATATTTATAACTTCACATAAAAGAATAATACATGCACAAAAATAGGATATACGTATTCAGCAAAAGGTAACATTAAAATATGTTACATGGCCTATTTTGCATAAAGCATCTTAGAGTTATGCATATTCATAGTCATAAACCAATTTTCATAAATGGGGAGGGGGCTTGCCCGTAGGATTTTACTTCTCTTAACATCAGTAAGATTTTTTTTCTGATGTGCATTATATTGCTGTTAACAACATGTACTGTATCAGCTATGATGCAGAGAGTTTGAAATCTAGAAAAAAGTACAGGGGATTTTTTTCAGGTTGATCATACAGATTTACCTTTTTATAGCTAACTTTTTCAATAGCTGCAGAAATCCTTTTTCCAGACCACAGTGAAACAGATAGCGGAATTTATATACATATAAATAATCCCAAAAAGCTCTTAGTATGGACAGTGCAAAAGGGATAATGGAAAAAGACTCAGTTATTCACTTGGAGTTTAATGGTTATAAATAAGACTGTTGGGTTCCTGACAAATTGTTGGGAGAGTGCAAGCATTTACATTTAATTTTTGAGTTTTTCAGAGAAATGGCTTCACATTGGGGTGTGTGATTCCTATGACAAATGAACACTTTAAAAAGTTGAGTGCATTTGTGGAATAAGAACAGATGATGGGATTTTGTTAGTTGTTGCTTGTAAATTTTTGCCATCCTCTACACTATCCAAGAGTGAGTGAATGAAAATAGAAGTGGGACTAATTGTGTTCCCTTCATTCTTTCTGTGTGCGTGTTTTTCTTTTTTTTTGTTTTGTGTTTTATTTTCTTAAAGTTACAGTCCCTGTTACAGGCATGATCACCATCCCAGCAGCCAGTTTGGCAGGAGCACAAATTGTCCAAGCAGGAGCCAACACCAATACAACTAGCAGTGGACAAGGGACTGTAACTGTCACACTACCAGTTGCTGGAAATGTGGTCAATTCGGGCGGAATGGTTATGGTACGTATGGAAGAGTCAGTAATTGCAGTGTTTAACCTGTGTGTCAAATTATTACATAGGTCATGCTTCCCACAAGTCTCTTTAAAAAACTGGGATAAATAAATATTAACGTTGAATCCAGTAGCATTTTGCTGGTAGGGCATAAAACATTTTCATTGCCCTCACCTGCTGGAGTTGTGGCAGGGGAGGGAAGGAACCAAAACTGAACTCTCTCTCTCCCTCTCCCTTCCTCCCTTCTTCCTTCCCTCCCTCTCTTTCTGTCTGTCTCTCTCTCTCTTCTCCCCCCCTCCCTCCAGCCCTGGTTTTAATCTCTGAGTGGAGTTTATTCCTTTCCCTCAAAATTTTATTATCCAGCTCAAAAAAGTTCAACATTTTAATTTAAAGGGAAAACTCGTACTAGAGATGCTCACAAGTTTGAAGAATTCAAGCCAAAAACTTGCTATTCTTCAGAATCCCATAATTGTTTTTTTCTGCTAAATTAGGAGGTTTTTTTCTGCCTTTACTACATTTGTTCAGAAGCTCTCTTAGCTTGTGTTTTACTATTCAGTTCCATTAGATGGCAGCAGACCATTTGTGGATATCACTTGTTTATAATAATCATATGGAAATAGACAAATAGAACATGCATTAATAAAATTCCAGTAGAAGAGAGGAGTATATAACAGATTATATTGTACAGAAAAGTGACTTTCTTGGACCACTATGTATTATGGAGCTTTTTGAATTTGGTTATTTAGGAATTTTAACAGGTTTTCAAATCATTGTGTTAATATCAGATACAAAACAGTGAGTATAACTGACGTTTGCTTAGAGAAACTTTGTACAGTATTATTTCTCTATTTACATTTAATTTTATACAAACAACAGAGGGTCAGAAACATTGGCAATGTGTATATGCCCAACAGTTTGAATGTTGTGCAGGTGACTTTGATACTTCATTACTATGGAACAGACACAGTTGCTCTTGAGGCAGTGCGTCCTTTCACTTGCTTCTGTATTAGTATTTTTGGACTGATCAGATCTCCTTTTGTATGTAGCTTATGTCATGAACCATAGACATACGAGCGTGTTCTCTTTACACAGATGGTACCAGGGGCTGGATCGGTACCAGCTATTCAGAGGATTCCATTGCCTGGGGCTGAGATGCTTGAAGAGGAGCCCCTCTATGTAAATGCCAAGCAGTACCACCGAATCTTGAAGAGGAGGCAGGCACGAGCCAAGCTGGAAGCTGAGGGGAAAATACCCAAAGAGAGGAGGGTGAGAATATAATTCAAAGCTGCTTTTTAGGCACAGTGTGGAGAAATGACTTTGCATTATAAGGGGTACAAAAGGCATTCAGGGTGACATGGAGAAAATAACAGACCTCTTCCTGCCCCTCCTTTTGTAATATATGTTTGCCTGTCTCACTGATGGGTATTTCTCCTCACATTTTGTGTCTGACAGATGTCAGTCATTTCTGAGTCCATATGTTGCCATCCTGCTTACTTCCTTGGCTCTTAAGTATTGAAAGAATTTGTGGTTATATTGTATAAGGTGTGGGCACAGACTTTTCATTAAAAGGAATTGGTTCTGAGTGTTCAGCTAGCTGGAGTAATTCTGAGCTAGAAAGTATTGAATGGCTCTTGACTCTTTTTTTCTTATTGTTGCAGAAATACTTGCATGAGTCTCGACATCGTCATGCCATGGCTAGGAAGCGGGGAGAAGGTGGGCGTTTTTTCTCACCAAAGGAAAAGGATGGCCCCCATATGCAGGTGAGTAAAACTTCGCTTCCAGCTATCTTCTGTGTATGCCTGCAATGTGCACATACCAGTAGCCCTAAGAAATACACTTGAGCTCTAATTTTTTTGCTGCTTTCCTTGTGTCCTCTTGCCCTTCTCCATATTTCAAGCTTTATGTGAAAAGTCACTTACTGTGTAGAACAGACCCTCACGTAGTGAGGCCATAGTAATCTTAATATAAACGTGTGTTCAACTTTGTTTTATAAATGGAGAGGCATGGTAATAGCTGTATTTGTTTGCCAGTACAGAGCGGTGCAGTCAGCTGCTCCTCTTTGCCTGCTATTTCATGATTGTAGTGAAAGATGGAGGTAAATCAGTGAGCACTTAGTGTGAAATTCAAAAGTGGGCATGCTAAGATTTTTTTTTTTTTAAATACAGCTTTCATACTGTTTTAAATGAAGAGTGAAAGATGCAGGAGAGGCTTTTAGAGAAGAGAATATAATAGGATAGAAAATAGAAAACACTTATTGCCCTTTAGATCATTAAGGTTTCAGCCCACGACAACTCTTCCAAGTCTTCGATCCAAATCATGTCTAGTATATGCTAGGCTTGAGTTGCGAGCTGTTGTCAAAGAACAGAGCGGGGTTGCACAAAATTAATCTAATTTATACTGCAGTCTGGAATGCTTGGTTTAAAAGTCATAATTCTGTATGGTGTGTGATAAAGCGTTCTTGTCATCTATAATTTTTTCTTGTGTCCCTAGCAAATATAGGGAAAAAGTAGAGAGAAGATAAATTTTCAGGAGATGGAATGAATAATGCTGTCACCATGTTAAACTTAAAGGGATATAGATTTTACTCCTTAAGGGGCAGGAGAGACAAAGTTTAGCTGTTGTTTCTTAAGGAAGAAGAACCTTAAATTTTTCTCTTCACTCCCAAGAGCTAAAACTTCCTTAGTTCTTCTGAATGTGAATTCCACATTTTAACTCGGTGGATTTCAACCTGTGGATCTCAGACTGTGTAAAGGGTTTGCAAAAAGTTGTTGTTGTTGTTGTTATAGAACAGTGGTTTTCAAGTTTGGTCTGTGCATTTCCAAAGAGGGCTATTTGAAATCTTTTAGGGGTCAAAAATGAAAAAAAGTTTGAAAACCACTATTCTAACTAAGCTTCATTTGTGTTCTAACAGCTTTCTAAAGCCATTTAAAGGTACAGGAACACTTTTGGTGATATTGGCATCTCTTACACCTATGGCAATAAAAGATTTTTTGGAAAAGCTACTTTTGTCTTCTAAGGTTACATGATTGAGAAAAGATAAGGTATCTTACATTTACTACTGGAGCTGTGCTGTTTGACTGGAAGAGTCTTGCAGAGTTAGTTTCTTAACCCTGTGGGTTTTATACACCAGTGCCTCAGCTGGTGTAAACTGTGTTAGCTTCACTGAAGTCAGTATAACTATGCTGGCTTATGCTATTCTGAGTTTTTCTCACTCTTTGTATACAACTTCTCTTCTTTTAGACAAATGGGGATATTTGCCCTCAAGGATTGTCTGCTGTAGTAGAGGTATTTTTCTGTAAGGGAACGCTACAGCATCACAATATTGTTTGTCTTTTTTGTATCTACAGGATCCGTCTCAGGCAAATGAAGAAGCAATGACACAGATGATCAGAGTATCCTAACACCTTTCTGAAAGAAAAAGTAACTGAACAAGTTTCCTGCCCCTTTGCAAGTGTGTCCTATCTTACCAGTGTATCAAGCAAACCTTCCAATGGGACAATCACCATATCTCAGCCTACCCTTTTGTATCCGACAAAAACCACCTTGCCACTAAGTGGTTTGTTTGGGATTTTAACTGCAGTGGACTCAGCAAATAGAAATTGTAGGGACCTTCTTGGTATACCCTGTTTAATTGAATACAGGGGTTTGAAAGTCTGACAGTTCATGCCTTTTACATTTCTTGAATTAAGGTTGGCCAATTGACAGTGATTAGCAATAACTCTGGCATGCTGAAGCAGGGCTAACTAAGACCATAGAGAGCCATAGCCCTTCTGCAGAGGAGAAAACCAGTTTGTAGCAACCGAAACAAACATGGCTACACCACAGTGCTTTGTTTTCCCAATGGAGTCTTGTTGTTTTTATCCACTCCTCACAGCTTTGGACATTATTTACTGACAGCTGAACTGTTCACTTATATTTGCATTTGCCTTTCTGGAACTGTATAACAGAACAGAAAGAGGGTCTCTAAGCTCCATCCTGTAAAAATAAGTAGACCTCAAGCTCTTTTCTGGGAAAAGTTCAACCATTTTGTCAAGTTGGTATGAATATTGCAAGACTTTTACAAGAACTGAAATATTCTATATCTGTTCCAAGGAGTGAGCTGGGAGTGACACATTAACACATTGCTCAGAGTAAAGTAGGGAAAACAACTCATGTCTTTTGCTAGCAATTGAAAAGATAAATCCAACTGCTGGGATAAAAATGATAGAAGGGGTTGAGATTCTAGAAGAAGTTCAGTGTCTGTTTTTACTTTGCCAGTGCAGTGCTTGATTACTCCAAAAGAGAGAAAATCTGGAGCCTGAGAATGGAGGGGATTGAGTATTTCCCAGAGTGGCTGGTTTTGAGTGTCCAGGGGGTTATGTACAGTGCTTTGACCTTATTTGGGATGAAGGATGGCTCTATCACAGCTGGAGCAGAGCACAGCTCGAATGGGTGCATCCTGGTCCAGCTCAAAAGTCTAGTTATGTAGCGAGGGCAGATGTTGATGGTGATCCCTTTAGGCTTTTTATGAAATGTCCTCTTTTATAAACACAGCTCTTATGGAATGAAGGAGAAATATTTGCTTTTTTAAAAAAAAATAGGGTCCCTCTTTTGTGACTTCTTTATATTGCTTCCTATTGAATTATTTGTGATTAGCCGCTGTTATTTTGAACTTGGTCCATCATCATGGGTTTGAAATTTGGCAATGGGAATCTGAGGCTTCTAGAGCTTTCTAGCAAGTGACATTTAGCTGCCCATTTCCACCCTTGCCTCCATCCACACTTTAGCGTAGGTAATTCTGCTGCTTCCAGTTTTTGTGTGCTCTGTGGTTTAAATCTTAAGACTCTGTTGGGTCACAAGAATGAAGTGTGATGGGTGAACCTGAATGACAAAAGCAGTAGAGAGGAGAGTCTTCATGGGCAAAGTAGTGAAAAAGGCAATTTGGAAAGGCCAGGTAAATTTCAGGGGAGTCTGTCTTAAGGAAGCAGCGCAAGCACAGTTGTCGGGAGAATATGTCCTATACCATCTCTTCAAATCATGACAAAAGAGGAAAGCTCAAGGTAACAACTTAGTTGTGCAAACTGCAGGAAGAAAATAGAGTGGCAAACAGAAGGGGGGGGGGAACAGTCCCAACCAAAAGACCCCTTTCCTTTGGATAAAAGGATACTAAATCTAAGACAGTTAAAAACAGGTGGACGAGGATCAAAGAGAAACAGAAAAAGGGGAAATGATGTATTTCAGTTTGTCAGCAGTCAGCCTGGAGTGGGAGAGTGCCTGAGCATCTGTTCTGCCAAGTTCAGTGCCTCTTGACCCACCATGATTGATAACATGAAGTAAAGCTTGCAAGGACCTGTCTGATTTGTTGGTGACATCCACAGTTAAAGGGTAACATGGAACCCTAGTTTGAATTTGAGATGTGTCAATAAAGGAATAAACTATTTTTTATATTCTGTCTTTGATTGTGTTTGTCACCTGCACAAATATTCTGTTTCTGAATTTGGCATTGTCATTTTTTATTCAAAAAGCATTACTTTGCCTCCTCCATTGTTGGCATCTCTGGCTGCCTTTTGGTTGCTCCAATTTACAGTATTTTGGCCAATTAAGAGTATGGTGCTTTTTTTTCTTCACTCAGCTACTATGAAACCCTTGCTTAACATTTTTTGTCATGTCACCTGTTTCAGGAATTATCTAGTTCTTTCCTAGTGAAGGAACAGTAAATATTTTGCTTTGTTTAAATGAACATTATTGTAAATACTTTTTAAGAGCATTTGTACATTTTTTTTCAGTCTGGGTTACTGATGCACGTTGGGGGCGGTGGGGAGGGGGTGGAGGAGGAGGAGTTCCATTCTGGCTTTTAAGGTAGCTTCTCAATCTTTCGCTTTCATTTTACAATCAATTTCTATCCCTGTGAATCTTCTCTGGGAGTTGGGGGAAGTTAGGGAAATGGAGGTTGTTGGTCTGACATCTCGTATCTTAATCATTAGCCCCAGGGTTTGTTTTCATTAAGAACTTATCAAACTCTTCACAGAACATTCAGAACTTCATCCAGATAATTCTCCTACCCCTACTTAAGTTCTTTGATCCATAGTTGTAGAAGGTGTATAAAGACCTATGCATTTGTGCTACATAGAGAGTTCTTGTAGTTAAGTTTGTATACAGTGGTGTGAAAGCTGGGTGTTAGTCATATACCGTTTTGGTTTGTTTTGGTTTTCCTGTATTCATTGACCCTTCTGAAGGCCTTTGTTTGCTCAGTGAGATTGAAGATCTCAGCACCATGTTACAAAAAGCTTTCAGACTTTTTTACAAATAAATTATAAAACTGGAGATGTTGCCAGATAAAAGCCTGTAGTAATGGGCTGTGAGAACTTGAGCTTTTATATTGGCTAGATTTGGACATATCCAGATTGGGAGCTCAGTACACAGTAGGACAGATCAGGATACAATAAATAATGATGGGTTTAAGAACTCGGTGCTTGGTTATTTGACTTCTAAAGCGCTGGTTCAGCGAACCTATCAAAACCAGTTTTATACAAATGTAGAATGGGGTGTGGGAAATGATCCCCCAAGTGATGCTAAATAGTTGCAAAGGCTTTTGCATGTTAAAGTCTCTTTCTTACTTTGTGGAGGGGGGGAGACATTGAGTTTTGTGTAACGTAAGGCGAAGTTTGTAAATAGTTAAAAAGTTTATAATTTTTTTTATATGATGCATTTTTTCAAGTGTATTTTGTCTTTAATAGATGCAATTGTAAGTACTGTGTACACTATCCAGCAAATAAAAACTTTATAAACTTAGAGTTCCTGGCTTTTTCTTTCTTATCTCTTTAAACTTTTCTGTAGAGTGATTGCAGTTCAGTGGAGAAGAATTTTGTCTTTTCTTTTGCACCACCTGTGCCCCTCCCCCCAAAAAAGTTCTAACCCTGTAAATGGCACCCATAAGCGGACTCTAATCTAGTAATCTGCGAGCAAGCACCTTCAGGCAGCCAGTCTCCTTATAGCATAGCTTGCAATCATGAAGAATGGTTGGACTATGCCTGTAGGATCTTGTTTAATTTTCCTGTGTGAGGGCTAAGGGAGAGGGGGGAGAATCTGTGATGGGAGCTTCCTGCAGGATGGGGGCAGACCATGAGGGAGCAGGAAGCAGAAGACTTTTCCTTATTCTTCCTTCTCTCTTGCCCCATATTCTAGCACAACAAAGACCTGGATTAATCCGTAACAGTTAAACAGCTATTTAAGAGCTGACAGGTCATGGATTGTGGAAGCTCTGATTGGCTGAGCTTGGGGGTCTGGCCCTGCAGTGGGGAGTTCTGATTGGCCGAAGAACTTTGGAGTGCTTGATGCTGCTTCTGGCATCAATATGGCAGCTTTTGGGAGGAAAGCCTTGGTGGGGAGCATCCAGGATGGATCCTTTCAGAGAGGAGCTGGAGATATGGGAACATTAGCTCGGTCCTCTCATTGGGGAAAAATGGAGGAGTTGACTGGGACCCCTCAGTGGAGGATGGGGGACATGAAGCCAGCAGGAGAGCCCTCTCAGTGGGGGAAGATGAGTGTGTCAAGTGGGTCTTTTCAGGTCACAGCAGCATCTGATGAGTCCCTTCAGACAATGGGGGCATCGCAAAGCCCCCCTCAGAGAGGAGCGGGGGATATGGCGGGTGTGAGGAAGGGAAGGGAAACGACCTCGCGGAGCAGATTCCCTATGTGGGGTGAAGGGGACAGGGGAAGCTTCAGCTGGTCCCCTCAGGGTGGGAAGGTAGCAAATGAATCCCTGCAGAGGCTGAAGGAGAAGTCAGTGGCTGGGACTTTACGCCAAGGAGAGAGGCCATTGTTTTCCTGTGGGCCCCCACAAGAGGTGGGCAGAGTGGAAGTGCTGACGGACTCCTCTCAGGAGACGGGGAAGGAAGTGGAGGTGAGCTTCCCTCCCAGGCAGGTACAGGTGGTTGCCCTTCTTCCAGACCTGCTAGTGTTTAGTAATCACTCCCCGGGGCGGACGCTGCCTTCCCTGGAGACCTTCAACGGCGTCTTGCTCTTTGTGGAGCTTACAGGTGAGGAGCAGGGCTGCCTGTGGCAAATTTCTCTTCATATTCCCTTGGTGGGCGGGGCAACCATTCTAGCTTGTCAGTGGGTCAGCAGCTGGCTTCTAAGTATTTTCAGCATTGGGGTCCTGTGTGAGGGGTGCTTTAAGGCTGGTCCTCAGTGAACTTCCGAATCTTTCCTTTGAGTCTGATTTATCGAGGTTCTTCTGTCAGTGGTATCTGAGCGTCCTTGAAAAGAATCTCTTGGTTACTATCCCCTCTGCCAGCTGTGTGAATGAACTCCCAGTCTCGACGGCCCCATTCTGTGGTGATTTGACCTTGTGAAACTCTGGCACAAAGTGGCCTCTGTTTTGTTTTGTTTTTTCAGTTGAACCCATCTGTCTACATGTCTCCTTGCCCCTGCTCCCTGCTGCATCCGGAAGCAGCTTTGCTCCACCATGCAGGTGTGACAGTTCCAATGATCAGGACTGAATCCAAAAACCTCAGTCTAGGATTTGGGGAGCAGTGTGAGCATCACCACAAAGTTCTAGAAAGCACTTCCAGTCATGTATTTCATATATACCAGCCTCACCACAAACCCGGCATCATTCAGATGTGCGATGGGAAGTGTATTTGATAGAAACAGCTGAGAGCTAGGCAGTTAGGCATCTGTGTATCTGGTGGTACAATACCGAAAGCTCCCTTGAGACGACGGTTGAGACTTCTGTCTTCTTGTTTGTGTCACAGGATTCACTGCTCTCCTTGAAAAGCTATACACAAACCACGACCTGAACTGTGGCACAGAATTGCTAACCCAGATGCTCAGTGATTACGCAGAAGGGATAATGGAGCGTAAGTACCTCACCTGCAGGTGGGGAGATGACATGTCTGTTCAGGGCTATGTAAACCTGAGAGTGGGAGATTTTCCTGGTGGTGGGCTTCCAGAAGGATCTCCTGACTCTTCACTGCTCTCTCCAGGTATCACATATCCATCATCCTCCTGACCAAATGTAACTGGTTGGACACTCCTCTCTTTTGTGGCACAGAAGAAAGTTTCCCCCTTAAAAGGGTTGAGGGAGGCTTTTGAAGGGGCAGTTATGATGCCGCCCTCACAGTCAGTCAATAGGGGTGTGTCTAGACTACATGCCTCCTTCGACGGAGGCATGTAGATTAGCCAGATCGGAAAAGGGAAATGAAGCCGCGATTAAAATAATCGCGGCTTCATTTAAATTTAAATGGCTGCCCCGATCTGCCGACAAACAGCTGATCGGCAGATCGGGGCAGCCATTTAAATTTAAATGAAGCCGCGATTAAAATAATCGCGGCTTCATTTAAATTTAAATGGCTGCCCCGATCTGCCGACAAACAGCTGATCGGCAGATCGGGGCAGCCATTTAAATTTAAATGAAGCCGCGATTAAAATAATCGCGGCTTCATTTAAATTTAAATGGCTGCCCCGATCTGCCGACAAACAGCTGATCGGCAGATCGGGGCAGCCATTTAAATTTAAATGAAGCCGCGATTATTTTAATCGCGGCTTCATTTCCCTTTTCCGATCTGGCTAATCTACATGCCTCCGTCGAAGGAGGCATGTAGTCTAGACACACCCTAGGAGACAAGGGCCACTCTCCCCTAAGAACCTTTGAAAGGGCATTAGTTTTATTTTGTGTCTCACCACCTGGTTGCTTCTGTCACAGGAAGGTTCCAGTTCTCTCTTCTCTTGGGGGGGGGGGGGAGTCTGTGTATTGTAAATAAACAGCACAAACCGGAAAGGGTCACTTGTCAACTCTGGGTTGTCAGGGCTGCCCATCTGCACTGGGTCAAGGTGGGCTCCTTCTCCCTTCTTTCACCCATATGACAAGTTTCTGCAGTTGAGCTGCATAGCTGGTGTCATCCAGTCTCTAAGAAATGTCAACCTGTTACCAGGCCTTACAGCTTCCGGGCTGCCCTACATGTCCAGCCACCAAAAAGCATAACAGCTATGACCTACTTGAACATGGGTTCCGAGCAAGTCTTCATGTAATTTATTAAAAGTTGCATCCTATCCCACCTGCCCGTTCATTGGTTTTCACCCTGTTTATAATATTTTTCCAATAAGCATGTATGTGATGAAAAATAACCTTATAGAGCTACGACGGAAGGTCATGCTCTTACTCATATTTCTGCTTAACAGCGGTTTAACTCTTAACTTGTTAATACTTTATCATCTCTCTTATTACATTTTGCTAAGTTGTAGGAGGGAATTCTCTAGGGTTGTCTTCTTATATCTAACTTTCTTATGTTGGTGTTATTCATGTGTTAGGGGAGAAAAGCTCTGAAATAAGATTGTACTGTTGCGGTATAGAGGGTGGAAGTACAGGTGGAACTTCCCTTGTCCGGCACCCTCAGGACCTGAGTGGTCCCAAACAATGGAGTTTGCGGGGCAACGGGAGGTTAAGGCTCCCTATCAGGCTGTAGGCTTTGCTCCCGGCTGCGGCTGTGCTCCCTGCCACTGCATCCAGCCCCACACCGTGTGAATCCTGACCAGAACTGTGTTCCCCCACCTCAACAGCCCCAGACAGAGGCTGGCCCCACTGCCTCCAACTCCAGTTGAGGCTGCACCCTCTACGGTGCCAGCCCAAGGTGCGTACCCAGCTGCCAGGCTGGCTGACACCTGTGCTCCTGACTTCCGGTCCTGCCCTCTGCGCCAGCCTCGACCTGGGCTGTGTTTCCCACCTCGCCAGCCCCGGGCGAGGCTGCACGCCCCCCTCCCCAGAGTCAGCAGGGGTGCTCTGTTGGCTGCAGACTCTGCTGCCTCCAGCCCCAGCTGAGGTTTGTGCTCCTTGCTGTCAGGCCTGGCCAGGGCTGTGCTCTCCACTGCACCATCCACAATGGGGATGGGCTCCCCACCACCAGCCCAGCCCGAACTGCACTTCTGAACCTGGCCAGCCAGGGTTCTCTGTTCCAGCAATATCTGTGGTCCTGCTGGACCATGCTTGTTGCTGGACCAGCAAGTCCTGGATTTTAGAGGTTCACCCTGTAGCGTGTTTTAATTCCATAAGCCAGGAAACTTCCGCAGTGCAGGAGATGTCCACAGTTAGCCAAACAGTATTGCTCTGCTATTGAGGCAAAGGAATATATTAAAGAAGATGCAACCCCTGCTCCCAAGGCGTTTGTAAATGATGTGCCCTGCTGGCTACCATTACTGTGTTTCTGAACTTTGGGTTCAAAACTAGCTCCATAGAGTTGAGAGAGCGAAATCCCTGCTCTTTCTTCTTGGCCACGTTGGGCTCTTGCTTGCTGGCCCATCAATGACTCCTGCCGTGATGTGCTGAAATAGGTGCACACCCGAGCATAAAAAGATGGATCTAAAGTGGCAAATCCTGGGATACTGACCTCTTGTGGTGGTTAGCGCTCCTGGCAAGAATTTTAATTTGTCGGTCAATAATTCTGAGGTGCTCCCCAAATTCCAATTAAAATAATTACGTTTTGTCTTCCTCTTTGGGGTAGGGCATGCCTCTGTCTCCGTGTTCGTACAATGAGGTTCCCAAGCTTGCTCAGGGTCTCCCCGCACTACCATAAAACAAATCCCCCACCCCACCCTGGGTCTCATGGGCGTGAGGTTTTCCCTTTCCATCCCCCGTGGCTGGGCAGTCTTTCTATGCGTTATAAAGCAGGGTTCTCTGTGCCAGCAATGCTAAAGTGGCTCTTGTGTAGAGCTATCGTTCGTAAAGTTCTTCGGGATGAAAGCAGCTCTATAATGAACATGCCGTTCTATTCCGTCTCACTCATTCATTTTCTGTGCTCCTCAGATGTGCTTTGTTTCGGGGGTGATATCTTGACCTTCACAGGTATGTATGATGTTACACTATGCCTTTGAAATTCATCAGTGGCTATCAATGTTCCCTCTAATTTTTCCATGCATGTGCGGAATACATTTTGTTATGCGCACCAAGGCATGTGCAGATGTGCACCACCAGTAGAAACACACGCTGCTGGCTCTGGGGGCTCTGAAACTCTCCTGGGTGGCCACCCAAGTGCTCACCTTACAGGGAACACTAGTGGCTATTATGTTATTTTTGGCCTAGCTCTCTGCCTGCTGGAGCATAAAATGGCAACACTCCCATTGGCTTCAGTGGTGCAGGTTGGAGCCCTTCATGGATCTGACCTTCTGCAAATAACAAACGTGGGAAGAGCCATCGCTGTTTCCTGACCCCTCCATTCTGCTCTCTTGGCTGCAGGGGAGGCGTTGCTGGCGCTCTGGAAGGCAGAACGAAACCAGCTCAGTGACATCATTACACTGGTAGCAAAGTGCAGCCTGGAGCTGCAGGAGCAGTTTGGGTCGAGCGATACGGAAATGGGCCGAGAGCTCCGACTGAAGATCGGTATGGACGCCCTATGGTAGAAAAACGTCACGGCCCCAAAGAAACCTCCCCGTAGCTAACTGGTTTCTTTCCTTGTCAGGGCTGTCTGCAGGCCGCGTGTCTCAGCTTGTCGTCGGCGATGAGACGCGCCGGTATTGGCTGGTGACTGGCCAGCAAGTGGATGACGTGAGGCGGGCCCAAAGCCTGGCGCAAGCTGGAGAGGTGATCCTATCACCGAACGGCTGGGAGCTCTGTGACCGGGACTCGTTAGAAGCCGAAACGCTCAAAGGTCAAAAAGCCATGAAGGTAGGAGCATTTACAATGACTCTTAGAAGTGGGGTCTCCTCCCACGTCCATCTATGTCGGTGGTTCTCAACTGGTGGTCCATGGTGACTTTTTCAGTGGTCCACAGGAACATTGTCCGAAATCCCACAGCGTGAGCAGGCGCCGCCGTTAGGCTGTTTTACGCCATGTTCACAAGCAGTGCATAGTCAACCTGTGGAACTCCTTGCCAGAGGATGATTCCCTGTTCTGTTCATTCCCTTTGGGGTACCTGGCTTTGATTACCTAGGACGCAACTGCGTTGTGTTGCCAGTAACTTTCGTCTGAGGCTCTGAGCATCAGTGTAGCTGCAGCCATCGTGCTGAGCGGTTGCTGTGTCGTTCGTCCTGTGCTACACGTGGTGGAGGTGGTCCACGAACATTTTTTGATTGGCCTGGTGGTTCGTGGACTGAAACAAGTTGAGAACCACTGATCTATGTCAAAAGAGGAGAGCCTGACTGAGTCCAGGATCAGCCCGTTAGCAACGCAGATCAGACTCCCATGTGCTCATACGCTTCCCTTTTCCTCCCTAGCTAGTGGGGCTCTTTCCTCAGCTCAGCTGCTTGTGTAGCCAAAGATTGAGGGTTGTGCTATGCCCAGCAGGTGCTGAATGGCTACTGGGTGCTTTCCCTCTGAGGGACATTTGAGGGCAGCAAACTGTCCCAAGAAGCAACTGGGTTTTTGTCATGTCAGTTCTTCCCAGTCTCTGCTGATCACCGGGTGGGGTCAGGAGATGCCGGTGGGCTGACGGAAAGACTGGGCAAGGCGAAGGGTGGGGAGGCCTGGCTCTGCACTCCCAGAAGAGGCAAGGCCTCAAGTAAAAGGGGCGGAGCTAGGACTATCCTCTCCCAGCCAGCCCTTCAGAGCAGTATCTTGCCTCGATCTCCCCAGACAACCCTCCCAGCCCCATGGAATGCACTGTGTGGGGGTCCGGCAGTGATTTAAAAGGCCCGGGGGGTCCTTTGAATTGCTGCCTTTGCTGCCGCTCCCTCCCCCGTTGGCAAGCCTGAGTGAACGGCGCCGTTCTAGAACCTTCTGGCCTGATTTTCGGAAGTGCTGAGCACCCCTAAGTCCTAGGGAAGCCCATGGCAGTGGGAGGCGCTCAGCCGCTTTGTAAATGCACAGCCTATAACTTCCCACCAAAGTGGGTCTGAATATAGCCAAGGAAGGTGGGAATGATGGAGTTAAGTTAGGGAACAATTTGGGCCGAGCGAAGGGTGAGATCTGGAGGGTTCCAGCTTTCGTGGGTATATTACTTTACTAGGCAGACTTGGGGAAAATGACACTGTCGACGATCTTCCTTTTTACTCAGCTGAGATACCTAAAGATCTTCCATCCTTCGGATTTTGATGAACACTTTGAAAAGTGCATAGACCATCTACAGCACTATCCGAATGATGAAGGTGAGCTCCTCACATTCTGCAGCTGAGCCAACAATGCAGGAACCGTGTAATAGTGCAAGCCCCTTTTTTTAAAATAGGTAGCTGGTTTAAAACAAACAAAAGGACATACTTCTCCATGCAGTGCATAGTCAACCTGTGGAACTCCTTGCCAGAGGATGATTCCCTGTTCTGTTCATTCCCTTTGGGGTACCTGGCATTGATCATTGTTGGAAGATAGGATATCGGTCTAGATAAGACCTGCCATTCTTATGTTCTTAAGTTATTTTCTTTGCCTCTCAATAACTTAAACCCTTTTAATTCCTTCCCTAGTTCTGCTGAGAAATGCTGTGACCCTGGCTTCCAGTCATGAACTTGAGGTGGCCTTGCGTAGGTTTGTCTTGGGAAATGTTCTGAGAAAGGTAAGAGGTTGACATTTCTGCTCTGATACGATGAATCCTCACCCCAGTGAGTGAAGAGAAGAAATCCCAGGTGCATGAAGGAGCCAAGTCTTTTCCCCCATGTTCCTTGTCCTCCAGATCGATGACAATCAACCCCTGGAGCTTGTGTCTGAACTTCGACTGATCAGTGTCGTCTTTGTCCAGCTGCAATTTCCTGAGAGCACAAAGGCAACAGAACTATGCCATTCACTCCAGGATGCCTGCATGAGCATCTCTGGTATCCTGCAGGACTGGCAAGGCAAAATTCTCAAAATCTCCACCTGTGGCAAAGTGAGTAAAACAGGGCTCCACAGTGCAGTGAAATACAACTCAGCAGGCATAAGGATCATAAGAACATAAGAACGGCCATACTAGGTCAGACCAAAGATCCATCTAGCCCAGTATCCTGTCTGCCGACAGTGGCCAATACCAGATGCCCCAGAGGGAGGGATCACAACAGGTAAGCCTCACGTGATCCCTCTCCTGTGACCCTGTGGGATCACTGGGAATTATGGAAAAGCGTGCTCACTCGGGGTACGTCTACACAGCAAGATTATTTCGAAATAACTTAGTCCGCGTCCACCCAGCAGGCAGTTATTTCGAAATAATGTTGAAATACTGTCAAGCTGGAGGACTTCTTACTCCGACTCCTGTCACCCTCATTGTAGCTCAGTTTGCATCGCTTATTTCGAATTAAGCCCTGCTGAATAAATGCACCCTAGGATGGCACGGGTAGGGACCATTCAGCTGCCAGCCAGGCACAGAAAATCTCAAATCAGAGGTGTGTGTCCAAGAGTAAGAACTGAATGATGTTTGCAAGGAAATGGGATGGTAGGTACCTGGTGCTTTTGACCTACATGGCACTTTGTATTACAGCAGTCCGTAGAAATGCCAGATGAGATAAGGGGCCCATTTGTGCTAGGTGCTGCCCACGTGCCTAGTAAAAAATAGTTCCCACACCAAAGAACTTATTACCTGAAAGACAGTGGATGGGGGAAGGGAAGCATCACCACTCAAACCCAGATCTGTTAAGTCCCAGCCTTCACCACAGGGCCGGAAGGGAAGCATCACCACTCAAACCCAGCCTTCACCACAGGGCCATCCTTTTTCTCCCCCTCCCCTTCCCCCACCTTGTTCCCAAACTCTTTATGTAACTGTATGTAAAGTGCATCATGCCGGTAGCTCTTCAGAATTTAAGCATTTAAAGAAGTCTTGGGTGTTTGTACTAGCTCAACACACAGCTGGGTTGACCCTCTTTGGCATATCCTTAATGTGATTCATGGGATGCTTATTAACCTTTTTGCAATCTCTCCTTTTCTGTCCTTCAACACAGCGTTGCACGTTTCTGTGTGCCTTGGGGCTGCCTGGGGACAAAAGGGACGAGGAGAGCACCCATGCCTTAGACAGTGCAATTAGCATCTCTGCTTTCTGCTCAAAGAATCTCATGAAAATTGAGTAAGTGTAATGACCCTCTGCCTGGGTCATCCCAATCTGGGATCTTCAGTACCACAGTGCTGGCTTTTACCCCCAGAGATAAGGGGGTAACGCTATTAGCTGGCAGCAGTAGTTGGCTGTTATCTTTTCATGGACCAGGCACTAAAAAGGAATGTGTCATGCATTCTGCCAGGGTGATACATAGTAATAAGAAACATCCTATCAAGTTAGAGAAAAGTACAAGGTGAGATCTCTTGGGACACACGTACAGTGAGTGGATCGTGGTGATATTCAACATGCAGGAGCTTGGAATGCCCTTGCTCTCATACCTTAAAGAGACACGGATTGCTAGGTTATTTTCTCCAGGTTACTTAAGACCAGCTTGTGTTTTGCTCTTGTTCCTTTCAAGGGCACCATTTTGGAAGAGTGGAGGAGGGGAGGGGGAAGAGGCAGCAGCCGCTATCAAGGTAGGGTTGCCAGATGGTTTCAACAAAAATAACGGACACACTTGACATTACGTCACAATCTACATTACATCTTATTTAGAAAATACCGGACATTTATATTTTCTCATTTATATTTTCTCAATTAGTTTCCTGAACAAAAAGCTCAAATACTGGACTGTCCGGTTCAAAACCAAACATCTGGCAACCCTATATCAAGGAGAGGACACTACATAGATTTTGTGAATTACTTCTCTGCTCCTCCCCACCAGCGAGGAGTGAGAAGCATGCTTGCAAGCCATGCACTTTCCCCTTGCTCCCTGATAGGCAGGGGAACGGGAAGAAAAGCAAGCTGCATCCTGATACGCCTGGCTGCTGCCCCCCTTTCTCACTCTCCCGAAATGGCGCCCTTGGTTCTTTGGTCCAATGCAGTGTTGGAATTGAGCTGCTGAGATTTTCTAGGCTATGGGAGAAACATTCATTTGTTCTAACCTCCCCTTGTGGATGATGCTGGCTGCTGCTTGAGAAAATGGGGCCCGGCCATAACTTAATTCCAGTGCTGGTCGTGAGTGGGAGTTGTCACGGGGTATTGACAACCAGAATTAACAAGAAAACTATCGGAAAGCAACTGTGTCAGGACCACACACTGTCAGGCTGGATCACAGCAGGCATCTGTCTAGTCTAGTGTTCTGTCTCTGACCTTAATTGGCACCAGCGGTTTCAGGGGAAAGTGCAAGAATTTTGGGGTAATCCTCTCAAAGGGAAATCTTCCTGGCCCCATTATTTAGAGATTGGCTTGTACCCTGGTGCATGAAGGTTTATATCTCTTCCAAAACTCTTTAAAAAAAATCCTTACCACTATAATCCTGGAGGTTCACTGTGTGTTTTATTCTTGGAAGGAACCGGTAACTACTCGGGATAATATGTCTCTAATGCTATTACATGCCTGATCACCAGCTGGTGCTGTGAAAACCACCATTGCTCTGAGATCAGGACATGGCAAAAGCGTTCCATGACGTTGTGGGACCGAGTGTTCATTGGCCAATGGAGAAGCCAATCATTTATGACAGGCCCCAAACCAGGGCTGACGATAGACTTCGCTGGGTCGTGAGCAATGTGTGGGTGGGTGGGAGGGCGGGCTCGGCTCTGGGTGCCGTGAAATGGGCGGGTCCTTAGGAGGAAGGGGCTGGGCTAGAGATAGCCACTCCTGAGTTCCACCTGGACTGCAGTGGCTCTCAGCGCCACCCAGACCAAGCCGCATGGTGATTTAAAAGGGCTCAGAGTCCTGGGGTCTTTTAAATTGCTGGGCAACTGCCCCTTTTGCCTCCACCCCGGTCAGTGGCCCTCCCTAAAACAGTCGTGGCAAGCCCTGAAATGAGTCTAGCTCCCTGATAAGGCAAAGAGAGTCAGGAATGTACAGCTATGAAGCGTGCTAGCAGGGCCTGGCTGATTCCTGGCTGTGCTTCCTGTATTTTAGGTGTGTTTCCGTTGGGATTTCAAGCGGGTTAGCGTTCTGCGGAGTTGTTGGCACGCGTTCTAGACAAGAATACACAGGTAGGCTAGGCCGTTGCTGTGCAGTGCGTGCGCGTGAATTCATTCACTCGCTCACTGCCTTCCTCCGTACTCTGTTCCTGATGCAGTCATGGGCTCGAAGGTTCAGCTGGCCTCCCAGATGCTGGAGCTCTATCCAGGGGTGATCTCGTGCGATGAAGAGACTTATTCAAAATCTGGGCTGCCCAGTTGCTTTTTCAAGAAGCTTCCGGAGAAGGAGATGAGCCCTGGGGTAACCTATGAATATCTCGGCAGAAAGAGAAACCTGTAAGTCGCTCCTATGTGCTCCATCTAGGGCAAGCAAGAGAGAAGGGACAATCGAACTCTGTTAGCTCAAAGGCTGAATATTCTTATCCCAGAGAGTTTGCAAAGAGGCGCAGGGGATTGGGATTCCCCTGCCCTTCCCATCTTGCTAAATAGAAGCTAGGTCCTGACTTTATCCCGGCTACATGGAAGGAGTTCTGGTAAGGAAAAGTTTGAGAACCACTGTCCTTACTCAAACTGTTGCCTGAAAAGTCCTCCAACCCCCTACATTTCCACTGGCATTCAGAATGGGCTGTAGGCAGGAATTGAAGGAGCCCATCTAACTCTTTCATTTCGCCTCCAGGCTGCCCGATGGGCTCGGAGATTTTCTTCCATTTCTCTTTATTTCTTTCCTACTGTGTGATGATCCGGACAGGCGAGCAGTGACTCTTGTCTGCCCTTCCTCCTAGAACCCTTGCAAAGTCAGGCTTTCCCAGGAAGAAGGATGGGAATCGACCCCTGTTGGGTAGGTAGGTCTGTCCTCCTCACAGTGTCCATAATGTGCAGAACATCCTTGAAGGTGGCAGGAGCAGAGGGGCTGACAGAATTACCAGGGACCCTGGACAAGGGGGAGGCTCCATGCTCCCGGAAAGGACGGGGCCTTGTGCGGAAGGGGCGGGGCTGAGGCAGCGAACTCTCAGCATCACCCGGACTGTGCCGCCTGGAGTTCTGGTGGTGATTTAAAGGGCTTGGAGCTCTGGCCACTGTCACAGCTGTGCCATGCCTGATCGCCAGCCCTTACTGCTGCCTGAAGCACACTGCTCAGCACTCTGGCGGTGATTTAAAGGGCCCAGAGCTTCATCAGGCAGTAGCAGCCTGATCGCCAGCCCTTACTGCTGCCTGGAGCACACCGCTCGGCGCTCTGGCGGTGATTTAAAGGGCCCGGAGCTTCATCAGGCAGTAGCAATAGGAGCCATGGGCCCTTTTGAATCAGGCCTGGGTGGGAGGGAGAAGGACGTAGGAAAAGCTAGGAAGGGGAATTACCATCTAACAACATGCGGGATCACATTAGCCACACATGTTTGTTAAAGCAAACAGTCAGGTCTGATTTTTCTAACAACATGCGGGATCACATTAGCCACACATGTTTGTTAAAACAAACAGTCAGGTCTGATTTTCCCCCTCCCCTGTTCCCCTGAGCCCACAGTTCAGACACTTATCTGGTCAGAGATACTAATGGCTGTAGGCCAGAGCCAAACAGCTTTCAAGGCGCTGGTGACTGAGACAAAGATGCAACCTATACAATGGGGGTATGTCTACACTACAGCATTATTTTGAAATATCTTATTTTGAATTAATGGGTCTACACACAAAAATAGCTTTTTGCTATTTCGAAATAGCACGTCCTCACTGATTGGACGCTGAATCATATTTACAGCCAGACAGAACTGGTTCCAGCAGGGCATCGGGTCACAAGTTACCTTGTGGCCAGGGTGGCCAGCAGCGCATCCTGGGAAGGGCTGGAGTCCCCCTATTTCGAAATAAGCATCTACACAGCACTTATTTTGAAATAGCAATTTCAAAATTGGAGCTATTCCTCGTGGAATGAGGTTTACCAATTTCAAAATCCTTCCTCTCTCTCCCTTTTCCGCTTCTCCCAGCTCGAGTCCGACCTCGCTGCTGGTCCTGGCCACGAGGTAACTTCTGACCTGATGTCCTAAATGTCCAATCAGTGTGGACGCGCTATTTCGAAACAGCAAAAAGCTATTACGAAATGCATTTTGTGTGTAGATGCGTTATTTCGAAATAAGATATTTCAAAATAACTATTTTGAAATTACATATTTCGAAATAACACTGTGGTGTAGACATACCCTAAGGTGCTACAGGACTATTCATTGTTTTTTAAAGTTACAGACTAACACGGCTCCCCCTCTGAGACTATACTCTAGTAAACTGTCTATAAAAGGCTTCCTCTTGAAAGGTCGCGAGAAAGAGATCAGAATCTTCCAGGCTGCACTGCAACAATTTGTGGGACACAAAGAAGGTCGTGTTGTTATGTACGAAGGCTCTGCAGGCTACGGAAAAAGCCGGTTAATTGCTGAAATAGACTACCTAGCCCGAGAGGAAAATCATAGGTTAGTTCTTGCAATTTTGCTTAGTAGCATCCTTCTTTCAGTCCTGCGCCACCACATAAGCCCCGTAAAAGGGCCTCAGTCCTGACCTGTGTATCCTCGTCTTAATGCACCCTTTAGCGTAATGTGGAGGGGTTAATGACACGTATTTAGATATTTATCTGAACCCCCCTGGGCAATTGCTCCTGAGTTTCACGAGAAGGTGTTTTCTGGCATGTGTTTTGTCTCTCTGAGCCTCTTCCCCACAACAATCTCATCTGCAAAACCCCAAATCGATCCATCCAGGGGTCGGGGGTATCAGCAACAAGGATGGTTGCAATGCGTGTTCATCATGATACTGCCTCAGCCCTTCATTGCAACCACACGCTCCGTGAGCGCAGGTTGCAGTGTCTGAGCACACGTCCAGTGACAAAGCACCACGTGAAACACCTTCACCCAAGTGAGGGCTCTGCTTTCTTGGTGAAATTACCATTCCCAGCCCCATCGCGTCAATGAGCCAGCACTGGGTGGGGAGCGTAATTCAGCTCCCAGCCAAGCCAGAGATCCCTCCGTGAGATCTCCCACATCTGTTTGCGTTGTTGGTTAGGTAGGCTCCTTTTTATTCCCTGTGGCTATTTGTTAGGCAGACTTGCTCCCTGCACCCGTTAGCCAAAAACAGACGTTAGTAGCGGGGCATGTGGGGTATGAAATCAAAAGCCCATGTTCTCTCCAGCCCTAAATTTCAACACCGACGTATGGGCTCGATGCAAGAATCATTGGGTATGCTCCTCAGGGTTGTGCTGTGGTCAGACAAGATGCTCATAGCGATCCCTTTCAGAGAGGAACATCTACAAACTCCCACCCCCACATGTGGTGCTGTGTTTGGTGTAGCTACTCTGCCCATACACCATTCAAGAGGCTGCGTCTCCCCTTATTCCCTCCAACTCTGACACCGTTTCTGTCAGACGCGTCTCATCGGGTTTTGGAGCAGGTCTCTTGGAAGCAGCTTTACAAGCTGTTCAGAGGATGCTCTACTGAATGAGGGCTTTGAGTCTGTGTTCATACAGTGCCTGGTGCACTGGGGTCCTGGACCATGACGGGGCTACTATGATAAAAATAACAATAATCCTTTTCAACACAGGGTAATAGCGCTAGAGCTGTCCAAAGTAGATATCCAGGAGCCCTTCTATGCTATCCGGTCACTTATGGCCATATTCTTCGGGATCGATGCCTGTAGACCTTACAAGAGACAAGACATTCTCCAAAGCAAGCTCGCTGGGGTGTTGGATGAGAGCTTCTACTGCCTCCTCAATCACCAATTCCTTGTCAAGGTAAGGTGGAGAGCACCTACGCTCTGGAAGAAGATCTAGTGATGTATCATTATTGTGTCCATGTGCCACTTACAGGAGCCGGAGGGGGAAGGGGGCTGTGTCTCAGCAACTTCCAACCTTGCCTGGAATTTCACTGGCAGACAGGTCAAAATTGTGGCCAAATAAGCAGAAAGGGGAGATGTTCCCCCTGTTCTAGATGGGATTGGCCGGTGCACTGGACAGAATTTTCCCAGAATTTCTCAAGGGCACCCAGCGATATCAAGGAATTCAACCCACTCTTGACATTAACTGAGCTCAGAACCCAGCAACCTTCTGTTCTCCCTTGCTTGAGATGAGCCACACTGCAGTGACAATGAAGCTAAATCTTGCTTTGTGGGCACAGCTCCTACCCTTTACACGGGAGGAGAGCTTTCGAGGAGAAATGCAATGCATTTTCCATCCGTCCAGGGGCAATGTAGCCCAAGGCAAGGGTGTGAGGGAGGGAGTTCGAAGCACACACACAAGTTGCTCCTTCCCAATTTCACCATTGCATGCTGATGATGGACAATGGCCATGCTACTGTTAGATGGTGACTTGTGAGGAGGATAATTGCCTGCTAGGCATTGGACTAAGATCCAGCAAATGCAGAGTTCACCAAACAATGGACAGATGGGAACATTATAGTGACACGGGTCAAATTCAAGCCTAGCAAGCAAAGGGTTCCACTGGGTGGCCCATGCCAAATCCGGCACCGTTAACCCTCGATGTGGTAAGGACTATAAGCGCAATGAGCGATCTATGTATGTCTTGCTGCACTGGGAGTTTCTTCTTGGCCGCTTTTCTGCTAATGCAAGCTTGCCGCATCTCATGATAACGACCTTGATGTCTTCCTGCCCAGTTCCCCATGTCAGTGGTGGTTTCTCACATGGACACTGTGACAAAGCAAAAAGAAGAGGAGATGCTTTTTCTCAGAGTCCTGCGGAAGGTGAGCAAACCCCGTCACCAGATAAATGGGGCAAAGAGACATCCCAGATTAAGTGCAAGTGAGAGGTTGGGCTTGCAGGAGCCCTTGGGTGGGTCATTGGTAGCGGGGACAGAACATAGGATGAGCAGCTATAGCTTGAGTGTAGATCCAGCTTTGCAAGTTGTCGCTATTGAAGGGTCGTTGGCCTCTATACGTGCCCCAGCCCATCACTAGAGGCTACAGAGCAGCCGTACACCCCGAGCAGCTACAAAGGCATTGCCAGCAAACAGCTTTACTCTACTAGGCTGAGATGACCATCTCCTTGGACTATCTTCCCCAAAGACTCAAGTGAGTCGTCTTCCATGAGTCTGAGGTGCTTGGAGTGGGTCTTTCCTGATTACATGGGCTGGGGATTTTCAATGTGTCTTAGGAGCACATGTCCTGTTGAAAGTCACTGGAATTTCTGCTCCTAAATCAGCTGGATGCTTTTGTAAGTCCCTCCCATAGAGCTTGTGCCTGCCTTGAACACTGCTTGGATTTTCTGCCAGGATAAAAAGTCTCACCCCCTTAGCAGTTAACTGATGGGCAGCGGTGTAGCGAAGAGGGACTGGGGGGGGGGGGAGTTGCCCCTGGGCACCACCTTAGGGGGGTGCCAGTTTAGTCCTCCTCCACTCCCCCATGATCCCTCAGCTCACCTGCTCCTCCTCCACTTGCCGATGGCAGCCGGAGCCTCCCCTCTGCCCCAGCCTGACCCTCTTCCATCTCTGCTGGTGAGTTAGTTCATGTGGGGGCCCGGCCCCAACTGGAGGGGGCGGGGGAAGCTGCGGTACAAGTTCCCCCCCTCCTCCCAACTTTGGGGCCCCGCTGCATGACAGCGGGGGTGTGTGTGCAAATTTTGCCTTTGCCCCCGGGCGCATAACACCCTCGCTACGCCTCTGCTGATGGGTTGGAAATAGGGAGTCTTGCCTGGTTTAAAGTGACCCGAATGTGGATTTCCATGGAGCTAGGCTGATTTAAACTCACCGAGGAATTAGCTGGAGGAGTTTTAACATTTAGGCTCAACAGGTGTGGGGGGGCGGGGAGCTGGCAGAGAGTTGAACCGATTTTAATTAAAAACACACAATTTAAAACCTGGCCTAACACTCTGGTCTCCTTCCTTTTCTTTCTCAGGCTACGGAAGAGGCCATCTTGATTTTCATTCTTGATGAAGCCCAGTACATTGATGCTGCCTCCTGGGATTTTTTGGCGAAACTCCTCTCAAGTGTCCCCATCTTTATAGTCATGTCCTTGTCTCTCTTCACCTCCAAAGAACTGCTCCCTTGTGCTTCTGCTGTAGGCATCCGGAAGAGCCCCAGGACCACTGGGGTTGTCCTCCAAGAGTTGGCACCTTCCAAGCTCTTGGAGATGGCCCGGCAGAGCCTTGGGGTGGTTAGCATTCCTAGAGAGTTGGAAACGTAAGTGCCCTTATCAACTGATTAATCTGCATTAGCAAGTGGAGGGGAGCAAGTCCATCAGGCCTTAAGGGCCATGAATGCAAAAGAGCAGAAAGGATCATAGCCCAGTGATGACCAATCTAGACTAGAGAGTGGCCCTCCATCTCATGGGCTGCAAGACAGTCTCCCAGGACAGAGCAGTTTTGCTTATTGTGCTTGCCTACCTCAAATTTGAGGGGTTTCTGGTTGAGTCGTAGCAGCGCTGTTATAGGATGCAGAGAGAGCACATGGCTCTCAGAGTCAGTGTTGTGTGCAATCAACACACCCCGCCCTTCCTGGCTTTAGGTGCGTGTCACTTTAGTAAAACCGGTAGGAAAAAAAACGACACAGATGGAAACCAGTGTTTTGGAAGTGTTGGTAATACTGTTAGACCAGTGTTTCTTAAACTTTTTAAGACTGAGGAACACCAAACAATAGATTTTTTTATTTTTATGAGAAACACCAAGGATTTTTTGTTGAGCAAAAAAAAAAAAGGGTCGGGGGGAAAGTTATTGAGAGGGGGGAAAAAAGGTCACCTGCCCCTTTAAGGGCAGCCATTTTGAATTCTGTTCTCCGTGGCACACCGGTGTGCCGTGGAACACAGTTTAAGAAACACAGCAGTAGAATCTGGCCGCCCTGTGCGTGGGCAAGGGTAAACAAAATGTCTCATGGGCCACATGTGCATGCAATGTCTGAGTACAAAGGCATTCACCCCCTTCCAGTGGTTATACCAGTATTAGATGTGAACACAGCTGGACCCTTGGGCGTCACGCTGTAGTTTGGTGTTGCAGTTTGCTACTGTTTACCAGACTGGTTGCATGTGACTTTAAAAAAGGAATCAAAGAACTTTCTAAATAAAACAAAACCACTAAAGATCTTAAATCAGTGTCTCTCTCCCAGATATATACAGAGGGACTCAGTAATTTGCCCCATGCCACACAACAAATCCATGGTCAAGCTGGGAATAGAACCCAGATGTCCTTCCTGCCGGTTGCTGCACTAAACTCTAGCCAGCACTGTTTTAAGTATGCCCTTGTGTCATTACCGATTTGGGTCTTGATTCAAGAAAACACGTAAGCATATTTTCAATGAATGTGCTTAAATCCCTTCAGCTGCAATGGAATGTAAACACATGCTTAACTCTAAGCGCTTGCTTAACAGGTTTCCTGCGTCTGGGCCACAGAATCTTATCTCTTCCTTGACATTTAATTTGAAAACCCTTTTCAGTTGGCCAGCTAAACTGGATAATGCAGTGCAATCCCTTTTGGGAGGATTTCTATCCTATTCCATTTGTTTCTCCCACTTCTGTGCCTGCCACTCATTCCAAGGTCTTGATCAGCTTTCCTCCTGATCATCAATGATTCATAAATGGGGAAAAGAGAAATGAAATAAACTGCTGAAGTATATTTACTGTGCTAAATTCCATATTACCATTGGAAAAGCTGCTTGCTTTATAAATGTTGGGCTTTCTCTTTTCTCAGATTCCTCATACGAAGAAGCTTTGGGGTCCCGTTGTACTGTGAAGCATTGCTGATGGACCTGCATACTAATGAGGTGCTTGAGTTTTGTCGCATCCCAGAGGATGAGAAGGAAGAGGATGAGTGGGAGAACCTGTCTAGTATGATACATCTTCTTAACTCATCTAAATCCCCTAGTTTTGTTCTCAGCCAGATGACTCAGAATTCCAGTTTACATCCCTATTTCATATTCTATGGCTCTTGGGAGACAAGGACCAGGTCTGGGTGAGTTAGGGCATGGCTAATGGAAGACAGTCTTGTTTTTCTGTTGTCAGTTCGAAGCCAGCCCTGTAACTAACAGAATAAAGAACATGAACATTTCTGTGTCTCTGGTTCAAATCCAGCTCAATGTAAGTAGAAGTTTCCTGCTCGTGTCACTTTATGTGCTGGAAGACACCAAGATACTATGGCGAGGAGAGTATAAGACCTTACATAGAATACAAGAATACCTAGCTCTTCTATAGTACTTTTAATCAGCAGCTCTCAAAGTATTTTACAAAGGTCAGTATCATTATCCCCACTTTACATGTGGGGAAACTGAGGTACAGCACAGGGAAATAATTTGCCCAAGGCCACCCAGCAAGCTAGTGGCAGAGCTGGGAAATAGACCCCAGATCTCTCAGTCCTCATCCAGTGAGCCACCCACGAGGACACACAGAATAGAATAGATCCGGGAGTTCTTCTCTAACTGTAGCCAGTCCATTCTGAGTCCAGAAATCCAATCTTGGCTGAAAGGAAACTTCTTTACTTCTCTGCGCTACCAGCCAGTAGCTTTTTAAGACACCAACTCTCATACCATTTAACTTGGGGATGGTCTCACAACGGATCCAGCTGCCTCTGCCTTCATTTGAATTGTCCTTTGGGTCTGGGCTTTAGAACAGGAGCTGTTCTCAGTGAAGAGGAGGTGACCAATAGTGCAGCTCTGCCATTAGCCTCCCAGATGCACTTCCGTTGCTTATTAGAGAAAGAGTGAGGGAAACAGCACCGTTCCCATGGCCTGCTGTGGATGTGATTCATCTGAGGCCATGTGGCCAGTAAGGGGATTCACAACCGCATTGCAGCCCAGGCTATCAAGGACGCTTAGAAGTTTGACTGATCGTAGTCTAGATCTATGGCTACATCTGGACTACATCCCTCTGTTGACAAATCAAGCACATTGAAATTGCTAATGAAGCAGGGATTTAAATATCCCTGCTTCATTAGCATAAACATGGCCGCCGCTTTTTTCGAAATGGAGCTTTTTCAAAAAAAGTGGCAGTCTAGATGTGGAGCTATCGAAAATAAACCCTTTTTTGACAGATCCTGTATTCCTCAAAAAATGAGGTTTAGAGGATCTGTTGAAAAAGGCTTTATTTTCGACAGATCCGTGTCTAGACTGCCATTTTTTCGAAAAAGCTCGATTTAGAAAAAAAGCGGCAGCCATGTTTATGCTAATGAGGCACGGGATATTTAAATCCCTGATTCATTAGCAATTTCAATGTGCCTAATCTATATCTCTCTGTCAACAGAGAGGTGTAGTCTAGACACACCCTATGAGTCCCTTTGCATTTTCTGGCAAAGGGAACAAACACTGAGCAAAAGAAGCTGAGTTTTACAGAGCCCTTTCCGACAGTGCGGAAGACTAAAATAAGACTCAATTCTTTAGCTCTCATGAGCTCGGGAATTCACTTTTGTATGTGTTTTTTAAAATGAGCTCAAACCGCAGTGAAGACATGCTTCCAAATGATTCCTTCTCTCCACGCAGCCAGTGCCGTCAGATCGATACCCTACCGAGCGCCTCTCGCCTCCCCCATGGAAAACAAAGAGCTTTACATTTGTACCATCAGGAAGGAGGTGGACCTAGACAATGTTCCACTCCCGCCCAGACTGAAAGGTGAGTCGCTGATCGGCTGGTGCTCGGTGCATCTCTGCAGAGGCTGCTGTCTGAGGGACACAGAAATACCCAGGGAGCTGAATGTCCCAATGCGTGTCTGAGATTCAGCAGGGAGAAGGGCTAAAAGGTTTTGAGAACTCTATTAGATCAAGCAAGGGCGGAGCATTCAATTAAAGGGTTATCTACTGCATGTACCAGTGGTGCACAGCACCAATCAAACGCCATCCTTTCCTCTTATTTAGCTACGGGAAGAATTACCCAGGGTTGCTTGGGTCCTTAACTCAAATAAGCTTTGTTTTTCTTCATTTAAATCATTGCTCTGGGGATGTGGGGGCGGGGAGAGGTCAGTGAATAGGCTGCCCTTGGGAAAGAGGATAACTCAAGCTCTCTCTCACTGCAGTAGTCTGGGGTCTGGTGAGAACTACCTCTCCATGGACACTGCAGCTCCAGTAGGCACAGCTGGGGGAAGGGTGCATGTTCCCCAGCTGGGGACAACAGACACAAACGAACAGACAAACTCTCTGAAATAGACAGCAGACAGCTGTCCCTTTCTCCACCCCTGCCCTCTGCTGGCCCAGTGGGGTTATAGCTGTCCTGGTCCCCATCACTGGCCCCTTATTTGCCCCCATGTGGTCATTCTGCAGTATAACTGTCCTTCTTACCAGACTCCTCCCTTTCCATGTTATGAGAAACAATCAAATTCCAGGCACATTGAAGCCCTGACCTTGCCTTAAGTTATGATAAGAGGAAGCTGCATACCAAATGTGGTGTTCCTAGCTCTTACTGTTGAAGAGGAGTTTTTGAACAGACAGACATTCCTAAAATGTATAGTAAGATCTAGGTATTCCTGCCTCCCCCCATTGTTGTAGAGATGTGAGCACCTTATGATTTGTAGTGTATTTAGCTCCATAGCTCCCCAGTGAACCTGTAAAGTATTATTTCCATTTTATGCATGGGGAACTGAGAAAGAGGGAATCGTACGTGACTTATCTTATGCTTCATGTCACACGAGATCTGGGACAGGGAGCTGAATTGGAGTCTCCTAAGTCACAAGCTTACACCTTTTCCTCTGAGTTCACATCTAAATAGACTTAAATGATTGGTTGCAAGGTACCTTGAATACACCCAAATTGTACAAAACTGCACTCTGGGATTTCCTTTTGGTTGCCCAAAGCAGCTCTGTTCACAAACAATGTTTCCCTAAGGCACAGAGTCTCAGTCTATTGATTTGTACACAGGGATCCAAACAGAACTCTGCTACTTTTCTGGAACAGATTCAGGCTAAAGATCAGAAGGTGAGGAGACTATCCATGATATATGGAATCAGTGTCCTTATATTGGAGGCAACGTGTTGACAAAAGAAACAGGATTGAGCAGGCTTCCACACGGCTCGCGTTCCAGTTTCATCTGACTTTGTTTACCAGGGACCACACTATAGGTCTGATTCACTTATGCCAATCAATTAAGTTAATGGGGTTACACTGGTATTAAATGAGCATGAGTAGGAAGGGAGAATCATTGTCTGGACCTCCGTGCAGCATCCCAAAGATTGCTAGCCTCTGACTAATGTCCTGCGAGTTAACGCAATCACAGGAGGAAGTTACTGCATCATTGACTTTTTTGTTTGCAGAGATTGCTGTGGTTCAGCTGGACCGCTTGAGCTCTTCTGAACAGATGGCGGTTAAATATGTGGCTGTCATTGGCCATACATTTACCCCAGACCTGCTGCTGTACATCCTTCCAAAGTGGACAAACAAAAAGATGGAGGAGACACTCATGAGCCTGATCAATTCCCATGTGTTTGAGTATGTGGGAAAAGAAGCCAGCGCTACACAGGCAGTAGGTGCCTGCCTTTCACACACCCCTCCTGGCCCCCTGACGACGCAGACTATGGGGCCAGAGGAGTCTGAAGGTGAGCAGAGCTTTAAGTCTCCAGAAGCCCCAGTGAGCCCTGGGAACTCCTTTGTTCCTCTCTCTTCTGGCCAGACCTTGGAAATGATGAACTAACATCATTTTGCTTGGTCCCTGTGGGCTTGAGCCCATGCCCATTGAAATCAATGGATGGATTTCTTTCCCTGAATTTCACAGAAATGTGGATCAGGCCCCGTGTACATCGTCAGTGGCCAGTGACGGGAGTTGAAATGCCTCCTAATATTTCGTATTCATAATAGGGATTCAAAATACCATTTAATCGTTGAACCAGTTAAATGTGATGTTTAACCGGTTAACTGATTACAGAAAGGGTTTCACGGGGTGGAGCTGTCCCACCCGGCGCCAAGGCCTGCCACAGACGGGCTGATCCGAACGGCTGGAGCAGCCCCTATCTGTGGTGGGGCCCATGGGGCTGGAGCAGACTCCTGGCTGTGGCAGGTGGGGAGCTGTTCCTGCTCCCACTGGTTAATTGGAACCAATAAGCATCACCTATTAAGAGTAATGCTTACTGGTTAACCGTTCACCTCTCTAATTCATAAGTGCTGGGGAAATTATTCCCTGGGAGATTTGGGAGAATTTTGCACGGGGATCTACAGCATTGCCTCTGCTTTATTGTTATTTGTACCGCCCCCTAGAGGTGCACAGCGCTTTAGAACAGCCCGTCTCCCCTCGGATCTGATGCAATAATGTGATAAAGGAATCGTTGCTGTTTTCCAGCTATTGGTGCTGCTCCTCACTTCAGCCTGCAAGAGGAACTGGGTGCGTTGCAGCAGGACCAGGCGCTGCGGTTCTGCACTCCTCTGCTGCGAGAAGGGGCCTATGAGCTGTGGCTGGAGGAACAGAAGGTGGCCCTGCACTTCCAATGTGCTGCCTTCCTGGAGCACAAGGCTCACAAATGCAGAAGCTGTGGTGGGGGTGACTTCATCTCCTTCCACCGCGATGCCCTGGACATGCAGATGGGCAATGTAGACTCTGTGCTGGGACAGGGCAGTAAGACCAAGGACACGGCTCTGTTGCTTTCAGAAGAAACTGGAAAGAGGCTTCCAGTGGGCTTAGCACAAGGTAAACTGAAGTTCTTACTGAAACCCAGACAGTAGAGCACCAGAGGAAATATCCTAGCAGGACTGATAATGCATAGTAGGGTGTCTGCGTTTTGGGGTGACGACGTTCAGGAGGTTGTAGTTCACACTAGTGCATGGGCTCTCTTGGAAGAGGATAAAGATGAAACCTGCAGTGGCTGGAGCATAACATTGCAGTGTGTTGACCTGTCGCCCCAGTGTCTTGAAATCTCCTGTCCTTTTTCACCCTGCAAGGTGCTGTTTGTCCATCTGATAGCTCCAGTTTTGGAAAAAGAACAAGGAGTCCTGTAATAGAGAGGTAGCTGTGTTAGTCTGATCTCGGCAAAACAAAAGTTCAGATCTGAAGAAGTGGGTCTGGCCCACGAAAGCTCATCACCTAATAAACTATCTTGTTAGTCTTAAAGTGCTACAAATTTTTTTCCCTTTCATTTTACCAAGGAGTCCTGTGTCACTTTAACTGTTAACAGATTTATTTAGGCATAAGCTTTCATCTGTAAAAATCACTGCATCAGATGCATAAAAGCTTACCCACAAAAATTTATGCCCAAATAAGTCTGAGGGGTAGCTGTGTCAGGGTTTGTCTAGACTGCACCTCTCTGTCGACAGAGAGATATAGATTAGGCACATCGAAATTGCTAATGAAGCAGGGATTTAAATATCCTGTGCCTCATTAGCAAAAGCCATGCCGCTTTTTTTCAAAATGGAGTTTTTTTTAAAAAAAAGGCAGTCTAGACGCGGATCTGTCGAAAATAAAGCCTTTTTCGACAGATCCTGTAAACCTCATTTTTTGAGGATTACAGGATCTGTCGAAAAAGGGTTTATTTTCGACAGATCCACATCTAGACTGCCGTTTTTTAAGAAAAAACTCCATTTAAAAAAAAAAAAGCGGCAGCCATGTTTATGCCAATGAGGCACGGGATATTTAAATCCCTGCTTCATTAGCAATTTTGATGTGCTTGATTTGTCGACAGAGGGATGTAGTCTAGACGTAGCCCCAGTCTGTAACTTTAAAAACAGTGAATAGTCCTGTTGCACCTTAAAGGCTAACCAAAATAGATAGAGTCATGAGTTTCCTTAGGCAAAACCCACTTCCTCTGATGAAAAGGAGCAGAAATAACAGAAATCAAGAGCTACATAACAGCAGAAGTACCTGTTAATTGTAGGGACCACTTAATTAGCCTCATTAACAAGGGTCCTGCAATTGACAAGTACTTCTGCTATTTATATATACATATCTTGGTTTCTGTTATTTCCACTCCAGTTCATCTGATGAAGTGGGTTTTGCCCAAGGAAATTCATGGATCTATATATTTTGGTTCATCTCTATGGTGCCTCAGGACTACTCATTGTTTCCAAATACATCTCTTCATCTTTAAAGTGCCACAGGACTCCTCCGTTTTGTTGCAGCTACAGACTAACACAGGGACCTTTGAGATTTGGCTCCAGTTTTGGAAACTCTGCAAATGTGTTTCCTGCTTCCATCAAACAAATGATAAACGAGGAAGATCAATGAGCATTAGCCAGCTTGAAATCTGCGTTGCCACCCGGAGAGCCAATATAGAATGAGGTCACCTGGCTGGCTGTGTCAGGCTTATTTGGTGCCATGTCTGGTTTCTAATAGATCAGAAATCCAGATGCCTCTTGAATGAAGGTCAGAACACTCTTGGGTGCAGGTCCACTGCTGAGCATTGCATAAGGGGTTAGCGGAATCACAACCAACTTCCTAATGTCTCAAACATAAAGATCAAAAATAAAATTCCAGGTTAGGGGTTTGCAGTTTGGAGCACTTCCAATGTAGAAGTGATTTTGTCTCGTCAGTTTCAGATGCAGCAGAGATGACGGATGCCTCTCTGGGGCAGGAACTCACCATAGAAACTCCCACGGCCTCGGGTGAAGGTAAAACTTCTTCAGCTGTCCACCTGGGAACACAGTCATATAGAATGAGGGCGGTTTGGAAAGGGGGATATAGAGAGAGGAGCTTTTCTGTTGTTATGGCTGCGTAAGTACCTACATGGCTCCCATTGCCACAGAATCTGAGAGCCTCATGGTTTTTAATTGTTTTTATCCTCACAACAGTGGTGGTAGTAAGGCACAGAGGGATCAAGTGACTTGCACGAGATGTGCTGCACTTCTGGTGTGCACAGAATTTCAAGTGAGTGTTACCTCTCTGCCTCAGCAAGAGAGTGGTTTGCTGGAATGCAAACCGTGTGTTAGCTCACTGCCACAACAGTCTGTTTGCCGCACCAGAAAACCCCTGGAGATGGCACGTCTAGACCTTGCCTTGTAGGTAGCCTTCAGCAATCCCCAGAGAAATCTGTCTGCAATGTCCAGTCCTCCTCGCTGGGTATTCACAGAAATGAACCAAGCGATGGTGTGTACGTACATATAAACACACACACACACACACACACGGCCTGTTACACACCTCCCACCTAGCCTGTTACTTTTACACACACACACACACACACACACACACACACACACACACACACACACACACACACACACTGCCTGTTGGCTTACTGAGGACACACTTGTGAACTTAATACATGTCCCTGAGATGCTTATAATAAAGCTAATCATCTGATTATGAGTAAAGAACAGATGCTTAGAATAATAAAGAAATAGATTTAAGTGTTATTGAGCAAGAGAAAAAGAGACAGATATGGTTACAAGCAAAACATATGCTTTCTAGAGTCTAAAACTTAACAGTATAGAATCCTGACCTCAGGCAGTTTTGTGCCCACAGTCATTTCTCTGAAGTCTGAAGGATCCACCTTTCCAGATTCCAAGAGCGCTGGTTATATTGTTCCTTAAATGACAAGTAAATAAGGGGTTCTCTCCTCTTCTTATGGCCTAGCGCCCCTTTGGGCTGTGTTCTCTGAGCGTGTATCCTCAGAAAAGTTTTTCTCTCCTGCTGCTTTTGCTCCAGGAAGTTGACACCATCACCTCTTCCTCGCCTTCCTCTCAATTTGCTCTCCCTGTGGATTCAATTGCAAATGAACTTGCAATTGTCTCTGGCATCACCTAGCTGAATTTGCAACGGGGAAACAGGGGAATAACACTCCTCTGTTTAGATCAAACTTGTTTCCCCTGCCTTCATAAACATGTTTACAGAACATAGTATCAGTGCATATACCTAACTCTTTATACATACCGACTACATCTACACTAGCATGATTTTCCGAAAATGCTTTTAACAGAAAAGTTTTCCGTTAAAAGCATTTTCAGAAAAGAGCATCTAGATTGGCAGGACGCTTTTCCGCAAAAGCACTTTTTGCAGAAAAGCATCTGTGCCAATCTAGATGCGCTTTTGCGCAAAAAAGCCCCGATCGCCATTTTAGCCATTGGGGCTTTTTTGCGCAAAACATACTGTGCTGTCTACACTGGCCCTCTTGCGCAAATTATTTGCGCAAGAGGGCTTTTGCCCGAATGGGAGCAGCACAGTATTTCCACAAGAACACTGACGATCTTACATGAGATCGTCAGTGTTCTTGCGGAAATTCAAGCGGCCAGTGTAGACAGCTGGCAAGTTTTTCCGCAAAAGCAGATAATTTTGCGGAAAAACTTGCAGTCTAGATGCAGCCACCCCGTACGTAGGTCACACAGGCATATCTATCAACAGTATGCCACCAGTTTTTGTAGGACACCTTACAAGGCTAAATGTTCTGCCAACTGTGTTTTGGGTGTGCCCTTTGCCAGCTGGCAAAAAGGGGCTTTTGGGTTCACACAGGAAATTAGTGGTGGAGTAGTGAAAAAAAATACCAAGTCTTTAGAGTCCCTAGCTAACACTGAGCCACCCTTCCTGCTGTTGTGTTAGAACACACCTTATTGTTATGAATGCCACAAAAATGCTAACACCTTTGTCATCAAATATAGCAAGAAAAGCCAAATTCTGTTGGCCACTAACTCTATACAGAGCCTGTCAATGCAGTGGTAAGAAATTAAAAGCCAACTGGCTTTAGTCGCTAATTAAGATTCATTTGCGATACAGCACCTTTCTAGCGAAAGATCTCAAAGCAATTTTATAGACTTAATTTAGTTACTATATATAGAATTTAAACACAGGCATCACATCATACTTACCTCTGGGGTGGGACCTTCAGCTGCTTAGCGGTGCATGAGAACACAGCGTAACAGGGTAGTTGAGGAAATGAAGAAGTCCCCATCTTAAACCACGAAGCAAATTTTGGAAGCTAGAACATGATTCATGTAAATTAAAAAATTCAACTTCCTTTTCAGATCATTTACAGTGCGGGGCAAAATCAGCCATGAATAAACAGGTGTTGCCAGATGATCATCTCAGGTATGGTGTGTGGGGGAATCTTGGATCACCTGAGTTCTGAAAGCAGAAGTTCATTCTTTGGGGATGGCTTACGAGAATGGGACTGGAAATGGGATAACAGAACTTTTCAGCTCCAGGCTAGGGATGTAAAATCCCGTTCAATTAGTTAACCAGCTAAATGTTAACTTTAACCAGTTAACTGATTAAACGGAAGGGGGCAGGAAAGGCCGCTCCAGCCCCACTGCTTACATATCCCATGGGGCTTCCAGCTAAATCTGCCCATGGGCCCAGAATTGGCAGCCCACGTGGAGGCTGGCAGAGCTGGAGCAGCCGTCCACCGCTGCTCTCCGGGTCCCAGTTAACCGTTCCCTGGTAGGTATCACTTGTTAAGGGGGATGGTTACCTGTTAACATCCCTTCTCCAGGCTGTTAATTCAAAGCTGGCTCGGCTAGCGCTTAATCCAAAAATAGCAGTGAAAGTAACTTAATCTTCCTGTCCTATTGCAACCCAGGTCCCTGCCAGCTCTTTCAATAGCTCCCTGCTGGCTTTTGCTGCAGCCCCGCCAGCTCTCTGCACTGGCTTACTGTCACCTCTGTCTAATACCCATCAAGATGAATGGGCCTGCTAAGAGGGAGGGGAAAAGGGGCAGCTCCTACTGCAGCAGCAGCAGCGCCCGCCCGGAGCCCTTGGCCTCTTAAATCATTACTGGAAAGCTGCTCCGTGTGGGTCTGAGGGCTGGGGGGGCAGCACGCTTCATGCAGTGCGGGGGGGTTGGCTACCCCATGCTCCTGCCCCTTTTGTGAGCACAAGTGCTGCTCCCTCCCCCACCTTGCCTAGGGGCCAAAGTGTGTGTCTCCTCTTCCCATTGGCAGACTCCGACTGACCTGGGTGAAGGTGGGATCAGTCAATGATAAAAAGTTACTGCCGTTTTTTTCCAGGATATTGCACAATTCTTAGGATTCGGAGCAGGGTGACAGGAGTAATTAAGGGCCTGGGGAAACTCTCATATGAAGCAAGGCTGAATAGGCTGGGCTCGAGATATAATAAAAGAACAAGTAATCTGTGGCTTAGAGAAAGTAGATGGGGAGCTTCTGTTCTTTCTTGCTGCAAGGGACAGCCAATGAAATAAACAAAATACTTTTTCCTGCAGTGTATAACTGGAACTCACTGCTATAGGAAATCAGATAGGCCATGAGTTTAGCAAGAATCAGAAAGGGCATCAACACTTGTAGGAGTAGAAAGAACATCCAGACTTACAGCAGCCAATGCTAACAAACATAGGAAGGGGATTAAAATCTCGTGCTTGAGCCAATTTCTGTCAATGAAGACCAGGGTGAGAAATAGTGGGGGTAGCAGATTATCTCACATCTGCCTGCGATGGGGTTCTCACAGCATCTGGTGACACAACCTCCTCACTGCTAGTGCAAACATGATGCTGGGCTAAATAGACCTTGTTTGATATAATCTGGAAATGCCTGTGTCACAAGTCATGATTGCTCTTCAGGAGCCTAGGTATGGGGCTAGAAATGCTTCAAACTGCATTTTCTGTCTAGATAGGTATGACCTCCACCACTATAATGTCTGGACACCTTAATTACTGCACAGCAGCCTGTGAGGTACTGAATTATTATTATCCCCATTTTACAGATGAGGAAACTGAGGTGTTTGCCCAAGGTCACACAGACAGTCAGAGGCAGAGAGGGGAGTCAAACCTCTATCTCTTGAATCCCAGTTCAGTGTTTTAACTACAAGCCCATCCTTCCTCAGCTGGTGGGGTCATGCCAGAAAATTAGGGGATTGTTGGTGGTTAATATTTTCTGCAGTAGGGGGCACCTCCAAGGCCACTGTGGACACAGGTCTTGCTATAGGATCATCCCCAGAGGATTCTTTAGTGATATTCAACTTGGGCTACAGCTGGCTCGCCCTCTCTTCTCGCTCCCCACAGGGTTGAACAAGAGTTCCTGGACAGGGTGGACAAGATTATTATGCATCATAAACGTGGCAAAGAGGAAGCAACAAACCTGGCGCCCTGTGAATGTGGAGAGATACTGGAGTCAGTGGTGTCTGCCTTAGCCCGCCATTGCCTGAGGGTGAAAGATAGAACCCTGGCCTTTTTTTATCTGCTGGAGTCTGCGGCTGCTTCCCTATATTTATCCAATAATTATATGGTGAGTTAGCCTCCCTGTGTTCCTCCTTCTCCATCTGACCTAGCCCTGCAGCCGGCTCGGAGTGTTTCCTCTGGCGAGCGAGTTGGGTGGTCAGAGGTGTGTGTTCTGCGCCCGGCATGGCCCTGTGTCTCACTGTATCGTTCTGTGTTTGCTTGAGGCATACTTGTATTTGAAGAAAGCGAGTGGCCTTCAGGGACTATCAGCGTTGGCCACGTTCCCGTGTCGGAAGAGACCGAAACTGAAGATCAACCCATTTGAGGAGGCCACCTTCTGTAGCCTTCGGGGAGAGGTAAGAAGTCAGATGGACGCTGGCGGTCGCCCAAAGAGGATCCTGTTCATGGGATTGCTGACTCATGCCCACAAGAGCTCCATCCCTGGAGGTTTTCAAGTCCCGACTTGACAAAGCCCTGGCTGGGATGATTTAGTTGGGATTGGTCCTGCTTTGGGCAGAGGTCTGGACTTGGTGACCTCCTGTGGTCTCTGCCAGCCATAGGATTTTATAACTCCTGGGCAAACCCCTCAGAGTTCTGCCATCCCTCCGTCTCACCATTGGCACCTTAAAAACAATTGGAGCAAGACCTCCTGCTTTTTGCTGTCTAGCTGCCGGGACTGTTGTGTTTTGCTAGTACAGTGAGCAATCTGAGCTCTGGCTGCCTAGAGAAGCAGGTATACTATTTCCCCATCTCTGCTCCTGGCTCTCCTGTCGGATGCAGACTCTGCCATCGCCTTGCCACAGTGGCTCCTCCAAATCTTGCTGCCTCCTGATTTGATTGCTGCAGTGTTTGTGAGGCACTCGGATACGAGCAGGGACCACCAAAGAACCTAGAACCTGACCTCCACGGGTCCTCTCCCCTAAATGCAATCACGCCGTGACGTTGCAGCAATTGCCTTACTAGTCACTGCCCCTTCAGGTCTGCTTCAACATGGGCCAAATCGCACTAGCCAAGAAGCTGATCAAAAGGGCCCTCTGCTTATTGCATAAGAGATTTCCCCGGACCTGGCTCGGAGCCTTGTGCCAGTCGTTACTGGAGGAATCCAAACACTCTGCGTGCCGGACTCAACAGCGTCAGGCCCAACGTGCTGAGTAAGAGGAGAGGAGGGATCTTGATTGTGGGAGGACTGATTAAGAAGCGGGTTGATGATTGTGGGCCTTAAGCATTCCCCGTATGCTGAGTGCGTGGGTGGCCACCCAGGAGAAATTCAGACGCTGTCCAGTTGATTAGCACAGCACCCACAGCCAGCAGCATCTGTTGCTGCTGGTGGTGCACATCAGCACATATTTGGTGCACACAATTAAATTTATTCCACACATGGATGGAAAGAATTTAGCGGGAATGTTGGTCTTAACCCTCATTGCTGGTAGCTATTCGCAAATGTCACCCAGGAAACTGAATGCAATACGCACGATTGGCACTCTGTTTAAGAGGATTTCTGTTGGGCCCCTTTGCCTGAGCTCACATTATTTAATTAGGAGTTACTGAATATGTTTGAATTGCTGTGACCGTTAACATCTCGCTGTGTCTCTCCAGTAGGAAGGCGTTAGCTGTCCTGCAGCAGCAGATTCACTGCCTCTCCTTGCTCTGGCGGCTTTATAGTCTGGACTCCACTGCAAACAGGAACTACTCCCGGCTGGCAGCCCTCATGGAAATCAATCTGGCAGAGGCGTCTGAAAACAAGATACAGGTGTGGGCGCCTCTAGCAGTTCTGGTATAGCTCGCAAAGGGCTGGCGACCAGTGTTCCCTCTCTAAGATTTTCCATCCATGAGCGGGGTGAGTTTTGTTTTGTGCATCAATACTGAGGTCGTGTGCGCTTGTTCGGAGGTGTGCCGCTGTGGCACCCACCAGTGGTGCTGCTCCAGCCCCCGCCCACGTGGCGATCGCCTGCCACGTGGCCCCGCCCTTGGTGCAGCTAAGCATCCTGGCCCTGCACTCTCCCACCAAGCCCAAGAAGGAAATACCCATGAGGTCTCTAAAATGAGGACATTTGGGGTGCTGTCAGTATTTCTCAGGGAACTCAGGGTGAGGTTGATTGACTGCAGAAAGGCTTTGTATCTTCACGGTGCAAACGACACGTGAGCTGGCAATTGACAAAAGGAAAAAAAGGGCTGTTTGCAACAGAAGCTGCCACTAGCCCAGCCTCGAGAGCATGGGGCAAAGTCAGAAGTCAAATGTGTTTCCACGTTTGTAGTTAGAAAAGCCTCAGTGGCAATCAACCACGGAGTGTCACCGTGATGTTTAAAATACTCCCCTGTGTTCATCTGCTCCAGTCCTCTTCCTTCCAGCTTAGTGCTATTATCTAGGTAGGGAAGGGTTCTTCCATCTAAACGTGTCATCTACAATGAGGTGCCCTGTCATGTTTGGGCAGAAGCCCCAGGCTTGCTCCCAAACTAGGTCATCTCCTTGGCTTGCTGCATGGCTTTTCCTTCAACAATCTTGTGTCTTCTTTACACCGGTTTGTGAATTTCAGCAGGGTGAACTTTCGTATCTTCTTTAGATCATTTCGACATATATGGATTTTTCACAGTTCTCCCAAAGCATGGGCTACAAAGACGAGTGGCTGAAATACGAGATGATGGCTATCCAGAGAAGTTCCCAGTGCGACTTCACCTTCACCAGGGAAAGGCTGCTAATGATGGCCCAGTTAGCTCAGACACTGGCCTATAGCAAACTCTGCTTGGGTCATCTGACCCGATCCATCCAATTGGGTGAGTTCTTTCTAGTCAGCTGTTGGGGGCAAGGGTTTATATCAGGGGGAGGGAATCTACAGCTTAAGTGCTGGATCTGGTCCCCGGCTTGTCTGGATCTGGCCCCCAAAACTCGGGGCTCCCCTGAGCTGGGGTGGTGCTTCAGCCCCCCTTCCATCCACCCTGCAACCCCAGCCCACTCCTCTAACCCACCAACCCCCAACCTACTCCTGCACCCTCCCTCCTGCCCAGACCCCACACTTCAAGCCCACTTCCTGACAGCCCCATCCCACAAACTGAACCCCGCATTTTGGCCTCACCCAAGAGCATAGAGGGACCCATACAAATCTGCTAACCTGGGTCCCTCCATGCTCTGGTGTCAAGAGGAATGTGGGCAGTGGTTTTGGCATCTCAGTTGGGGTTTTTTCTTCTTTTCACTTGTGTGCAGCTCCCGACTGATTTTTCTGTGGGTCAGCATCCCCTGACCCAAACAAGGTTCCCCACCCCTGGTTTATATACATACATCCACACACCATGGACAGAGACCTGTGTGTTCTTTCTTCCACAGGCTTTCAAGCTCATACCATGTGTGTGCAGCTCCGGAAAACCAGCCTCCACTGCCTGGTTCTTTCAGTCCTCTTCAAATCTGCATTTCTAAAGAACAAGTATTTTCCTCATTTCATTTGGCTGTTTTAACTCACTAGAGTTGGGGTCCTGATGTTGCACTGGCGAAGTTGATTGATAAAGAGAGGTAGAAGAATGAGTGTAAATGGGAAAACGGGGAAGCATAAGAATGACAGGATAGAGATGGAAGAAGGGTGTGGAAGATGGTGTGATTAGTGGCAGTGTTCGCTCTAATTTTTTTCCATCCATGGGCAGAATAAATTTTGTTATATGCACTGAAGCATGTGTAGATGTGCACCACCCATAGAAACACATGCGTGGACAGTTGTGGGCACTCTGCTAATGAGATGGGCAGCACCTGAACCTCTCCTGGGCGGCCGCCCATATGCTCAGCTTATAGAGAACACTGATTGGTGGATGGAGGTGGGGTGGGAGGTGTGGATCGATTTTTAACCAGGCAAGAATCAACAGTATGTTACAGCAAGCTGCCAATTCCTGCAAGCATTTTCAGGTCATTTTCCTTAGGACTTCCCCTTTGCACAACAGTATCTCAAGGGATGGTTTATATTGACTCTCTTAGACCATGTGGGTCTCGTTTTGTAGGTACGCCCAGTGTATCAGAGTCTTAGAGTGGCTATGGGAACTCGCTACTCAAGAAGAGAGCATCATTGTCTTGGCATGTTTCTATTCGGCCTGTTTGGACCTGCTGCTTTGCGATGCTGGTAAGCGCTGCCTGGTATTTAAGAAGGGTGACGGCTCTCTGCTAGCCTCTTCCAGGATACTCGTCGGGCACAAGAGGGGACCAATCTGTGTGAAGTTCCTATGCTGGCTGGGTGGGTTGGGTGACCGGCAACATCCACCATGGACAGTTTGCTACAGAGCCTAGGAGCCCAGTGTGCAAGGTGCTGTACAAACGCAGAATAAAGACAATCTCTGTCCCCAAAAGCTTACGCTCTAAATGTAAGAGAGACTGTTCTTTCATGCCCAAGCTCAGAGTCAGAAGTTTTGTGATGGTCACAAAAGAGCACAACTCGGAAAGGCATCTAGTCTCTCCTGCAGCTGTCTAGGTTTCTCTTCTAGTGAGCCATTTTGTGTGAAGAGGGATGCCATTGCTCTTCCTACCATGCATTTTTTCTACTGAGAGTTTTAATGTAAGCAAAGAAAATCCCCGCTGGCCTACGCAGGACACTGTTCTTTCTCAGGGACAGTTTTGAAAGCTGACTCTGGGCTGCTGGTTGGGCATGAGAGGGAACCAATCTGGGTGTTACACAGACACACACGACTGCCACGCTTAGAGGAAGCACGCACAGCAGTGCTGGCTGTGTGCAAGGAGATGTCTGTCTCTGGTTCTCACCTGTACGATGCAAGATCAGGGTGATAGTTTTGAATCTACCCTACATCCGGCTTCTGCCTAACAGGGCTCCCTATTAATGGACAAAACATCACAAGAGAAAACTGTTTTTTGATCAAGTAGGTCCTATAAAAATAACTTCATTTCCTAAAGGCATGGCCTTAGCATTCCATAGGCCACCACTGGGGAGCACAGGTGCTTCTTCTCAGGGAGCACTACTTGGTAAAGATGCCTTCTCTAGGCAGAAAGGTAATTGATGTCTTCATGTTAACTCGTTGTTCATGCTTTCTGGTGGCACCATGGACATGGCGTTTCAGTGTTCATTGAAAACACCAGATTCAACCAGCATTCAGCCGTGAGTTAGACCCGGGCCTGGCAAAGTATGGCCCACGGGCCACCTCTGGCCTGTCAGACATTTTATTCCGGCCCTCGAGTTCCTTCTGGAAGCAGGGTCGAGGGCTTATCCCGCTTCACCTGCCCAATGCTCATCTAGGGTTGCCAGGTGTCTGGTTTTGAACCCGACAGTCCAGTATTTGAGCTTTTTGTTCAGGAAACAAATTGAGAAAATAGAAATGTCCGGTATTTTCCATGGCCCACCTTGTTCCTCCTCAGCCATCACCGTGACCTGCTGTACAATTTCCATACCTAGATATAGCCCAAGGCCAAGCCTTTGCCCATCCCTGAGTTAGACTGAGGAGCCAAGGTCCTCACTACCAAGCACGCACCGATACGAAGGGCTGTTCTGAGGTCTCGTCTCTTCCTACACTGTCCTGTTAAGGTGGCATGGAGTGCAATGGCTCCTCTGATGCCCATCTCTTTCGCAGGGTTTGATTACCGGCCCATTGAGGAGTGCCTGCAGTTCATAAACCAATATGAAGCCAGCTGCCTCCTGAAGTCTCAGAGCAACATCATGCTGAGTCTATATTCCTCTTTGGCCATCTGGTAATGCAGGAGTCTCATCCGATTCCTCTCTGTGTTGGGGCGTTAGTTCTCTCTCTTTTGTGGGCTGTGGGGAAAGCAGCAGGGTCCCGTAGGCATGGAATTGAGTGCAGAGAATTCACCCACTAATGCAGAATCTATCTTAAAACAAATAAATAAATAAAGCCAGCTTGGAGACCTACATTTCAGTCTTTAGGCAGAAGCGGTCTGATTTTCAAAGTGCTGGGTCTCCGCTGCTCCTCTTGGCTGGAATGGAAGCTACGGTTGCTCATCTGCTCTGACAATGAAATGGCCCTTTTGTTGAACTGCCTATGGCACCTAAGGAAATGGGGAGACATTCACCTCTGAGCAGAGGCCAGTACAAAAGTCTTTACAGTCTCCCTCAAACCCTCCAAACAGGGGCAGCATTTTCCTCATTTGTCCTCTCGTTATGAGCAGCTCGGCAAAGCAGCCGGCGGCTCCCTCCACGCTGGTGCGAGACTAACCACGGGGGGTGTTGAGGGCAGGGTAAGCCATCTTGGCCGGGGGTGAATGGAAGAGGATGATGGCTTTTTTTCTTCTTGGCTTGGAGGTTTGGCAGACTCCAGCAGTGGGAGCTGTTTGAGGACAGTTTCACAAAGGCCCAGCGGCTGGTGAGCAGAATGAACGCTTCCCTTTTTGGCACTCATGGCTTCTTCCGATTCCTCGAGTGCCAGGTGCTGTTGCTACGGAAAGTCATGGAAGACACGCCTGAGAAGCTCCGCGAGATTCGCAGCTCAACACTCAGGGTGATTTTTTTTTCTTTTGTGTCAATCCAGGGCTTATGGAAGGGAGGGACTGGTCCCAGGCAGGTACTGGGCACACATAGCTCTTCCCATTTGGATCTGCTACCCTCTGTTCTCTTCCAGTCCTGGTGTCCGTCATACTGTGACCCCACGCAGCTCTGCCCATGCACAGCACTCCCCACATGCCCATGCCAATGAACCTCATAAAACTCTTGCAAACATCTCCCACCGCTGCCCACTGGGATCAGCAACGTAGGGAGCCCTAGCATAGACAGGCAGCTGCCAGCATGTTAAGCACCACGTCCCCGCCCATGCTCAGAGCAGGTCTCATCTCCTCTCTTTAGTACGTTGACGAATTCCTTTCTCGCTGCTCGACGAGTCCAGTCTACCACACGAGGGTTTACAGCCTGAAAGCCTCTGTTAACCTCCTGGGAGATGAAGACAAGAGCCAGGTCCCTTTGCCGAAGGCTCTCAAACTTTCCGCCGCCCCCCACAACCGGCTGGAGGAAACGTTGTTCAGCGTGAGCCCCGACAACGTCCAAAACGAGGTCAGTTGCAACTCTTCCCTTTGAAGACCAAGGGAGCTGAACGCTGGGGCACCAGTAGAGACAAGATGGACAATGGTAGTGGCAGCGCCATGGGTGTTGAGTAGCAATAACAGTGCGGACAACACCCTGGGGTGCTAATTGGGTCCCAAATGACTGTGTTTGCTCGTGCACACAGAGGGGCAGGCTCCTGTTCCGTCTGGTTGCTATTTAAAGCAGCGGTTTCCAAACTAGGGTCATGACCCAGGACTGGGTGGTGGAATGTGGAGCACTGGAACTCATGGCTGCAGGGGGATCAGGTGAGCAGCAGGGGTGCTAAGGCAGCTCCCTGCCTGTCCTGCACCATAGACTGTGCTGCACCCCAGAAGCAGCCAGCAGCAGGCCCAGCTCCTACATAGCGGGAAGAGAGTGCACAGGGCTCCATGCACTGAGCACTAGCTCCACACTCCCATCGGCTGGGAACCTGCTGCTGGCTGCTTCTGGGGGCAGCATGGTCTGCAGTGCCAGGAGAGGCAGGAAGCTGCCATAGCACCCCCGCTGCACCCCTGAGCGGGAGCCATTCAAGGCAAGCCCCTCCTGCCCCAGCCCTGACACCCTCCAAGCCAGAGCCCCCTCCACACCCCAAAGCTCCCCTCCTCAGCCCCTTTCCTTAGCCCACCCTCAAGTCTAGTCACACGGCGTCAACAATTATCTTCAACTGGGCCCCGAGAAAAAACAAGTTTGAAAACTGCTGACTTAAAGGGACTGTGCCACACACCATACCAATCAGAGGGGATTGTCAGGGTCTGCAGTGGGACTGATGTGAGTCCACAGAGACCCCACTGGAGAAGTGACTTTGTTGCCGGTTCAATATTTAGCCTCCCACGATCTGTTCCCCCTAATATACAATCCCTGCTACACTGCAGGGTTAGTTGCTGAAGAAATTCAGAGATTAGACCTTAAGGGCAGAGGGTCTGTTTCGTTTACTTCAGGGGGAGGGAACCTGGGGGCTGGATGCGGCCCCCAGCTTGCTTGGATCCAGCCCTCAAGGCTCTGGGCTTCCCCCCAGCATTGGGAGCCCACGCTAGCACTCCAGCCCCCCCGCCATCCTCCTGCAGGGATGAGGCACACAAAATCAGCTAGCCAGGGCCCTCCAGGGCTTTGGTGTGCAAGGGGACTGTGGGGAGTGTCTTTCTCCTTCTGAATCGGGGCCACCTTTCACGTGTGTGGGGCCCCTGGACTTATTTTTCTGTGGGTTAGTGGCCACTGACCCTCCCCAAATTTTCCTCACCCTGGTCTACTCTATTTTCACCTGCCCTTTATAGGCACATCCCATGGCACCTGGGCATCCAAAAAGACTAACAGGAACTCCCATTACAGCCATCTTATGGCTGCTCCAACATGGCTAGCAGGGGCCACTGTGAAAGATGAGCTTTCAATGTCCCTTCTCATGACCTTTAACAGGCTTCCTCCCTGGTGTTCTTAGCCCCTGTGGCTCAGAGATCTGGTTCTCTTGCTATAGAGGGCCCAGAGGTCATGACAGAAGTTTGGGAAGGGGGACAAACAAAGTGCACTTTCCTTTCTGCTCTGTGATAACTCCGCCTAAGACCTTACGCTGGATGTTTTCTCCTTCTCCCGCCATGCCTTTTGGCATCAGCTCAGCCTCTGCTATTTATTAACTGTCCTGAGATTTCCTTTTTCCCACACAGCATCAGGGCCTGGGCAGAGTCGCAGAGCAGGAGGACAGCAAAGATCAGGATGAAGGGTGCACACGCGAATACACGAAGAATGCCGCATCAAGGCTGAAATCCAAACCCATGCTGAAGGGACCGACCTTTGTTCATCGCCAGCCGTGGAAAGCTCCCACCTCCCGCCATGTGTTGGCTGGTGATGAGCCTCTGGAATATGTCAATATTGCCCTTCACACCTTGCCATCAATGTCCAAAACCCCCCGGAGGGATGGTGACAAAGCCTGAGAGAGCAGGAGAAACTGTCAGAGCAGGGACATGGTGGAGGGTTTGCTAGAATCCAGAGCACATACATTGAGAGATTCCCTCATAGAGCAGAGGCCAGCAGAGAATTCTAGGAAGGAGGTGGTGAAGGGGTTCTTTTCGTCGGTGTATTGTAGTGGTGTGTATGGGACTTGGGAAGATTGGATATAACTCTGTACTCGAGGGGTACGACGACCCAGCAAACACACACCTGGGACTGGCCCGTTGTAGCAGGGTGAGGTTCTGAGACAAAGTCCTACGGAGACCCCACTTCCAGCAGATACATCTCGATAGGGGGATTAAGAACTTGCACCTGAATCCCTTGAGCCCTGTATACGAACAGTCCTGCTATGGAGACTGTTCCACTGTTCTCCCAGGCACTCATTCGTCCTGATAGAGCGTTGGGAAGGCAGGGCATTGCTGCAAATAATCTTTCCCAACTTAATCCATCTCCTGTCAGGACACGCCACAATTGTATCAACCGCCGAGATGTTAATGGTCACCGTTATGTGTATCATTTATAATACATTTATTTAGGACAGTCATGATGTGCCCGAGAAGTGAATGCAAAGCGCCTCTCTCACATACTTGCCCGCTCGCCGTTAGCTCTGCATTACACTGCAGTTTTACTTACATAATCATAGGAGGCACCAGCTGAGCAAAGCTCTTGCATCTCACGGAAGTCAGGAAATGTCCTCGTACTCTTAAAGTTAAGCATGAGCTTCAGGGCTTTGCTGAACTGGGGCCTGATGCGGGGAGGTGATTAAAGATAGCCACTGGGGTGCGACTGGACTATGAAGGAAACTGTAAGACTGAAAAGGAAATGTAGCCTGTTCCCATATCTCATGGCCCTTCCCTGGCTGGGGTGCTATGGCCATTCTTATCAGAGGGAGCCGGTTTCCTGCTGGGAGGGGCAAGGTTTAATAGCTGCCTAGCCTTAAAAACAGAGCCATGAGAGAACATAAATGCACCCACCCTTCCTCAGCTTTGATGTGCCGATGGCTGACTCCTGCCACAGAGCTATCCTTGGAGCTGTTTGTAGAGGGAGGTTCTTTGCATCTTTGGCCCTGTCCTTTGGAGTCATCCCCCATCCTTTGCTCCTGCTGTGCACTTGACCCCCTTGGCCCCATGTTACAATTGCAGTTCCTATGGTGGAGGGACTCCCTGCAGCCCTTGGCATCCCTGCTCCCCCTTGGAGCTGTCCCCGCTGGCTGGGCCACGTAGGTGACTCTCTCTCCCCACCAGGAAGCAAGTGTGTCACCACCAAAGCTTTCCTTGTGCCTGCCTGGCCATGGGGACAAGAAACATGGAGGTCTACACAGGCCTACATAGGGTGGTTCAGAGGCGCCATTGTACCAATAAGCCACAAGATAAAGGAGCCTCACACCAAAATTTTTACTGATGGTGATGTGCGGTGATAATACAATGGGGAGCTAGTGACAACCCGTGTAGCATGCAGCTTGCTTTCCATTCCAGAGGCATGTGATGGCCAGCAACTGTCGTTCCTACCCCCAGCAGTTCAGGAGAATAGCTCTAATGGGGACACGAGGTTCCATGGGATCTAGGTTGGGCAGGGGCTGGTTTGTTTCTCTTGAGGCCCAGCGGAGTCTCGGAAGATGATGGTTGCGTATTCCATGGTGCCTGAGGAGAACAGGACAGCCGCGGGCTCCGCAGAACTTATGGCCCCTTCTGGTTTTGGGGGAAGCTCCACGTTGGCGTAGGTGACGTCGTCTGGCGTTGGCTTGGGTTGGAGCCTTAGCATGGCGTACAGGAGACCGTTCTTCAACCCCCCCTCTGGCGTGACATCTCTGGGGTGCCCTTTGTCCTTTTGGAAAGCCACAAATAACAGGAGAATACATCGATAGTCTTTTTTCCCATTCCCGCTTCCTAAATAGCAAGTGTCATGTTACCATCGCTAAGAGTCTTCTCTTTATAGGGTGAAACCGGGTGGCAGGGGAAAGGGGAAACACATTGTTCTGGGGAGCTCAGGAAACATCCTCCTGTATCTGAGGAACTGGACTGAGGCACTTCCCATATTGGCTTGTTCAGTGACATGACCGCATTGCAATCAATCAGCATTCAAGGATCTCAGAGGTCAGCCCTGTGCTGGTTGGATTGCAGACTCCAGGACAGCATGGGATCATGGTAATAGCCTTATTACAGGCATGCAAACAGAAAGACAGCAATCCCTATCCCCATCCTCTTGCTCCAGACACTAGGAAATCATGCTGCTTCCACCTGCTGCAAATCGCTCTATGGAAGAGATGGACCAAAGTGCTAGAAATACCAAACCATCTTACCTGCTGTGCTGCTAGCCTGCAGTTAGGGGGTTCACCAAAGTTCAGCGCCTGCCCTAATGTGAAAGACAGAATCTCTGTTTAATGTAATAATGGTACCTAGCCAACGCTCCCTATGACCTGGGCACTTGTGAAACCGCTCAGGAGACATTCCAGTGCCGCCCAACAGATTAGTAGCTTTGTGTTTCTATTGGTGGTGCACATTCACACACAGTGCACATAACACTTTTATTCCACACATGTAGCAGGGCGGGCCATCACGGAGGGCCCTGGGACAAGGTGTGTGTGTGAGGGGTGGTTCTGTGCCCACGGAAGGGGCAGGGCCTCAGGCAGAAGGGGCGGAGCCAAGGAAAGTCAGCCCTTGCTGCCCAGACCTGTGCCCATGGATGGAAAAACTGAGAAGGGACATTGTATCTAACCCTTTGTATTTTACATATGATTAAAAGTGGGTCCTGGGGGGTGATTTTGAAGGATATAGCATGTCTCTTTCTCCATTTCCATCCAGAATGGCCCACCCCATCACTGACCCAGGCCAGTGGGAAGCAAACCCAAACGGCATGGAAACCGGACAGACGACAGAGTGGTACCTCTTTTTCTCCCTTTGTTGAAAATAATAGCCACGAGTGAGATGGTAGCAATCAGGGCACTGCCGGCCAGGAAACAGCCCAGTGCCAGGACGATGTAAAGCGTTCTGTGAGGAAATGCACATTTGCTCCATTAATATTCATGGTGCCAAAGGGGACTGGGTTAATTGGGAAGGGGACTCTGCCTGTTGGAAATGGGATTAAGGCTCCAAGATCTGCATACAAAAACCACACCGTCTGCTTGCGCACGGAGGCAGTCCCACAGACATCAGCGGGACTATGCTGACTGAGGCCTCGGGAGGATCTGGCCCGGCTGTATTTCTCCAGGGTTGCTTCATGCCAGGGATAAACTCAGGAGTTTGAATTATTTTCCAGCACTTGCTGGAAGAGCTACTAGAATTCAAAGGGAGGCCTCTTCATTAGGATGCTGTACCCCCTCCCCCTCATGGGTCTGTCTTTCATCAGGCTAATTATCAGAGTCGGCTTTGATCAGGCCTAGTGATGGCTCTCATTTGACGTGTTCTATTATTTGGTCTTAGGCAGGCTGGGTTCTTAATGCAAGAGTCTGAGAAGTTCCTGCACAGCTGGGCTGTGTGTTCATCCCCTAAGTAATCCTGTGGTGTGGAAAGTACAGACAGAGCCGCTCCTGTGCTAAGGGCCTGATCCAGCTCCCACTACACCTAGTCGGTACCCTGCTGCCTTTTGTGGGGGATAGATCAAACCCTGCAAGAGAATGGGAAGGAGATGTGTGTGTGTTAGTCTTTTAGGGTATGGATAGACTGCATCCCTCTGTCGGCAGAGGGATGCAGATTAGGCAGGTCGACATTGCAAATGAGGCAGGGATTTAAATATCCCGTGCCTAATTTGCGTAAAAATGGCCGACGCATTTTGCTGACTCAGCATGTTGTCGATAAAAGGCGCCAGTCTGGAGGGGGATCTGTCGAGAAAGAAAGCAAGGAGGTTTACAAGATCTGTCGAAAAAGGCTTTCTTTCTCGACAGGATCTGTCGAAAAAGGCTTTCTTTCTCAACAGATCCCCCTCTAGACTGCCGCTTTTTGCTGACAAAGTGCTGAGTTGGCAAAACGCGACGGCCATTTTTATGCAAATTAGGTGCGGGATATTTAAATCCCTGCCTCATTTGCAATGTCGACTTGCCTAATCTGCATCCCTCTGCCGACAGAGGACTGCAGTCTAGACATACCCTTCCAGCCCCACCCTTTCCATTTTCAGTAATCCCAAAGAAATCCCCTCTTGGTACCCTAACGTCAGCGCTGAAGCCTTTTGCTTGGATGATGTTTGTACCTCTGCTCCTTGTTGCTGGCCACAGTTGGGGGGGCGGTTCCCCCCTCGTTAGCTTCATTAACTGTATCTGAAAATAAACACAAGAGTGAGTGACCCCTGCTTGCCCGCCTTGACGTTCTGGAAGTGATGGAAAATCCAACAAGACTTTAGAGATGCCTCATCCTAATCCTGAGTTGTTGCATGTTTGATAGCAAGGAGATGGTGACAAGGCGGTGTCAGGCAGGAGTCCAGAGGGGTCCTAGCCCTGAGGTTGATTGGCGCATTGTCTGATAATCCCCCAAGGAAGGGCTGTGCAGTCAATTCAGGCTGTTACATGGTGCCCCTCACCACAGTATCTGAGTGAAAATAGTTTACGGTAGATGCTGCCAGAAAGCAATTAGCAGATTTACAACTAGACCTCACAACTTCTGAGTCCCAGGCCCTCACGCTGCCCACTGGGCTATGCTTCTTCACCAGGGAGACATGTACAGCTTGTATGAACCAAGCCTTGGAAAATCTACTCATGGGCTCAATCCCATTGTCTAAAGTGGTCACCACTGGTTCCCATGCATCCAACTTTGCCTACTGCTGAGTGCCTCTGTTGAGAATGAGCCTTGTAGGTCTGGGGAAAGTGCAGCTACCGCAAAAGAATGCATAAGTCTCATATGGGCCCAAAGACTCCTTGGGTAAGGATCCAAGCACTCAGCTTCTGATCTGACCCTCTTCAGGGTTATTGGGGTGGAATTGTCTCAGGAACAGGCTATGCCTTGTGAGGCCTCATTTTCAGCAAAGTCATGGAGACCACAGGCATAGCTTCTCCCAAGTTATTTTCTGACTTCCTGCTTCCTGTCCTTACAGTGGGAATGGCAGAGAAGCATGAAAGTGGGTATCAAAGAAAGCAGGGCTACTCAACACATGGCCCGCGGTGCGGTTTCGGTTTACCCAGAGCTCAACATGCAGTCCGTGGGTGGAAGCCAAAACAGAAAAGTAATCAATATAATGGCCTTCTGCTGATATACATTTTAGTAGTTAAATTCCTGGACTGTCATTGCACATTAAAAGTGCTGCCCTATGGGTGGAAATCGGGTCAATACTGCATTTTATTAATATCAGCAAATCCAACATAAATGGGGCCTGCGTGTGGTGTAGTCTTGCCTTAATCTTTATATTCATGCCTGTCAGCGTGAAAGAAGCTATTTGCATATTTGCAAATACATTTTCATGTATATTCAATCACATTTAAGTTGCAGCCCTCGGCAGGTGCTATGAGTATCATTGTGGCCCTCGGGGCTTCCAAAGTTGAGTAGCCCTGAAATAAAGGGTTAATATATTTGAACTTTAACAAGAGGATGAGGTTTGGGCAACATTCAGATAAATTCTGGGGCTTTTTCGTTGGCTGGTGTAAACAGAGGTTAGTCAGTAACAACCCTGATTTTCCCGGGCTGAGGGTCTGGCTCAGTTTCTTTATTAAACCAGTAAATATTGAAAGTGTGAAAAGGCAAAATTAGGAGTTGTGTCTGTCTCTTGTTATTTTCCTGTTTCAAGGAGCCCGTCCAAAGACTGTCCTGTACCCATGTCTACAAGGGGAAGAAAATTTGCTGACTTTTAAGAGAAAGCCACATTATATGGAGTAACTCACCCAAAACATTCAGTGTGATCATCTTCATCAGCACAGTACTTTCCAGGAAGTGGGCCTCACAGTGATACTCCCCCGAGTCTCTGAGCTGCAGCTCCACCAGTGTCACTGTAATCAATCTGTGCCACCGGTCAATCTTTATTTTGGTCCTTCCTTGTGTATGATCACCCTGAATGAACTCAATGTTGATGACAGGTTGACACATGGTTGCGGCTACCATCTTGCACCAGGTGAAATTTTTAAGTTTCCAGTTGTCCGTCACAGAATAGGAACAATTTAGGAAGACAGAGTCTCCTTTTTTTGCAGACAGCTTAACGGGAGCTGGAGAGAAAGACCAGGAAGGGGTTATTGTGGGAGACGGAAGGAAAGGGACATGTCCTGCCTGTATATACATTCCACCTGCATCTACAGGGGAAGACAAAGGACTGGACCAAACCCTAGCCCAAGAGGCTTGTAAAACACGTGGAAATAATCTCTCCCAGGTGCCCAAGGAGAACGTTACCTTGGATTGGCTGTGAATATAAAAACATGCAAATAGCTGTACTGGGTCAGACCAAAAGTCTGTCTAGCTCAGTATCCGGTCCTTCAAAAGTGGCCAATGCCAGGTGCCTCAGAGGAAGTGAACAAACAGGGAATCATCAAGTGAACCCTTCCCTGTCACCCATTCCCAGCCTCTGACAAACAGAGGCTAGGGATACCATTCCTGCCCATCCTGGCTAATAGTCAGGTCCTCCATGAATTTATCTGGTTTGTTTTTTGAACCGTGTTCAAGTCCTGGTCTTCACAACATCCTCTGGCAAGGAGTTCCACAGGTTGACTGTGCGCTGCATGAAGGAATACTTCCTTTTGTTTGTTTTAAACCTGTGACCTATTAATTTCATTTGGTGACCCCTTAGTTCTTATGTTATGGGAACAAATAAATAACTTTTCCTCATTCACTTTCTCCATATCTGTCATGGTTTTATAGACCTTTATTATATTCCTCCCCCCCCCCCCTTAGTCTCCTATTTTTAATCTTTCTTCATATGGCACCTGTTCCAAACCCCTTATCATTTTTATTGCCCTTTTCTGAACCTTTTCCAATGCCAAAATGTGCACAATTACCACTGGAAAACTGCACAGTATCCAAGCTGCAACCAAACACAATGGGGCATCCCTGAATCCTGGACATCTGCTAATGCTGCTGCCAATCTCAGAAGGTACCTTCACTACCAGCCCCCTGCTGGTGGGAGCCTTAGTATCTGAGGAACCATGAGAGGGGATGCCCCTCTTGTTCCTAGAATAGGGGACCATCCAGAAGAGGGCTCAGGTAGCTTGGTTTGGGCAGCATTGGGAAACTTGCTCTGCAACCAGCCCTGCTGGGCCAATCCTGCATGTGAGGATAAGGCTGCAGGACTCTTGTTGCAGCCCCTTTCGCCAGCGATGACAACAAACAGCGCTCACAAGGGACAGGGAGGCTACGTCTACACTAGCATGATTTTCCGGAAATGCTTTTTCCGGAAAAGTTTTCCATTAAAAGCATTTTCAGAAAAGCGCGTCTAGACTGGCAGGACGCTTTTCCGCAAAAGCACTTTAGCGGAAAAGCGTCCGTGGCCAATCTAGAAGCGCTTTTGCGTAAAAAAGCCCCGATCCCCATTTTCGTGATTGGGGCTCTTTTGCGGAAAACAAATCTCTGCTGTCTACACTGGCCCTTTTGCGCAAAACTTTTGCGGAAAAGGACTTTTGCCCGAACGGGAGCAGCAAAGTATTTCCGCAAAAAGCACTGATTTCTTACAGTAGGAAGTCAGTGTTTTTGCAGAAATTCAAGCGGCCAGTGTAGACAGCTGGCAAGTTTTTCCGGAAAAGCGGCTGCTTTTGGCCAGTCTAGACACAGCCGGAGTGTGTACAAGAAGAAGTTCCATCTTGTTATTGTTCACCCCAATGGGAAAGTAGGACTTTGAAAGTGGAAGGCAGGTTGGGTGAAAGTGATCATGAAATCATAGAGTTCACAATTCTAAGGAAGGGCAGAAGGGAGAACAGCCAAATAGAGACAATTGATTTCAGGAAGGTGGATTTTGGTAAGCTCAGAGAGCTGATAGATAAGGTCCCATGGGAATCAAGACTGAGGGGAAAAACAGCTGAGGAGAGTTGGCAGTTTTTCAAAGGGACATTATTAAGGGCCCAAAAGCAAGCTATTCCGCTTTGTCGGAAAGATAGAAAATATGGCAAAAGACCGCCTTGGCTTAACCACGAGATCTTGCATGATCTAAAAATAAAAAAGGAGTCATATAAAAAATAGAAAGTAGGACAAATGACAAAGGATGAATATAGGCAAACAGGAATTCAGGGGCAAGATTAGAAAGGCAAAAGCACAAAATGAGCTCAAACTAGCTACGGGAATAAAGGGAAACAAGAAGACCTTTTATAAATACATTAGAAGCAAGAGGAAGACCAAGGACAGGGTAGGCCCACTGGTCAGTGAGGAGGGAGAAACAGTAACAGGAAACTTGGAAATGGCAGAGATGCTTAACGACTTCTTTGTTTCGGTCTTCACTGAGAAGTCTGAAGGAATGCCTAAGATAGGGAATGCTAGTGGGAAGGGGGTAGGTTTAGAAGATAAAATAAAAAAAAGAACAAGTTAAAAATCACCTAGACAAGTTAGATGCCTGCAAATCATCCAGTTTTTATACTCCCCAGGCAGCTGCTTATCCATGTTATTTGATTCCCCAGGGAGTGTATAGTTGTGGGAGGCACACCAGAACAAGCAAAAGCCAACCTACCAAACCATTGTGGTTTTACTTAAATAGATTCCCCCCCGCCCCCTTACAAAATTGACTTTTAGATCCCAAACTTTTTCTTGAGAAAGAAATGCTGTTTTGTGGCCAGTTCTAGTTTAAAAATAAAAAAAACAAACTAATAAAACAAAAACACTTGGCAGTGAAGAAGCCAAGAGAATCCTGAAGTTCTGCAGAGTTTTAGTCTTCTGAAGACAAGAGTCCATCACCATATCTTTCTTTGCAGGACCGAGGCATTTTTTCAAAATGGTGCTTTCCTATGTTAGAGGCTGTAAAAGCAGAATGGTGGTTCTTCCTGCATTCTGAGATGAAAGAATGTAGATTTGGTTTTTGTGTGCATATTGCTGGCACTCAATACTACCTTGTAGCATGATCTGAGTTTTGCCAGACTGAGTTTTTCACTTCCCAGTGGACTTGATCCTGGTCATATCATTAAACTTCCATCACAGGTGAACTTTTTGCAGCCATTTTGCTGAGATACCATGGATTAGATATTCTTATCAATAAACTAAGCAAAAAAACTTTGATGGGGCTACAATAAGGTGGGTGCATAATTGGCTGGATAACCGTACTCAGAGAGCAGTTATTAATGGTTCACAATCCTGCTGGAAAGGTATAACAAGTGGGGTTCTGCAGAGGTCTGTTTTGGGACCGGCTCTGTTCAATATCTTCAACGATTTAGAAAGTACGCTTATTAAGTTTGCAGATGATACCAAGCTGGGAGAGGTTGCGACTAATCTGGAGGATAGGGTCATAATTCAAAATGATCTGGACAAATTGGAGAAATGGTCTGAGGTAAACAGGATGAAGTTTAATAAAGACAAATGCAAAGTGCTCCACTTAGGAAGGAACAATTTGTTTCACACACACAGAATGGGAAGCGACTGTCTAGAAAGAAGTACGTCAGAAAGGGATTGGAGTATTGTGTCCAGTTCTGGGCACCGCATTTCAAGAAGGTTGTGGAGAAATTGGAGAGGGTCCAGAGAAGAGCAACAAGAATGATTAAAGGTTTATAGAACATGACCTATGAGGGAAGGCTGAAGGAATTGGGTTTGTTGAGTTTAGAAAAGAGAAGATTGAGGGGGGACATGATAGCAGTTTTCAGATATCTAAAAGGGTGTCATAAGGAGGAGGGAGAACGAGAAGCAATGGGCTTAAACTGCAGCAAAGGAGGTTTAGGTTGGACATTAGGAAAAAGTTCCTAACTGTCAGGGTAGTCAAACACTGGAATAAATTGCTCAGGGAGGTTGTGGAATCTCCATCTCTGGAGATATTTAAGAGTAGGTTAGATAAATGTCTATCAGGGATGGTCTAGCAGTACTTGGCCCTGCCATGAGGGCAGGGGACTGGACTCGATGACCTCTCGAGGTCCCTTCCAGTCCTAGTATTCTGTGATTCAATGATTTTATGACTTCAAATTGGGAGTGGTGTTTCTCCATGTCATGGGATTTCTATCAGAGTTAGTCAAAGTTTTCCTGACAGAAAGGTTCAATTGTTGATGCAAAATGGCATTTGGTCTAAATAGAAAATTGAAGGAAATGTTCAGTTTTATATATTTTTTTAAAATGTTCATGGAACAACTGAAAATCGCACTTTTTTTAGTTTTAAACCGGAACCTTCTGGTTTATGTTGTTTTTGAATGCTTCTTGTTTAGTTTTTTGGCTCAAATTATTCATGGGGGGATGGGCAGGGGGAGAGGGAGGGAATTGCTTCCTAACCAGCTCTTGTTTTAACCTAGATATGTTACAGGTGTCCCTCTAAATACATGTATACCATACACATGGTGTTTCCAGGGCTAGATATATAATTGGAGGTTATTATTTTCAGCGACTCGCTCTCTAAATTTGTGCAGGGAGTTGATGTCTATAGACACTTTGTTTTCTCTGGAATGGGAATGGAGAATTAGCCTAATTTGGAATATCCTGGTTTGGGTTCCAGCTGAGTCATGGCTGATCTGTAGCTCACCTTCATAAGATACCACCACTTCCACCTTTTTCAAAGGGATATCCTTCCTAGGATTTGAAACCCCGCACCAGTATGTTCCTGAATCCTCCACCTGGAGCTCTGTCATGGACACAGAAATCCAGCCCATTCCTAAGTCTCTTAGATTCAATCTTCCCGTTGATGCAATATTCCTTCCCCTTGCTGGTTGAGTCAGGACTCTGTAGAGGCATTTCCCATCTGACTGTTCCTTGCACCAGAATTTCTCGTGTTGTGAATAAATGTGCTTATCATAGTAACACGTTGTTCTGAAAGAGCTTCCCGTGGTCACCAATTCCCTCTCCGCTCTTGCCAGGCCTGGCCCTGCCAAAGAAAGAAGAAAATTGGTGAGAATGACCTCAGCCAGTGACTTGCCCATCAGGGATGCTACTTCAGGTTGCTGGGACTGGTACTCTAGGCTCTCCACTCTGTCTAAAGGCACCTCTGTGCTCGATTCATCGCCGCTGCCTCCCTCCCATTCAGATTTTCACGTTCTTCACCATTGTGGTGCTTGTATCTGCCTTGCAGGTCAGCATGTGGGCAACAGAGCTAGGTGGGTAAACTGTCACTGGTGTGATCCTCTAGGCACCTCCCAGCATTGTTCTGTCCAGTGCACTCACTGTTGCTTGTGCCAGACTACTAGCATGCAGTCCTTAGACGAGTTTGGAGATAGGAATCCCTTCTAGTGAGAGAGGAGCCTGTCTGCAAAATTTGAGGGTGGTTAAACCCTCTCTAAAATATATCGCTTTTCATTCCGCTATAACATATGCAATTACTGGAAAAAAATATGGAGAACAGGCAGGCCAAGCGTTTCCAGTCTTTGCAAACAGCTGGGAGCCCAGTTCCATGCCCACTCCCAGCTGGCAAACGTGAGATGCACAAGAGCAAACGAGTGGCAGATGCTATACATGCAAGAGCAAATGCAATATTCCGTGTCAGTCTCTCGGTGCCTTACCTGCTAGTGCCAGCAATAGCAGCAGGGCTGGGAAATCACCCATGCCGTAGTGGGACGTGGGCGCGATCTGGAAGCGGCGGAATGCAGCCTGGAGGCGTCTTTGTCTCTGCGAAGCGGGGGCAGCAGTGAACTCGCTTGGTCACTGTTTGTGTCACGATGCCCCCGCGGTGACCACCTCATCTGCAGTTGTTGGAAAGACACTTTAACCACCGTCCTAATCTCCACTTTCAGGCAGGAAGCCGGCCTTTTGGCTGTCAGCCGTGTCTCCTTGTTTACTTGTGTTTAGACATCTGCTTTTAGAAATGGGGCGTGAGGGCACAGACAGCGAGGTCTGGATGGTACTGGGTCCTGCTGTGAGGGTCTAGTGTTCTATGGTAGTGAATGAATGGAGGTGTGTGTGTGTGTGTGTGTGTGTGTGTGTGTGAGAGAGAGAGAGAGAGAGAGTTCTATCTTCTTTAGTTTAAACCTTTGGTGGCTGCTTTCTCCTCTTTAGTTTTACCTAGTGGAAATAAACCCATATTAGCATAACCCTGGGTGGTCTCCAGTGAGAATATTTTTGGGGTAACAGTACTGGGTCCTGCTGTGAGGGCAGGGAGCTGGACTTGATGACCTCTCGAGGTCCCTTCCAGTCGTAGTGTTCTGTGGTTCTATGATTAGCCCATGTTCTCTTTTAATGGCATTTGTAGCCTTGGAACATATTATAGGAAGAGTTTTCAGTTTCAATTTTGCTGCAGTGGGGGATGTCTAGATTGGATATTAAGAACAATTATTTCCCTAGGAGGGTGGTGAAGCGCTGGAATGTGTTGCATAGGGAGGTGGTGGAATCTCCAGCCCTAGAGGTTTTTAAGTCCTGGCTTGACAAAGCCCTGGCTGGGATGATTTAGTTGGGATTGGTGCTGCTTTTAGCAGAGGCTTGGACTCAGGGAACTCCTGAGGTCTCTTCCAGCCCTACGATTCTATGATTCAATGATCCCTAAGCACTTTGTAAAGGGAGGGAGTTAGTCAGAGCTGCACTGGAGAGCAGGGGAGACATATAGGAAATGACTTTGCCCATCCAGGCCTCTTGGCAGTTCTGGGCTGAGTCTCTCTCAATCTCTTCTGTTGCAGCTGTTCCAGCTGCGTATAAACAGCGGCCTGTTTATGAGAACAGCACTGTGGGCACTCCGATCCGAGGTGATGGCCGTAACTGTAGGACTAGTGGCTATTCTGCTCTCTCTTCCCATGGGGTTTTCCACACACGCTCCAAAAGGGCGGGGTTTCACCCCTGCGTGAGATGGGAAACATTGCGATATCTTGACATGTGCCATGGACTGGACTTGCTCCAGTCTGCATGGTGGGGATGTGGGGCTCTGTGCTTGTCTACACAAACCTGTAGTTGGCAGCAAGCAGAGATGAGCGGCTGCCTTGCGCTGGCTCTCATGGGCTAGTGCCGTTTCAAAGAGGACTAGGTCAAAAGGAACTGACAAATCGTTAGCGAGAGTTGAGAACGGGGAAGAGAGGAATAGCTCAGTGGTTGGCCTGCTCAACCCAGGGTTGTGAGCTCAGTCTTTGAGGGGGCCTTTTAGGGATCTGGGGCAAATCTGTCAGGGATGGTACTTGGCCCTCCCATGAGGACTGGACCGGGCTGGACTCGATGACCTCTCAAGGTCCCTTCCAGTTCTATGAGATAGGTATGTCTCCAGATCAATAAAAATACACAAGTCAGCAGGTCCACATAGGCCGTTAGTCCCAGGCAGGCTCATGGGAGGTATGTTCACACCCACGGGAGCCTACACCCCTGGGAACAGTGGGGTGCAGGGGGAGCGGCTCCATGCTCCTAGAAGTGACGTAGCCTTGGCAGAAGGGGTGTGGCTTGCAGCAGCCAGCCCTCAGCACTGCCCGGAGTGCATCATGATGTGCTCTGGCAGGGATTTAAAGGGCCAGGAACTCTGGCTGTTGCCATAGTGACAGCAGTGGCCAGGAGCTCTGGGCCCTTTAGAATCGCCCGCCCCCCTGGACAGTTGCTCCTTTTGCCCCCCCTGTCGGCAGGCCTGTTTGCATCCCCAACCACAAACCAACTGTGTGTGCAGACCAGCCCTGTACGCTGGTTTTGTTTGGCTCTGCCTGGGGGTTACAACAAGCGCGCGGGGCTCCCATGTTTAAGAAGGATGAATTCAAACTGGAACAGGTACAAAGAAGGGCCACTGGGATGATCCGAGGAATGGAAAACCTGTCTTATGAAAGGAGACTCGAGGAGCTTGGCTTGTTTACTTTAACCAAAAGAAGGCTGAGGGGGGACATGATTGCTCTCTTTAAATATATTAGAGGGATAAATACCAGGGAGGGAGAGGAATTATTTAAGCTTAATACCAATGTGGACACAAGAACAAATGGATATAAGATGGCTAGTAGGAAGTTTAGACTTGAGATTAGACGAAGGTTTCTAACCATTAGACGAGTGAGGTTCTGGAACGGCCTTCCAAGGGAAGTAGTGGGGGCAAAAGATCTATCTGGTTTCAAGATTAAACTAGATGGGTTTATGAAGGGGATGGTTTGATGAGATAACATGATCTTGGTAACTAATTGACCATTCATTATCAGTGGGAAATAGGTCAATGGAGGGATGATAGGAGTTACTATAGAGAACTTTCTGGGTGTCTGGCTGATGAGTCTTGCCCACATGCTCAGGGTTTAGCTGATCGCCATATTTGGGGTTGGGAAGGAATTTTCCTCCAGGGTAGATTGGCAGAGGCCCTGGAGGTTTTTCGCCTTCCTCTGTAGCATGGGATACAGATCACAGCTAGAGGATTCTCTGCATCTTGGGGTCTTCAAAGTATTTGAAGGCTTCAATATCTGAGATATAGGTGAGAGGATTATTCTAGGAGGGGTGGGTGAGATTCTGTGGCCTGCACTGTGCAGGGGGTCAGACTAGATGATCATAATGGTCCCTTCTGACCTTAAAGTCTATGAGAGGAGAGCATGGCAGGCCCCACGTTCGGTCATTTGGGTGCTAGGGGCATTCTGGGGGTGAGTCTGTGCAGGTCTTAGTGTTTTGCATTGTGTCAGTAGATCCTTTCTCAGGGGTGGCTGGATGCAGCTGGATGCAGAGTTCAGTGGTGACTAAACTCACATGCCAATGACGTGGCAAGAAAAGGGCAGAAAAAAACCACAGCAGGGCCACCCAATTTTTGCAGCCTGATTTCTTGTGAAATCAGGGAAGTACAGGCCTTTTAACGCCGGCAGCGGGCAGACTCGGAGGCCGTTGTTCTGTTTTGGGCAGCTGGTCTTTGTGCTGTTGCTCCGGTAATCACGCTGAAACTCTGGTGCCCAAAGATCCAAACTGCCGTGGGTAGAAACCCTGCAGGATTCTCCCTCCTTGCCTCCAAAAGGCCTGTAAGCAAACAACCCCCTTCACGCCCCCAGCCTGGCCCTGATTCCTGGTTCATGACAGCAAAGGAGAGAATCAGAAACTCAAGCCCATGTGAAATGAGCTGAGGATTTGAATTTAGATTATACAAATAGTCCCCAGCTTTTCTGAGCTGTACTGACAGGCTCAGAACCCCACCATGGTCCCAAAATCATGAGCTTTAAATAGAAAGATTTATGCCTTTTTGATCTGTCCTTGGGTGTTGAACTTCCCCTGCCCACTCCCGGTGTGTGTGAGAGATGCAGAGTTGCCAAATGCTCCCAAATAGAAGGAATAAGGTGATTTTTGGCTTCTGCTGTCCTCAGATCTGTCTTCTCCCCACATCCAAGTTTCCATCAGTTCTGCCCAGTGTGGGATGTAGGGGGATTCCCCATCCAGTGCAGGGAAATAAGCCCTGCAAGCATGGCTTGCATCTTGCCCCGTCAAGGCTGTTCCCCAGTTTGGCACTTCCACGGTGGGGACCCACGAGAGTCCTTAAAATACCTTGCCACAAAGGTGTCTGTTTAAAAAGTCCTCAAGGTCACAGACTCCTTGGCCGCGGGTGGTACGCTGCCACCACCCAAATGCACAAGCCTCTTGAAGCCAGGAAAGAGCATTTGGGGACCTCCTTCCCGTGGGGTACCTCCAAGCTTTGTAACCCTCTGTGGTGGGGTGATTGCCCCATATTGGCTAAAGGGAGTAAAAGCAGGCAGAAGGGAGCCTGCACAGAACTCTGGCCAACCAGAAAGAGGCTTTTAAAGAGCCAATCAGAGAGTGGCTTGCTGAGGCAGCCCGGTATAAAAGGAGCTGCTCAGCAAAGAGAAGGTCAGTTAGGTCCAGACCAGGGAAGGTGCACAAGCTGGTTCCCAGAGAACCACCTTTGGGAGGGCAGTACTGGGCAGGCTCAGGGAGTCTAGAGAGGAAGGTGCTAGCCTGATACCCGCCAGGCTAATGGCCTTGCCACACTGGGTCAGACCAAAGATCCATCTAGCCCAGTATCCTGTCTTCCAATGCCAGATGCCCTAAAGCAACACAAGGGAAGTGGCCCAGGGAACTAGAGGCAGTAGAGGGGAGTACGGAAGGGCAGGACAAGTCTGCCACCAGATAATCTCTGGGTTGGGACCCAGAGTAGTGGGCAAGCCTGGGCCCCCCTCTTCCCTCCGTGGCACCACACTTTGCCACCAAGGCTTGGCAGATACAGACTTTGGCTGGCCCCTGAGAGAGAGAGGCTACTCCTGCAGGCCACAGTTGGCCACAGTGGCAGTGGAGACACGAGAGTGCCAATAAACCCCTGGAAGGACAAGAGACCATTGCAGGGGACGCTGATGGAAGGTGGTGTCCTGAAGAGGATGCTGTGGTCGGGGAGCAACACAGATCGAGTTTGGGAGCGTGGATGGGGGAGATACCAGCCCGAGGAAGGCACCCTGCTGATGAAAGGATTAATTCACCAGAGGTGCCGCAGTGGTGAGTAGACTCCATGACACCCTCCCTTAGGAGAAAGCTTGAAAACAAACTGAAATTTCTTAATAGTGGACCTTCAGTCTCAGGCCCGTACCCATAGAACCTGCTGCTTTTTTAGGACACAGGAATCAGATCATAGTTTTAAAAAGGTGACTTTATTAACAAAGCAAAGGAGACTTACTTGGTGAAGCAAATTGGTTGCAAGGTGTTACAGAGCAGCAAGAAAAAAAATTAAAGCACAGAAAATTACTTCTCTGGGATTCAGTTCAGGTACAGGGGCGGGGGGGGGGTTAACCAAATGAAAAAACAAAGAAAATAACCTGTTCGTGTCTAACTCTAAATATTCTCTGTTCACTTACATATCCTTTGTTCCAAGGTTCAGACTTTTCTTGGGCCTAGCTATTTTTAGTGAAAAATCCATGCATTTATTCCTGGTTTGGTCCATCTCTATCTGCTCAGCTCGTGCACTAAACTCACACACAAAGGGAAAACTGCCTTGTTTCATTTCAAACTTCTCCCTCTCTCTTCCCATTGGCTCTCCTGCCAACACTTCCTGAATACCTACTGTTCTGGGGTTAACCCTTTTGTTACTGAAATCTGGGATGTCTAGAAAAAGGTAGTTAGTGCCCCTCCTGTCCATCACAGCCCCTTTAAAAGGGAGCCCTTGCTCCTCCTGTCTCATCACTTCGTGGGTAGAAAGTGGATGTCTTCTGGCTGAATAGGCCACCGTCTGCTCGTGGTGGCCCTGTATAATCCTGAGGCCCTTGGAAACAAAGTACAATGGACAGGAAGTGGCTGCAGCTGGTTACCTAGTGTGTGCCTTTGTTGTATCTAATACAAGCCACACCACAAGGACCAGTGTGTCAGGTACTCAGCAGATAGTGGGTCTACAGCTCAACCTCTTTGTGTGGCATCGGTTGTGGTTTGTACTCCTCTGACTGGTATCACTGGCTATAAACAGCGGTGTCTCTCTCCCTGGCACTGTGGGCGCTGCTCTCTGAAGTGGCATGAGTTTGGGGGACCTCAGCTCACTTGCCTGAGGCAACACAGGTAAGCAGCTCTAACAGGTGGCGACTCCCTGTACAGTTTTCATGCTGGGAAAGGAAATTGCTGAAGCATGGAAAGAAATGAAGCCTGCAGGACAATCAGTCCCCTAATATCTGCTGGCGTGAATAGTTCTATGTCCCTCAAACCCAGTGCTAACCGTAGCTCACTGTCCAGCGGCCCCACCTAGCAGGGCATCTGTTCCATTGCATCAGAATCCCTGAGCATCCAGTTTGGGAGTAAAGTTTGTTTGACACCATTGCTTGTACCAGACATGGCCGGTGGAGCTGACATGAGTTTGCAGACCTGGGGTTCCTCTGGCAAAAACCCAACTCAATACTTCCCTGTATTGGTTCCCTGTCTGGGTAGAGGGACTCCCTGACAATCTGAGATGCAACAATGCCTCTCATTTTAGCATCCTCTCTGTGTGTAATATACATATCCCACTGCGGCCCCTGGAGATTGCTCCTGATATCTCGATGGCTCAGGCCTTATTTACACTGGCATGTTTTGTCGCCACAAACTGCCTTTTGTTGACAAAACAGTGAAAGCATTTACGCTACAATGCAAGTTTTGTTGGGAAATCACTCTGTTTTGGCAACAAAACTTCCAGCCTGTGAGAAACTTTTGTCCTTTCTCCTTCCCTTATTGTTAACGAAGAGCCAATGTGGACTCTGCTGTTTATTTTGTTGAGAGAACTAGCTTCCACCAGTATCCCTAATGGCTGTGCTCAGTGTTCTGTGATCTCTGCTGTCCTGCAGGTATGCGCTTCTCTCCTCTCAAAGCTCTGGGAAGTATCTGACAGCTGAGTGAGCTGCTCCCTTTGGAGAACAAAGAACAAATCATTGGCATGCTCCTGTTCTGCTCTGCACTAGAAACACAGTGGCAGGCAGATTGCTGCTGCAGGGGGAGGGCTGGAGAGACGGCTGTGCTGCTTTGACATTCCTCAGCTTGGAGAACTAACAAAGCTACCCAAGACATGCAGGGATCAGCTCTGCCTTCCCACAACACTCACCTCATTGCTTTGCTCTTATCTGTTTTCAGGCATGTGGCCATCCACTGTTGACAATGGGAGGCAGAAAAACTGGTTTAACCGGTTTTCACTTTTAGCGACTTTTGCATGTCGACAGCACTTTTGTCACCAAACCGTCCCAGTGTAGACACTGCCTCTAATACAATACTCCAAGACTCTCTTGGGAATTAGGAATGTGCATTGCCAAATACTGTCCTTAGCTCCTTTTGCACCTTGGCATTTTCCATTAGGTTTGCAGGCAAAACGTGGCTTAGTTAGTAAGGATTTATCCCAAGGCTACTCAACTTTGGAAGCCCCATGGGCCACAATGATACTCACAGCACATGCCAAGGGCCACAACTTAAATGTGGTTGCATATCCATGCAAATATATATGTAAATAGCTTCTTTTACACTGACAGGCATGAATACAAAGCACTTCTCACAATGCCTCTGAGCTTCCCGCACCACCTCCCTGGAAGCTAGAAACGCCAACACCCTGTACCTGTCTGTTTCAGCCAGGCCGTCCTCTCGCGTCTTTCAATGCTCACCCTGCCTGGGAGACGCTTTGCCATTGTGGAGTGTGTTGAGCTCCTGTGTAAACCCAAACTGCACCTCAGGCTGCAAACAAATGGGCCATGGGCCGCATGTGGCTCACGGGCCATGTGTAGAGCAGCTCTGGTTTATCTGTTATGGTTGGGGACAGTGGAAAAACTGAGCAGAACTTTCTCATTTGAAGCATGTGAGTGTTTACAGCTGTGAATGTCTGTGAGAGCATCTTTGCAGGTATGTGTATCCATGCTGGAGGAGTTGGGGGTGTGGCTGGAAATACTCTCTTGGAATTCTTTTTCTTGGCCTCTTTCTCTTCCTCCTTTCACCACATCTTTGTCTTACTAGAGCTTTCCTGTCCTTTCTTTGATTCTGGAAACAAAATACAAAATGGAGTAAGAGATGAGGAATCCACGCTGGTTTCAAGAGCTGTCTGCTTTCCTGCTGGCCCTCCTCATAGACCTAAACACGCCTCTTTCTCACCCCACATTTGAAGCCTGAGAGTCCATTAGTGCCAGTGTACATCAGGGCTGTGGCCGCTGCTTATCAGGCTGGTCAGTAGGGTCTCACTGTTACTCTGTTTCTAAAGTCTGTTGCACCCACTTCTTGTCTACTGTCTTCTACTCTGATTGGAAGCTCTTTGGGGCAGGGAAAAATCTTTCTGGTTTGTGTTTGTACAGCAACTTGCACTACAGCGATCTGACCCATGTCTGGGTCCTGGGTGCGTTTGTAGTACATAGCTCTAATTGTGATTAACTGGGCTACCCTGGTGTGGCTCATGGGACACTCACGTTCCTGGTTGTGTTCTACTCTTCTTACCGTAATTAGCCTTGGAGATTTGAAACACAAGAATGGATTCTATCTTGGTATCACATGTTTGCACTATGCACTTAGAAGTCGGATCATTACAAAACTCTCTATTTATTAATGTCGGCTTCATTATACACGCACAAACCAGTGCAAAAAATAGTTCTCTCAATGATCATCTAAATGTACAGATAGTCAGAGTAAGAAAAATGCTGATCTGTCCTTCAGCCTTGCTCCTGTTTCTCACTGCTCTTCCTCCCCGGCCAGATTCCTCTCTCTTGCTTATGTCTGGGGCTCAGCACAGGGGAATGCTCTCCCAGTTGGGGCTCATTCTGCTCAGGAAGGTTACCTGTGAGTGGAAGGAGCTGGTGTTTGTTCCTGCCGTGGGTCACCTGCCCCATGGCTCTGCTGCTCCTCCTGCAGGCGATGGTAAAGATCAGTAGTGCGGCTATGAACTTAGTTCCCAGCCATGCCACCATGATATAGAGGGCATTGACTCTGGCCTCAGGATTCCAGCTGTGGGAAACCACATGTATAACCATTAGGGACTGGCTTGCAGCTTGTATTTAGCTCAGCCCGATTCTTTTTTCTTTCTTTACCTCTGCTCATCGTTCCTGGCTGCAGTGGGGAGGGTGGCCCCCTTGTCATCAGTGAGATGGGATGTAGCCACAACATCCGTCCCATAATAAGATTCTGTAAAACCACAGGCATGAAGTTAGTATGAGTGAACCTTTCCCTTTAGTTCTGCCCTCGTCATGAGGAATAGCGAGACTAGAATTAGCTTGTTTGTTAGCAGTGAGCATGAAAATCTACCCTATACCATTGCCATTTACCAGCTAAAATTATTTCTATGAGTGAAGTCTCTTGATTGTTGGAACAGTCTTGCAAGAGAATTGGTAGCAGCTCCTCAAAGAACCTCTTAGGAGATCCCTCATCTCCAGGGTTTTACAAAGGAATAAGGCATCTAAAGTCATTTGAAGGTCTGAGCCTCAGAGCCTTGCAGAATCATATGGTATGACAAATAAAAGCATGGGCATGATGAGGAAGCAAATTTTGAGTTGCTGGTTAAACCTGAGAAACTGGAGGTCCCACTCAGGTAAGGATCCACAAGCTCATTTGAGCCTCTTTGTTGTTATTAGGGTGGATATTTTATGGGGAAGGGCATTTTCTGGTGAGGAGTCTGTTTCCACCCAAGTTGGACATGCCACAAGAATGCTTTTTCCTATGGCCTATTCTGTATTTCTGCTTCTTGCACTGGCTGAAAGTGAGAAGGGCAAGAGAGGAGGACTATTAGTATCACAGAAAAGTGGAATATTCTCACCCACTGCGTTCACTCTAAGACTGGGTCCAGATTCAGCTCAGTTCTTGTTTTATGCACCCCAGTGTGGATGGGATCCACACTGCAATTAATTCAAGCAAGAACTCAAACAGCACAAGGTCTTTCTCTAAACCTCAAAGTTGAAATTACGAGGTGAAGCCCAGCCCATTAATAGCTCTTATGGATTTTTACCCAAGCCCCACTACACATGGTGAGATAATCTGTAGCTATTACTAATAGATACCAAAGCTGTGCAGGGAACTTCAGGAATTCTTCACTTGTCTCCTGCTTCCTTGCTCTGAGGTGCCCCTGTGAGCTCTGCCTCTCACCACATCCACTGGGAAATGAGAATTTGCCAACTGCTAAGGGAAGGCCACTTCTCTTTGAGTAACTCACCCAAAACATTCAGTCCGATCATCTTCAGTAGCTCGGTACTTCCCGGGAGGTTGGCCTCACACTGATACTCCCCCGAGTCACGCAGCTGGAGCTCCACCAGCGTCACGGTAATCTCTCGTTTCCTCAAATCAATCTGTATCCTGGTCCTTCCTTGTGTATTAACAATCTGATGGAACTCGACACTGATGACAGGTTGACACTTGATTGCAGTTACCATCTTGCACCAGGTGAAATTTTTAGGTTGCTTGCTGTCATCCATTACAAAATAGGAACAAGTTAGGGAGATGGAGTTTCCTTTTTTTGCAGATAGCCTGACAGGAGCTGGAGAGAGAGACCGGGGAGGGGTTATTGTGGGAGAGGGAAGGAAAGGGGCCTGTCCTGCCTGTGTATAAATGCTACCTGCATCTATATGGAGAGACAAAAGATCAAACCTTTCACAAGCAGTAACAACAAATAGCACTAAAATGGAACTGGGTGGTAGAAAGTACCTGGGATATTTATCTGCAGGTCTGGCCATCTTCCTTATTGGCCATTTCAACAGATAACCAGGGCTTCAAATTCACAGTGGGGTTTCTCCATGCCATGGAGTTTCTATTAGAGTTGGTCAAAATTTTTCTGTGTCAAAGGGATATTTGTTTTTAACAGAAAATGCCTGTCTGTCCAAATATAAAATATGTACAAAAATGCTCACATTCATGGAAATAAATGATTAAAAAAAATAAACAGAACTCCAAATATTGAGTCTTAAACCAAAGCCATTTATTTTTAAGGGGTTCCGGAATATTTTTTGTAGTCTTTTAAGCAACAATGGGAAATGATTTTTTGTTTCTCAAAAGTTTTCATGGGGGGGGGGGGGGGAAATTCCCAACCTACTGTGATTTACCTATATATTATGTGTTAGCACATGATCTATAGGGGTATGCATCTATGGATACACATTTATATACATACATGCATCTAATAAACATTTTGTTTCTATAACTAGATATGCGTTGGGGTTTAAAATGTATTAACCATCTCTCTGTAATGTTATAGGGGTGTTTATATGCACGGATTGTTCTATTCCTTTTATTTAGAAGCAGGATTGGGAATAGAACATTAGTCTCATTTGAAATATCCAGCTATGAGTTGATATGTGTCCCAGCTTGCTGGTCACTGATCTGTAGCTCACCCTCATAAGACACTGCCAGTTTTATCTTTATCAATGGAATAATCTTCAGATTATCGGAAACCCCGCACCAGTATATTCCCGAATCCTCTATCCGGAGCTCCGTCATGGACACAGAAATCCAGCCAGTTCCTGAGTCTTTTAGGCTGATTTTTGCCTTTGGAGGAGTATTTTGGTAATTCCTTCCAGGGGAGCTCCGGGCTAGGATATTGCATTCCAAGTCTGACAGCGCCTTGCACCAGAATTTCTCCGTCTGGGAATACTTGGTCTTGTCGTATTGACACCCTGTGATGAAAGTATCTCCCTGCACTCTTCTCACCATATCTGGGTCCTTTCCTGCCATGCAGGGCCCTTTCAAGGAAAGAACAAACGTTAGAGTTGAATGTGGGGTCACTGGCTCTTAACAACCTTCCCTCTACTTCAGGCTGCTGGGATTGTTAGTTTAAGCTCCTTGTATCTGCCTAAATGAGCCCCAATGCATTGCAGCTGCCTTCTTCCCATTTATGCTGCTCCACTTTGGAACTCACATCACCCAGTCTTCAAAGTGGGTTACAGTGTGAACATGTCATCAGGAGTTAGGCTAGTGCTCTCTGGTACAGACTGGTAAACAGGAACCTATCTGACCGTCTAATCCAGTGTTTCTTAAACTGTGTTCCGCTGCACACTTGTGCGCCATGGAGAACAACAGAGTTCAAAATGGCCACCCTTAAAGTGGCAGGTGACCTTTTTTGTTTTTCCCCCTCAATAACTTCCCCCTCCCCCATCCTTTTTTTTTTTTTTTTTTTGGTCAACAAAAAATCCTTGGTGTTCCTCAAAAAAAAATTATTGTTTGGTGTTCCTCAGTCTTAAAAAGTTTAAGAAACACTAATCCATTCCCTTTTCAGTGTAGGATTGTTCCCTACGCTGTATTCTCTGCTGTCTTCTCCAGACTCTACACAGTCCTTAGGTGCATTAGGATAAGGAATTCCTTCTAGCAGGAGAGGTTCCTGTTTTCACAATGTGGGATGTCCAAAGCCTCCACTTTATGGTTTTCATTCCACTATTACATATGCAATTACAGAGAGGGGGAAATGTGGTGACTCGGTAGATGGAGCATTTCCTGCCATCACAAATAGCTGGGAGCCTAGTCCTATGCCCGGTCACAGCTGCCAACGTGATAAGCCGAGTGTGCCATTAACGCAAGAACAAACGGAATATTCCGTGTCTACGGCAAGGGAAGGATGATATCTCAGTGCCTTACCTGTTAGTGCCAGCAAGAACAGCAGGGCTGGGAAGGGACCCATCCTGTAGAGGGAATGAGCTTAGATCTTAGAGAACTGGACTGCAGCCTCAGGCATCTTCCGTGCTGTGAAGATGAATTTCCCCTCATGGGTAGGAAGTGAATGCCCCTAGCCACTCTGTCACGTGTTGCACTGGCATGACAGTGTCGATTTGCAATTTGTTGGGAACAGTCTTTAACCGGAGCAATGCTCCTAAATTTAGCCTTTGGGGAGGGTGCCTGTGTTCAACAGTGTAGGAACTCCCAGTTGCTTCTCATTTTAAAAAACCACAACAGCTTAGCCATGGATACTTGAAAATAAGGAGTTGGGAAAGAGAATCGTGTGTATTTTGGAGCAGAACCTTGGAGTTACAAACACCTCGGGAATGGAGGTTGTTTGACTCTGAAATGTTCGTCACGCTGAATGAAATGGTGTGGTTGTTCTTTCAAAAGCGTACACACAAACATGGACTTAATGCAGCTCTGAAATATTATGAGGCAGAAGGAAAAAGCTGATTTTTAAATTTTTTTTAGTAGTTTCCATGTAACACTGTACTGTATTTGCTGTTTGTGTGTGTTTGCTGTGGCCTGATCATGTACTTCCAGTGCCAAACGAGGTGTGTGGTTGCCTGGCCAGTTCGTAACTCTAGTGTCTAGAACACTGAGGTTCTACTATCGCTTCAAATAATGTTGTAAGCCTCAGTCTGTTATTTTGTTAGCTCTTCATTTCTGTATTGCATGGAGTGGGACAGTTCCTCTCCTGTGCCCCATCTCTGCTAGGCTGGGGCAGGAGGTATCAAGGGGATGAAGGTGAGTCAAATGGTCTAGAGGCTGCTTTAAACTTCACCAGGTGGCAAGAGCTTGGAGAGAGCCTTGAGCTGCACTTCTTGTCTCCATCCAGTGGGGAAGTGGTGGGACTGGAGATGGCTGCCACGCTGAACAAACCTCAGTGTGTGTGGAGAGCCCCTGTGTCTCCCATCCCCAGGGCCATAAGGATGGTGCTGGCCACTTCTGGGAGCTGCCCAGAATGAAAGCAGATAAGCTTTTGCTCTGCTGCCACGCCGAATTGTTAGCACCCAAAAGCTCCCGATGTGGCTGAGGTAGCCTCTGGAAGATAGGACGTGATTCTGGGAGACTCCCAGCGAAAGAGGCAGGGTTGGCAACCCTAGTTAACTATATGAAAGCATGCATGGGTATGTGTGCCCAAACAGCAGATCACATCTCTGACTGCAGTGTAGACACAAGGCAAGAGAAAATCCTCCTTTAACTCTCTCCTACAGACTCGGTTCGAACCTTCGAGCACTGACCACCTTTGTGCTTTGTGGGGAAACAGAGAGGCACTCACAGGATTTGGCTGTCACAAGTTCCTAGGGGTATGTCTACACTACCCCGCTAGTTCGAACTAGTGGGGTAATGTAGGCATACCGCACTTACAAATGAAGCCCGGGATTTGAATTTCCCGGGCTTCATTTGCATAAACTGGGTGCCGCCATTTTTAAATCCCTGCTCGTTCGAACCCCGTGCCGCGCGGCTACACGCGGCACGAACTAGGTAGTTCGGACTAGGCTTCCTAGTCCAAACAACCGTTACTCCTCATTCCACGAGGAGTAACGGTAGTTCGAACTACCTAGTTCGTGCCGCGTGTAGCCGCGCGGCACGGGGTTCGAACGAGCAGGGATTTAAAAATGGCGGCACCCAGTTTATGCAAATGAAGCCCGGGAAATTCAAATCCCGGGCTTCATTTGTAAGTGCGGTATGCCTACATTACCCCACTAGTTCGAACTAGCGGGGTAGTGTAGACATACCCTAGCTGCAGAATATAACTGAGCAAAGTTAGCCCGTCCCTCTGCTCTTTCTCTGTGTTGCTGAACACCAACTCAGTCCTGCCATGGATTCGTGGGCTTGCTTCATGCCTGGGAGTGAGACTGATCCAGTGCCCGACTGCCCCGTTTTGGTCCATCCCTAGGTAGGGTATTGGCCTGGACGCGTGGGGAGCAGTCAGTCAGATTTCTGGAGACATCCAGCCAAGTTGGAAATGGGACGAAGAGGGGATTCTATTCACTTTGTTTCATGTGATTTCGATTATCCCGTAGTAACCCTGGGTGCGTGCCTCAGTTTCCCTGGGCACTGCACCAGTACCTAGATGGGAATGGGAATTTTGGCTGTGACTCTCACCAAGGGAGGCTGCCCCTGCCCCAGCACATACACAACAGCTGAGGCTTTCTGAGCCTGCGAAGGGGGTGCAAGGAGGTGACACCTTTTGCCCGGGAAGCTGGACAAAGGAGGAGTTGGGGCTGCCTGTAGGGCCAGGACCGGTTGCTGAGTGTGTGTGTCAGTCTCGGCTGGCTTAGGATACAGGAGGGGGCCTAACCCCTTGGATGGATTATACTGACTGCTTCTGGTTCCTCTGCTAACAAGTCTGTTCTGTGCTGCCCCATTCCTGGGGAACTAATAAGCCTTCTGTTCTACCTGCTGACTGGCTGCGGATGCAGGGCCCAGTGACTTCGCACACCTCGGTGACTTGACACACTTAATAAAATTGCTATTTTTTCCATTACCTCACTGAGTGTCAGTACATCGGGACAAGACAGAGCTGAGAGACGGCAACTCTCTTTATTGAGCATCACCTGGGTGCATAATTCACACAGCCTGTTGCACCCTCTGTGCCTTGCCCCCGAGACACACGGTGGCTTCGAAGATACGCCAGAGAATGTGCCCCTCGTGCATGAGGCGAACGCGCTGTCAAATGTGGCATCTTTGGGTTCTTTTGCAGGGAAGCACTTTCCGTTAGCCTTGCAGACAAAACCAGGCGTCGCAAGCAAAGGGTCCCCGCCAAAGAGGGATTTCTCCTCCTGTCTGTGTCTTTGCAGCATTGCTACCTGCATGGGCGTTGGTGCTGGGGAATCTGGGACTTTTGGGGTCCTTTATTTTTCCTCCCATCCTCTTCTCAAGTTCAAGGGTTGCCTGCACCATCCTTTCAGTTCTCTTGTGCTGGAAGCGGAAGAGGAACATTGATTACAAATGGGGCAAGAGATGAGAGATGGAGTCGATTGGTGACAGCCTCCCATAGGGAGGGCAGGTTCATTGCACATCTATTGAGCTGCCACATTTCTCCTCTTCCTTGGCAAGCTGCCCTTGGGCTGTATTCCAGTTCCCCGGTGTGCTTTCCCCTCTTGTCACCCTAGATCTGTGGCCCAACTGGGATCTATCCTATCAACTGAACATATGCTCATGAGCTCACCTGTGAGTGGGAGGAGCTGGTGTTGGTTCAGGTTGTGGCTTTCCTCCGGGCTCTCTTCCCTTGTGGCTCTGGTCCCCCGATTTCTGGCGACATTAAAGATGAGTATGGCTGTCAGTAATTTAGCAGCCAGGAATCCCGCAAAGATGTAGAAGACGTTGAAATGGGTCTCAGGAAGGCTGTTTCAGGAAACCACATGTACAATGGTTTAGGTTTAACCGGGAAAAAAGTTTTCCACCTTTTAACATGACTCTTGCATTTTGGTAACACAGAAAACCAAAGACAGCCACTGTCTCTATGGGACATTCTCTGGGGCACACGGGAGGCTACAAAGATGAGTCATTCTAACCAAAAGCATTAATTTGAAGAATCTCATCAATGGCTAAACATATGAAATGCAGGAACTGCTGAAGTGCAGCCCTCTCCGGACAGAAATGCAGCAACTCTTTGTTAGACACACAACACTGGCGAGGATAATTTTGGGTCAGGAAGAAACGTAGAATTTCTTGGAAAATGCAGGAAGGCAGCATGAACCTAAAACAGAAACTGAAGTAGGACACCTCTCTTAATCTTGTGCTGACAATAGATGAGCAGCACCTTGATTTTTTTTTTGTGCCTCATCCAAAAGTGAGGTTGCAATACATTCATAGAGAGCTGAACCTTTAACCCAGCATGAAATCATAATAAATAATGTTATATTGAAGTAAATATAAAACCACAGAATATGAACAGCTCCCAAACTGAGAGAGTGGCTGTAGGACCCTTGAAAACAAGGGTAGGCTTACCTGGAGATGCTGTGCTCAGCTCTGGGCTCTTCTGGTGCCTGGGTCTCCATGAGACCTGCTGATGGAAACAGAGCAGTTTAGCTTCCCTTGCAATGTGTGTTCATAGCTAGAGGTGACTGTTCTGGCCCCTCGTAGGTGCGGAGAGGTTTGGGACTCTCTCGTGCTCTGGTGTCATGGCTGCAGCCAAGTTCCTCTGCTGTAAAGCAGGAGGGAATAAGAGAAGAATCGAGGCCAGAACCTCCAGGCTTGCCAGCCTATTAGACATTTGCATGATAGCTACAGCCCAGCAGGGCAGCTCTGGGCATGGGTACTCTGGCTGTGTTCTAAAGACTAGTAATGCACATGGGTTCTGAGGATACTTGTAATCTGAATAGCGAAGGCTTATTAGCCTACAGAGACCATGATAGGGATGTGAACAGGTAATCGATTAATGGGTTATCTGGTAAGCATCACCCTAATTAGTTAACTGGTACCTGGGAGCAGCCCCCAGTGGGTCAGGAGGTGGTCCCCATTGCACAGGAAGGCCGGGAGCAGGAGCTGGCTGCCTGCTTATGGGGTGGGGAGGGAGCAGAAGTTCCCCCGTCCCCCGCCCCATGGAGGAACAGCAGTGGCAGCCCTGCACGTGGATGGGGGGCAGGAGCGAAACTGGCCCTCCCACATGCTGGAGGAATGGGATCCCACTTAACTGGTTAACCAGTTAATCGGGATTTGACATCCCTAGTCCATGAATAAAACATGTCTACTCTGCCAGGGCAGGGACTAAAGCTTTTTATTCCTCTGCGGCACTGAGTGAAAGGAGAAACATTCTCGAAACTCGAGGGGGCCTCACCACACGTACGACTGTATCCGAAGAGCTTGATGCTGGTACCACAGAACTTTGGGCCCCTCATTACACTGGCGTCACTCACTGCATGGATCCAAGGATGCCCAAACTTCATTGCATTAAGAACCGTGCAGGCGCCTGCCTAGGTCCTCTCCATCCCCGCCCTCTGCCTGGCAGCTGGGGGGAGGGGACGGGTGAGAGCCCTTGAGTATCTGTTATGCTGTCCATGGATGTGCAGAGCTCTAAACATACTCCAGCTGAGGCCTCATCTCGTCCCATGTCTCGTGTACAGTGCTTCTGTGGGTGCATCCAGGATGACATTAGCCTGTTTCACAATTGCAGCACACTGATTCATATTCAATGTTGGATGCACAAAAAGCCCCAGATCCTTTTCAGTGGTACTACCCTCTAGCCCAGGGTGAGCAATCAGCAGCGTTTGGGACTGGGTGTGGTTAGCAGGCTGGGTGTGGTTAGCCCCTGGTGGGCCACCGAAACTTTATATACCTGAGCACCCACGGCTATGGACACTCGCCTCTCCCATTGGCTGCGGTTCACTTTTCCAAGCCAATGGGAGCTGCGGGAGTGGTGGCACAGACTATGCTGCTTTCTGCAGCTCCCATTGGCCAGGAATGATGAACCATGGCCACTGGGAGCAGCAGGTGGCTGTACCTACAGATGCTCAGGTAAATAAAGCATCTGGCAGCCAACTCACGGCTGACCCTGGCAAACTGCATTCCCCCTGTGGGCCTCTTATTGCCTACCCCCTACCCTAGACAGTTGTTCCTCATTGTGCATTCGCTGTTTTTTCCTTCCTCGGTGAAGTACTTTGTGCTTGTCCGTCTTGAATTTCATCTTGTTGCTTTCAGGCTAATGCGTCAGTTAGTCAAGGTTGTTTTGAATTCTACTCCTGTCCTCCAAAGAGCTTGCAACTCCCCGTTTTGTGCTTGTGTTTTCCCTGAAAGGGGGAATAGCAATGGCCCGCTGAATTTCACTAGTGAAGAAACACTCTGGTTATGTCCTTGCCTTCCTCTTACAGAAGCGGATGGCTGCAAGCCAAACTTTACAGGCTGCGCTCTGCCCCTTAGCTTACCTCTGCTGCGCTAGCAGTCGGACCGCAGAAGGGGAAGGATGGGCTTGTGATAAAACCACTGGACTGGGAAGGAGGAGAGCTGGGTTCAGCCCCTAGCTCTGCCCACTGACTCTTCCTGGGTGACCTTGGGCAAAGCACTTAATCTCCCTGTGCCTTAGTTCCCCACCTACCAATGAAGATAAAAGCACTTCCTTGGTCTTAGATTTTAAGGCCCTTGGAGAGGGCGTGTCTCCTGCCCCTGTGTATGTACAGTACCAGGCACAGTGGGGCCCAGATCCCGGTGGGGGTCTGCACGTACTAGTGTAATGCAACAAAGAATCAATGCCTGAAGTACAGTTGTATTGAATCCACAGCCTGGGGACCTACCTCCCAACACTTGCACTTTCACCCTCTGTAAGGTCCTGGCTTCTCCTAGGAAGTCTGTCCTGCACTGGTACAGCCCCGCGTCCTGCTTCTGGAGCCCCTTCATGGTCACCGTGAGGACCCCGTTGTAGACATCGTCAGCAATGGAAGTGTTGCCGCTCCTCTTCCTCAGGAACTGGAGCCAGAAGCGGTGGGCGCTCACCACGTGCTGGCACTCGGTCTGGTTGACGTGCTTGCACCAGCTCTTCTCTCGCCACTTGTTCTCCTGGGGGCTGTAGGCGCACCTGATGGAAATGGTCTCTCCCTCCAGGCCGGTCACCACCGTGACGTTGTCTGCCCCGCATAGTGCTGAGGGGAGAGAAAGGAAAACGCAACGTGGGTTTCAGTCGTTAGAGCCCTGCACGGATACAATCGGAATTCGCTCCCCACAGAGCGGTTGTACCAGCTCCAGGCCCGCCCCAACAGGGCTGTACAACCCCAGAGGGGAGATGCAGCTGCAGGCAGGGCAGCTGCATGGCCGGGAGGAGTGGCCGGCGTCGGACACTGGCTCCTTTCTTTTGGTCGCAGCATCTCCTGGGAGCGCAGCCCCGAAGCTCAGCTGATGCTGATTTCTATCTGCGAGTATCTACTTCTGCAGGGAGATATGTCCGCACCCACCCGTTTCCCCTCGCTTAAAAACTGCTTGTTTACAAAATCAGAGAGAAACCATAAAAAGTGTCACAGACACACTAGTACTGACAAATGGCGGACATTCTCCTTTTTACCAAATAAATATATCGACGAAATCCATTGGAATATAAATGCTTTTCTTCCATCACAGTGTATGTGATATATAGCAGTACAGGCAACCCCCGACTTACAACCCTCCCCCATTTACAACCATTTTTTTCATGCAAGATAGCTCCTAACCCACCCACCCCCAATTTATGTCCGCTGCTCGTGTTTACGACGGTGTACAACGCAAATTCCACACGTCATCCCAAAACAGGAAATTCAAAAGGTCAGTCAGACTCACCAGTCTGCAGCTGCTGCCTGACCTACGCACATCTCCACCACATCGGTCTTCACTTTTTAGTTATTTTTGTGCATTATTTGAACTATTTAGTTTAGTTTTCCTCCATTTCCTTAGTCAATTTTGGTATTTTTAGGGTATGAAATGGGTTTCCAGGAATGGAAAATAAGGGTTCAGCTTGCGCCTACGAGAAATAAGGGTTCATCTTGACTTATGACGGCTTGACTTACAACAGTTCCCCAGGAACCAATTAAGTCGTAAATACAGGGTTCACCTGTATAAACAAGTCAATGTCTGTATGAAATTATAGTTTTTTAGTTGCCTCGTGCTTTTTATGTAGCCTCTTACAAAACTAGACAAATGTTCAGGAAAGTTAATGTGTATCCTAAAAGATCTCTGCATATCGGGTACTTGTCTGCCCAGTTGAGAGCCATTGGTGTAAAAGATAGGGATGATCTAACCATTTACCATTGTGTCACCTACCCATCCTCCTGTCTCAGTCCCCAGGTTTGGACAGGTTCAGAATTTTGGTCCAGGCCTTCTCTAATTCTTTACCTATTGACCCCCCACTAGTGCTCCCATCAGCTGGGTTTTCTTTGGGGACCAGAGATTGTCCCCCCAGTGAAGGATGTGTCTCCTGAAACACTGCTAAAGCCTTCTCCTTCCACACTTCCTTCCTTGCATGATGTTGTTCCAGGGCCTAGCTGGGACTCCAATTGGAGATCCACACCTCACCTTGCCTGTTCACGTGGCTTCCTCCATAGTGATGGCATTCAAGGCCAGAAGGGACAGCCAGATATTCCAGTCTGAGCCCAGTGATGCGAGGCACTTCCCTCCTCCAGGGGCTGAGTGTTGTGGTCCAGGGAGCAAGAAACTTGCAAAAACTGAACCTGGGTCTTTCCAAGGACACCGAGGAGCATTACACTCGGCAGTTACACCAGTGCCCCTTAGCCCTGCTCTGATAGTGTGTAAATACAAATCACACCTACAGCAGGGTCTCTTTGTGTGGCCAGAGTGAGGTGAAGGGGTCTTGATATCAAGGAATCAAATCCACAGCCACAAGCCAGTCTCCAGTCGCATGGTTGGAGGGTTAATTCTTAGTCCTCTTGATACTGACCTTTTAACCCCTGTGGTTTTGAGAAATCTCCTTTTGCTCTGTTTCCTGGGATTTTGCTAATTCTAGTTCTGCCCTATGAGCAACCGACTCTTTTGCTGTTTCTCTTTAATTCCCTACTTCTGATTTCTATATTTCTCTTTGAGCAACAGAATCACATTGTCTGAGCTATTTATACTTGGAGAGCAGGGGCGGGGAACCGTTTTTTGGGTCAGGGGCCACGGGCTCCCAGAAGAATCAGTCGGGGGCTGCACACAAATGAGAAGTCCCTGACTGAGGAGAAAGACATTCCTCACATCCCCCTTGCACACCAGAGCTTGGGGGGGCCCAAGCTAGTAGATTTTGTGTGCTCCAGCCCTGTAGCTGGAGTTCCAGGGCAGTCTCCCCAGTGCTGAACCTTGGGGTCTGGATCCTGGCAAGCCGGGAGGATAAGTTTCCTACCCCTGTTGTGGAGGGAAACTGTGTTATTTTGGGGAATCAGTATGTTTTAGGTGAAATTTTTTTTCAATTGCTAGCAACTACTGCAGAAGTCTAAGTGGAACTAAAGATGGCAATAAATAGGGAATGGATGTTATAAGGGCTTTGCAGGTCTTTCTGGGCTGAGAAGTTTGGGAATAATAAAATTGCACCATCTTAGAATCTTAGGACTCAGAAGAGAAGAGACCTCAAGAGGTTGAGTCCAACCCCCTGCTAAACTCAGAACTAATCCAACTAAATCAACCCATCCAGGACTTTGTGAAGCCAGGGCTGAACCACCTCTAGAGATGGAGATTCCACCACCTCCCTAGGGAACCCATCCCAGTGCTTCCCCACCCTCCTAGGGAAACAGTTTTTCCTAATATCCAACCTAGACCTCCCCCACTGTAACTTGAGACCATTGCTCCTTGTTCTACCATCCATCACTGCTGAGAACAGCCTCTCTCCATTCTCTTTGGAGGCTTCCTTCAGGAAGCTGAAGGCTGCTATCAAGTCCCCCCTCACTCTTCTCTTCTGCAGACTAAATAAGCCCAAATCCCTCAGCCTTTCCTCATAAGTCATGTGCTCCAGCCCCCTAATCATTTTTGTTGCCCTCTGCTGCCCTCTTCTCTTGTTTGTAAAAATTCAGAGTCAATGTTAAACTCAGAAAAACGACATCAGGACAGATCAGTGTTCTGCAAGTGTCACATATACTGCTTTGCCAATACACTTCAGTCCTGACCTGCTATTGTAGATTTGGGGTTCCAGCCCCCTCCCTAGTGCACCTCAGTCTTGACCCAAAGCAGCCCTTGTTATTTCATGCTTGGTCAGAGGCTGCTAGTTTAAGATTTGCTCATGCTCCATGCAAAACTCTGAGCCATTATCTTTCACCACCATTCTGCTGACAGATCATAGATTATCTCTGTTCTTTCTCCCTCAGTCTTTATTACTGAAGAGGCAAATAAGCCCACACCACAATGTTGGTTGCAAACACCCCATAAGGTTCAAAGTCCTGCCACTCCCTCAGGGTATGTCTACACTACCCTCCTAGTTCGAACTAGGAGGATAATGTAGGCATACCGCACTTGCAAATGAAGCCCGGGATTTGAATTTCCTGGGCTTCATTTGCATAAGCGGGGAGCCACCATTTTTAAAACCCCGCTGGTTCGAACCCCATGCAGCGCAGCTATACGGGGCTCGAACTAGGTAGTTCGGACTAGGATTCCTATTCCGAACTACCGGTACACCTCGAGGAAAACAAACAGGGTGGAACAGACAGATGGTAAATGTGCCGAGACTAGAGAAGAGGAGATTGAGAATGTGGATGAGAGGTCTAACTGTCTGGGTGGAAAGGAAAAGCTGTTATTTTTCAATGTGAATCTACTCCCGTGTCTGATTTCCCATGGGAAGTCCTCATAGAACCACTAGCTAGATGACACTCATAATGGATAGGTTCTTGGCTTCCCGCTGGCCATCTCCCAGGCACAGGGGTGTTGAATGGGTGGCTATCATAGAAAAGTGGGGTGGAAGATTCTGTCTCACAGTAGTGTGGTCCTTGGTTGTTCCAGAGGGTTCCAGAAAGAGAAGTCCATTCCAGAGCTGGAATTTTTGTTTGTTGGCCTCTGCAGAAAAAGGAAAGGCCAGCAGCTGACCTCATGGGACTGGAGGAAGGATGGGCATGATGTTAAGGCAGTGGAATGGGACTCAGGCTTTGGCTTTATTCTCAGCTTTGCTACACGGTCCCCTTCATGCCCGTGGGGAAGACATTTAACATTTCTGTGCCTTAGACCCCTGTCTATAAAATGGGGATAATGTTTCCCTGCCTCTGGGGAGTGTTGCAAGACGCTCAGTTGTAATGGAAGCCAGATAAGCAATGAGGAAGATTTTTTTTCTATATTTTTCCCATTTTGCCTAGATGTATCAGGTGATCTCCAGTGTCTGATAAGCCTGATATCTTCATGCCTTCTCTCCCCAGGAATCTCTGGGGAGAGAGAGACCCTGAGTTTACACATTTAAGGGTGGGGCATTTGATTGCCGGGAGGCAGCTCTGATCCATTAAGTGCTCACACAAGCTGGATTTTGCAATCTTAGTTTGCTGGGAGTGCAGTTAAGGGCTTTTCTTATTTCTTCCAACGTGCTTCCTGTTCTGACTCACAGGTTCCTTGACCTGACTCACAGGTTCCCTGACAGCCCTCAGCCCACCACCCCGGAAGCAGCTGAGTGGTGGGATCTCCATAGACCTCTGGAAAAAAAATCAAGAGTAAAGAACAAAAAACCTGGAAGGGAATGATACCAGAAGTGCAGCTGCTGAAGAGACTGGCTGCTTCTGGTTTGCACCTTGACTGATCACTGCAATTTATATTCAGAGAGGAACCCTTCTCACCTCCCTCCCCAAGCTAGCTGCTCCCTGGCTACAAACATTTAATAGCTCCTTCTCCTGCTCTGTATAGTCTCTGTGGTTTGGATAATCAGTCCCTGAATATGTGACCCTGGCTCCATTTCTCCGTTTGCTGCTTCCAGGCTTTTGTGGCTTCTTTGCCAGACAAATTCTGGGATTGGGAGGGTTGGGCTCCTTCTCCACTGCCTTGCGCCTTACGTTGTTGTCCGCGTCTGCACACAGTGAATGTGAAGTGGGTGGGACATGGCATCAAAGCAACACAGGTACGCGTGACGGTCTCTTTTGCACTGGTGCAAATATTTGCATGGGGCACCAGCCGGCGGAGAATCAAGCCCAGAGAATCTACAGCTCTTCAGTCTTGAGCTGCTTAGGCTGGATCCTGCAGGTTGCAGGCCACCTTCCGTTCCCCTTAATCTTGCCCTTCGAAGGTCGCTTCCTGCTTTGATTTCTATTGGCGCTCCCATGAATAACTGCGTGTTTCCAAATATTCACAATGGAATCCTCTCTTCTCCAGAACAAGCCGCGGAGGCTCATGTCCTGCGTGACAATCACTTCACAGCCCCTGCTATGACTCCTGCGAGATATTGGACAATGCCAGCTATTGCTCCAGACTTTCCCCTGCCCCTCCTCCCCACACAAAAGGAGTCAGATGCTTTCTTACCTGAGAAGGTGACCAAGAAGATGAGGTGCAGGAGCTTTTCCATGTCTCCTCCTCCTGCTGCCCAGTACTGCAGGGGGAGTCTGAACACAAATAAAACAGGATTCTTGCCTAAGAGCGGCTTTTTTTCTCCCTGTTCTGCAGGAAGGAATGAGAACAGGAACTTGGAGGGGATTGAGCAACGTACCAGGGACAGATGCTTCTCTGACTGGCTGAAAACTGGGGCATCAGCAATGCCCACTGTAAACCAGGCTTTGGTCTAGACAGAAGAGCCAAGAAGAACTATCATGTGATAAGGAAACCATGCGATGCGTAGGCGCTTTGAGACCGAGGGATGATGCTTTTCACACTGAGCAGGCTTGCTAGACAAGGTTCTGCATGGTGTTTGCTTCCTGGGCACGGCTGGAGAGCGTGTCTGGGCTATTGCAGGGTGGGCTCTGCCAGGCAGCTCACCAAGCCACCCCGAAAGATGGAATGGGGGCCTGATATACAGCCTCGGAGATCTGCATGGAGAACCCTAGGATGGTAGCCAGACTCTTTTCAGTTGTGCTACTAGGGATGAGCAAAAAACTACAGAGAAGCTTGTCACAACAATTCTGCATGACTGTCGTCTAGACTGCAGGCTTTTGTCGACAGAAGTTTTGTCGACAGCATCTGTCGACAAAGCTTCTGTCAACAAAGAGCGTCTAGACTATGTCCAGTTCTGTCGACAAAGCAAGCCGCTTTGTTGACACGACAGTGTAGACACAAAAGACAGTGTAGATGCAAAAGGCGTTATTCCTCGTAGAATGAGGTTTACAGTTGTCGACAAAACTGCTCAGTTCTGTCGATGTTATGTTGACAGAACTCAGCGGCAGTGTAGACACCGGTATAGTTTTGTTGACAAAAGTCCACTTTTGTTGACAAAACCCTGTAGTCTAGACACACCCTTTAAGAATATTGTATTGGTTTAAATGGCTGGGTGTTTGGACCAGCACAGTGTAATTTTCCCGGATCGTAAGAGTTAACACTTTCATTCTGTACTCTTGCAAAAAGTGCTGCGAGATTTTAATGAAGTCAGCGGACCAGGAGTTCAGTTTTATGTTTCATCTGAAAGACCAGCACCTCCAGCAGGTACAGGGCCCATCACAGCCATGCTAGGGCATTGTGTCAGTAGTGACTTGGAAAATAACCACCTATAGAGTTAGTTAACTAATCTAATGAGCTAGGTATTCACATGGTGCCCCTCACCATGGTATCTGAGCTCCTTCCTCACTTTTCTCTGGAGGTTATCCTCCAAGTACTGATTCAGCTCTAGGCTAGTTAGCTTATAGGAGCCCATAGCATTACACCCAGTGGTGATAGGACTGCAGATATGTTCTCCATGCACAAGCATTTTTCTTTGTTTCCCTTTCCTTTCTAGATAGGATATAAACACTCCTCTGCCATGACCACAAGAATGTTATAGGATTAATTCTTTCCATGTAGAGATCCATTTTCAGTGCACCAATCAGGAATCCCAAGCACTGTTACAGGCTGGGGACAGAGTAGGTATGTCTAAACTACATCCCTTTTTTGATAAAGGGATGTAAATTAGACATATCGGAATTACAAATGAAGCCGGGATTTGACTTTCCCGTGCTTCATATGCATAATGGCGGCTGCAGCTTTTTTTTCCCGAAAAGCTGCTTTTTGAAAAAAAAACAAACAAACCCGTGGCCATGACGGGGATCTTCCAACAAAAATGCCCCGTTTCAAAAGATCCTGCAATCCCACTTTTTGAGGGTTACAGGATCTTTTGAAATGGGGCATTTCTGTCGAAAGATCCCTGTCTTGGCCACGTTTTTTTCTTTTCTCGAAAAGTGGCTTTTTGAAAAAAAAGCTGCGGCCGCCATTATGCAAATGAAGCATGGGAAATTCAAATCCTGGCTTCATTTGCAATTTCGATATGCCTAATTTACATCCCTTTATCGAAAAAAGGATGTAGTTTAGACATACCCAGTGGCTAAGCAGCAGTTCGGCAGAAAAGGACCTGGGGATAACAATGGATGAGAAGCTGGTTGAGACAACGGGGTGACCTTGTAGCCAAGAAGGCTAATGGCATATTTAGGTGCATTAGGAGGAGCATTGCCAGCAGAACAAGGGAAGGGATGATTCACCTTTATTTGGCACTGGTGAGGTCACATCTGGGGTATTGCATCTAGTTCTGGGGCCCCCATTACAGAAAGGATGTGGACGCATTGGAGAGAGCCCAGCGGAGGGCAACCAAAATGATTAGGGGGCTGGAGCACATGACCTACAAGGAGCGGCTGAGGGAGATGGCCTTATTTAGTCTGCAGAAGAGAAGAGTGAGGGGGGATTTGATAGCAGCCTACAGCTTCCTGAAGTGAAAGTTCCAAAGAGGATGGAGAGAGGCTGTTCTGTTCTCAGTAGTGACAGATGGCAGAATGAGGAGCAATAGTTTTAAGTTACAGTGGGGGAAGTCTAGGTTGGATATTAGGAAAAACTATTTCCCTAGGAGGGTGGGGAAGAACTGGGATGGGTTCCCTACGGAGGGGGTAGAATCTCCATCCCTAGAGATTTTTAAGTCCCGACTTGACAAAGCCCTGGCTGAGATGATTTAGTTGGGGTTGGTCCTGCGTTGGGCAGGGGGTTGGACTCAATGACTCCTGAGGTCTCTTCCAGGCCTCACGTTCGTTCTAGTTCAGAGCCTTCTATTATTGTCGAGTTTAGTTTTGTTAAGAAATGGTTTTGTATTTTCTTTTGTAAACTCCCCACCCCTACCCCAATGTGTTGCTCCTCCTAATCACAATGTGAATTACAACTGTAGTGGGTCAGGAAATGACGTGTCTATTTTCCTCTGAGAACAACAACAAAAAAGGGTTGAACGTACTCTTTGATTGCCTCCCCCCAGCTGCTATCCAGTTTTGCAATAAAAACATGAACATTTGCAACAAAATTGGACATTTTTTCACAAACACGCCAGTTCTCAACCAATAATGACTGTGTTCCACCATAAAAATATTTGACTTGCTCTATTTACAGCAAATTCCTGGCATCAGGCTGGTAACAGGGCATGGAGACACTCCCTTCATTCCCGGTCATCGAAAATCCTGTCCATGTCTTGTCCCTACAGAGCTTCCTGCCTTGGTTATATTTCTGACCCTTCCTTGTGCATGCAAAAGGATTACACACTGTGTTGCCATTTGAGTAACATTTTCCACCCACATTTTATTCGTGTAAATGGCTGCCCAAAGGAGCATCATGGTGGAGAATCAGGCCCCGGATCTCAGGATCTGCTTTCTTTTTCATTTACTTTGTTGCTGGCACAAGGTGCCTGATTGCTTGTTAGCCAGAAAACCAAAGTCAATTATGTATCCTCAGAAGGCTTCCCCACTGCAGGAGAGCAGGGACCTAAGGTGGGGGTAGTTTGGTTACCAGACTGTGTTACCTTTTGGGACACGGACACCTCTGTCCACTAGGAACTGGGCTAAGATCCAGCAAACTCAGTTCACAGCACTCGCTATCTGCTCTTGGACATGGCCGACTTAGCCCAGAGTTGCACCTCTGATCTGTAAATTAAAATCCTCTGAGTCTCAGCGTGACCCTCTGAGTCACCGTGTTCACCTGAGTCCTTCGCTACTTAGCCTTCGTGATTGGCATCACTTCCTCTCTATTTCAGGTCTGTGTTGAAATCTGCCCTCTGAGCTCATCCTTCTACTTCCTCTGTTCTCTCGGTCATGCTCCTGGCAATCCTGCTGCTGCGTTTAGCACTTCCTTCCTCTCTGCTGCTTCTGGACAGACGTGCCCCACGCCTTCTCTGCTGCCTGCCCTCGCAGCTGGGGCAATGCAGACTTTCCCTTCTGTTCAGAAAGCTCCCTCATTCTTCCCTGCCCTTCTTGCTCCTTCCCTCAAACATTTTTTTCCTGGTCTCTATTCCCCATTGCCTTGGTTTAAGGAGCTAGCCTGGGTAGGTCAGCAGTGCTGCCAGAGGCACTGAATAACAGAGGTTTTCACAGCAGGAGAGTGACTGGGCCCTCCTTGGGGGCATTCAGGGAGGGACGGTGAGTCAGAGGACCCGGCCAACCTAGCAGGCTGGAAGCAGCGTCTCTAAATGTGTTGCGTGTGGCAGGCTCATCTGTTTTCAGTGAGCTGGCCCTGGAGACTGTGTGTACATCATGAGCCTGTGGTTAACCTGAGCCCAAGGACAGCACTAAAGCTGGGAATGCCACAGGATTCAGCTTTTGACACTCTCCACTCTCATTAACCAAGACAGCCCTGCTTACCCTGCCTGCTCTCCTACATAAAGGAAGAGGCACATGCACCCAACACACAGGCAGCTCCAAGACCCCCTGCCCATATGCCTGTACTCTCTACAGCAGTGTTTCTTAAACTGTGTTCTGCAACACACTGGTGTGCTGCAACGTAGTCGTGTGCCACGGAGAACAACAGAGTTCAAAATAGCCGCCCTTAAATAGGAAGGCGACCTTTTTTTTCCCTCAATAACTTCCCCTCCCCAACATTTTCCCCTTCCCCCCTCATTGTTTGGTGTTCCTTGGTCTTAAAAAGTTTAAGAAACACTGCTCTACAAGCTGCACCTCTCCAGTCCGGCACCCTTGGGGACCAGTACTGAACCAGAGAGTTTGCTAAACCACGACAGGTCAATATTGTCTAGCAGCATCACCAACACTTCCACTGCTTCCTGGGCTCTGAGAAGACATTGAGGGGTCAATTAGAGCTAAAGAACAACACAGAACACTGAGCACCAAGACTGGTACTGTAAACAAACTTATGGGACCGTGGGAAACTAGGTCATACCCATGGTAGGTGGACTAACTAAAATCATGTCGAACCACGGATATTGATGGACCAGAAAGTGCCAGATTAACAACGTTCAACCTGTATTTTTTCATTCTAAATAGACGCTCCTGGTCGTATGCCTCACCAAGTTAACAAATGTGTAATTTTATTCCCAAACCCTGTTGTCTTCATCACCCTCACACACACGCAGGTCGCTACACTGGCCTTTGCATGCCCTATTCTTCACTAACATGTGTCTGTGCAGGCTTTCAATCATTTTTTCAGATGAAAGGCTGTTCTGGTGCCTTGGTTTGTAAAGTATAATCATTCTAGGTTGAAGATAGTGGTTAATCATTAGCTGTCCCTATTGCAACATGGTTACATGGTTGCCCCCTTGCA